GAATCAAGGAAAACTCGTTTGAAAAACATTCCTAGTAAATAGGTACCTACCTACGTTCCTCTTACGACTTGTACAGAGTAAGACATCACCAAATAATAAATGCCATTCGCCACGTTCAAACAGATACGTAAACAACAAACAGGTAGGAAGTACGCAGACTTCCGAAGCAAGAAATGTGTATTTTGCCTAGTTTTTTTTTTATCCTCGGAACATTGCAATTTAGTTCCCATTCTGCTAAGTGTAAGCGTCCATTAAAATATCTTTATTGGGTTCAATAACCCTCACACAAATTTTTTTGGCGCGAAAAACACTGCTCATGTCGTGCCAATTTACAATTTCGTCATGTAATTGTATATCTACATACGTACTTATCTGTGTCACAAAACATTTGTTGTGGTTTGTCTATATTTCAGTTTTTATTTGTCAAATTACATATATATGATTTATGTTGTTTTTAACCGATTTCACAAACAGATATTGTATTTATATACGCTATTCGCTGTGATAGATTACTCTAAGGGCTGAATGATCGATTCAATAAAATTATGTTCCACAAAAATGAAAGCCGACCTCGATCGTGATAAATACAATTATTTTCGATTTAAAAAATAATACAGTTATTTTGAATTAAAAATTAAACTACGATTTTACTAAAAAATTCTATAAGATCAATCTGAAAGAATATCTTTTCAGATAAAGAAGGATTTACTAAATTGCTTTACACTTGAAAGAGTTATGTGTTAACAAGCTTAAAAATACCACCGAATTGAGAATCTCCTCCTTTTTTTAATTTAGTTGAAAAAATAATAATTGCATGTGACATAAACGAGGGTAAATTCTGTCAGTTGCAAAAAGAATTGTCAAAATCGGTTTAGATTTGGTAAAGATGTTGCTTAACAAAAAAATAGTGCAGTTGAATTAAAAATCTCCTTATGGAAGACGCTTAAAAAAGTGTGTAACCGCGTGACCATCACGCTCTTTGTTGGTTTTATTACATTTAGTCTGTCAATAATGATTTTAATAAGCATGCGACCAAAACGAAGATAAATTCTGCAAAAAGTTAAAATAGATTAAAAATGTTGCTTAACAAAAAAGAGTTGTCAAAATGGTTTTGGATTTGTTGAAGATGTTGCTTATGCGACCAAAACAAAGAAGTGCACTCAAAATGGTTTTGGATTTGGTGAAGATGATGCTTAATTAAAAATCTCCTTATGGAAGACGCTTAAAAAAGTGTGTAACCGCGTGACCATCACGCTCTTTGTTGGTTTTATTACATTTAGTCTGTCGTTACTATGCCAAGGTCGCGTGTACGATTGTGTGGCACTAGGTACGAGATAAATTATATAGAAGATGAAACTTTTATTTCGAACAACTATTATGCGTGTTACGTAAATAACATTCTCAAAGCTTTTGGATTTGGATACAGTGCAATCGGATTTAGTATCGATAATTATCTCCTACTAATTGTGTCTAACAACTTTGTCTACGTAAATTAGAATAAAATATATCCTAATGTATAATTTAGGATGTAATCTATGTATGTATTAAAAATCGTACAAATCTCTTCAGCCGTTTACGTGTGAATGAATAACAATCATCTCTACACACTTTGACATTTATATCACTAGTTGTAACTCATGACTTTGCCTACCTGAATTAGTATAAAATGTATCCTATGTGTTAATTTAGAATATAGTCTTTAATTTATTCATTCTCCACATTCATAAATACGTTAAATCTCTTACGAACCTATTTAAGCTATTGAACTTTTTTGTCTCTCTCTCTCTCTTACATTAAATTCTCAATTTGAAAGAAAGTGATAAAACAGAGTAATAGTTGAAATAGGATTGTGGAAGGTTTTAGTTTTTATAAATAAGAGAGTATATATATGCACAATTTATAACTGACATTGTATCAAATAATCCGCGAATCAGACTTAAAAAAATAACAATAATACTTATTTTATAAAAAGATTTTTTAACATTTTTAATAAAGACTATACCCCCGATTGTTACTCGCTACGCCCAAAAGGGCTCATGATACTCACTATAATAATATTATATCAGTAGACACCTATTGTTAACTAACAAGTGTAATAAATAATATATATATATATATATATATATATATATATATATATATATATATATATGTATATGTATATATATATATATATATATATATATATATATATATATATATATATATATATATATATATATATATTATATGAACGGATTATTTTATCCAAATCCATCCCAGCCATTAATTAATGCGTGATGAAGTGAAATCCATCATTACCAATTTTCTCATTTTCGATATTAACAAGAAGTAATATTATCACGATTCATTACGCTAATTAATTAATCAATACCGCTAATGCCGCCCCGAGCTAATTTACGAAACCGACATGGAGGAAGTCACGGGTAAAGCTAATGTTACAACAAATACGCTACACAACAAATATAGCTAGGTAATATTGGGGGGCAAGGTGAAGGTCCTTTGCAAGAGGCATGCGTGGAACTATGATGTTTTAGCGGATTACATCGACTTTAGGCATAATACACGTTGCTATGGATATGTTAATTCGTTGGCTATGAAGATATACCTACCTGCGAAGGCGTAAATGTTTAGACCATTGTCAAAAAATATGCTTATATACTGCGCTTTATAACATGAAGTTGCTGGTAACTGATATTTTGACAATTTTAAGCGGTTTTTTTTTTATAGATTCTTAACAAAAATACACATTAAAACGTAAGTCAATTTTACTTTTATACTTCTGTCATAATCCAAGATCACGTGCATATGTAACTGTAACATATTTACTAGTTTGTTTATATATTTATTCAGTTTTTACCCCCAACTTCGTTCGCCCATTTAAGGATTGATTTAAAACAAATAGTGTATAGGGTTCATTAATTATCAAAATCGATGGAACCGTTTAGCCATAAAGAAATCAAGCAGACAGTTATTTCCGTATTTTAAAATATTATAATGTAATTCAACACTAATATATACCACACACTCTATTCGCAGGTAAAGCCTTATCTGAAACAAGAATAGATATTAAATATTAGATATTTTTTATGCAACTTAGAATGGCAAACAAGTTGACGGCCCACCTGATAGAAAGTGATAACCGTCGCCTATAGACATGAGCAGTACCATGGACATAACAGAGTATACTTTTTTGCCGATGATACCTCCCATAGGTCGCCATTCCTGAGAACTCAGATGTTATTCTGTATCCTGTAAATTTATAAGAGAAGTTTATCAATTAGTCGATTATGTTGCTAATTTAACCGACTTTAATAATTCTTTTTGCAATTCATAGTTTTTTTTTTTGTTTTTTTTTTTTTTGATGGATGAAAATTGTATGGTAAACCCCGCCTGCGCTAACGGGATACGCTGGCGGAGCACCAGTGAAGGGTGATAGATGAGAATGAAAACAGGCCAGATAGCTCATCATGATGAATTCATCAGGAATTAACCATGATAGTTTCCAGGGAGAACTGCGAGGAGATCGACCTGGTTGGATATATTGCTAGCAATGGGATTCTGTCTCCATTACTAACAATCCCTTTCCTTTTTTTTTGTGTTGTTTATATACTCTGCACATTATAGCGTTGTGTGGATGGCGAACCATAAAGGGAGTAAACCCTTAGCCGAGGGAGTAAAACGTTACATTAAGAGGGAACTGCTTCCTGGAAGTCAATTACCTGAAATACCAATACATTACACGTGAATTCTAAATATTATTGTAAGATAATATTATGTCGAATCACGTTTTGGATATATGTATGTAGGTATCATCACCACCATATCAGCCTCTAACTGTCCACTGCTGAACATAAGTCTCCCCTTAGGGGGTTTTGCCAGTAGTTGCCAAACTTGGCGGCGGATTGGCAACAGCAGTTAGACTTTAAAGATGTTTTAAGAGCGACGCTGCTGCCCTTCCCTCGTCCTCATACGACACACGGGAAAAGAAGAGGTCTATTCTATGGTGGACCACACGGCCATAGTATAATTCTCTTAAATTTCCTGTAACTTAAGGAGTTTTATTTGATTGCTACCTAGAAATAAGCATATAGCGTCCTTTAACTATTCGAAATGTGATAAGAAAATTTATCTTGGCTCTTATACTCGTAATTATCAGTAAAACAAGGCTATGTACATTTATATACTTGTATAAATTAAACAACGCCAACTAAGGAAATTATTATATTAATTATGTTATAATAATCTGATTATAATAAAACTTCTTGTCCTTTCTGTAAGCTTTTTTTTTTAGCTTAAGAAATACTTTTTCATTATGAAATTGGCGGGTATTTACACTTCCCTATTGGGATACAGAGTGTAAAACTAGGGTATACGCATATAATAATATGTCATTTATTCACTACATCTAAGTTTTTTTTTATGCAATGATGTAACCCCCCTTCGTTATTAGTAAACGCTGGCGAGGCACCAGTAAGTGATGATAGGCGAGGATAAAGTCAAGTCAGTTGGCCAATCGTAACAAGTTTATCGGGAATTATTTCCCGGGGAACAACGTGGGATTTCAATCTGATACAGTATGTTGCTGGCAATTAAACTTTTGTACTCCTATTATTAACTCCCCCTTTCCCCTATCTTTATATAAACTGTCTATTTGTTACAACACTAATAGACATTTTATATATATGTTAAAATAAAACAATTTCATGTGTTTTATTTTATGAATAGACTAAAATTTATGCGGATGATTGTCTCTGGTCCGATTTATAAACCGCAGACAAAATCCTCATCCACGCAATCACAATTCTCAAAGTGGCCACTGAATGTACATAGATTGAGATACTCGTGTCACAGATAATATAATATAATACTAGTATTTATGTCAACTATCTTCATTTCTGTCTCTGGCTGGGTTCAAAGTTACTAGCAACATTTGACCTAAGCACTAACGAGTCGAGTTTTGATAAAGACGTATAAAAACATTGACTTTTTTTAATTAGATGGCACCAATGCGCGGCGAGCGTGGTGGTTCACCGGCGCGTGGTGCGCGCGCGTCGCTCCCGCTGCCGCGGCGGCTCATCAGACAGATCGCGCGACATGTCGCGTCCAGTGGCCGCTCGCTCCGACGTCTCGAGGTGTCCGGCCGGGTCATCGACAATTTTGACGACATCGACGACGCATCCGACGAGTCTGACCTAGAAGTACCGCAACCGGCGTGAGTACTTTTAAAAATGTTATACTCTATCTAAGCGACATAGTACGTCGACAAAGACGTAATATATAAGACCATAGCTACATTATATTTTTCTATACGTTTATAGACCTTCAGAAAACTGCATCAAAGCTGCTATAGTTTTTGCGTGATTTCTATTGATCTTATTAAGTTCTCTGATATTAATTTTTCTTACATATTTCCCATGTACATACATCATTTAGTTATTTTATTGTAATAGAATTATACAAATATATCACAGATAAGTTGCATCAATTCATGAAGCTATAGATTACAATATGCTACATTTTTACAATTTCTTGTTTTGTCTATGGATTGACAATACTTTGAAGAAAAGTATTGCCAATATGATGATTGTATGAAAAAAAAGTTAGCGTTGTTAATTATATTTACTCAGGACACGGGGGAAAAGTACGTGGGATTCTCGCCTTTGTCTCTGACGACTCATTCCGTGACATGGTGCCTATGGGGATTACTCAGGGCTACCATAGCATTAGTGGAAAATTACTCCAAGTTAAAAGTAAACAAGTAGAGTTCTATATTTCATGATCTAAATTTAAAATTAACGAACTTTTGTATAATATTTTAATCCCTTTAGGGGATAAATTTTCAATAGGCCATTATTTACTAACTCTCAAGTTGAAACAAACGGTAGACATTACAAAATTTCATTAAAATCGGTTGAGCTGTTTCAAAGATTAGCGTGAACGAATATCGTGACTATGAGGTTTTTATACTAGCTTTTATTCGCGACTTCCTCCGGTTATGTTTACTAACCGGGATGAAAAAATAGCCTACTACCTTCTCCATCCCATGTAGTACCTGTTATTATTATCATTTCAGCCGTTAACTGTCCACTGCTGGACATATGCCTTCCCCACAAGGGGAGTTCTTCCAGTAGTTGCTACGCGTAGCAGGCGGGTTGGCAACAGCAGTTAAGCTTTTAAAGATGTTTTAAAAGGGACACTGCAGCCCATCCCTCGCCCTCCCTTAATCGCCTCTTACGACACCCACGGGAAAGTAAGGGGTAGCCCATTCTATTCTAGGGCACACACAGCGAACCACCTGTTTCTGTATAGTACCTGTATTACATAGTCATATAATTGGTCACTCAACTCACTTTCACATTTATTTTTATTATTATTACATATATTTTTATTATTATTACATATATTTTTATTATTTTTATTTTTTTCATATATATATATATATATATAACAAATTGTATCTCAGATTTCTGCGATTGTATTTCAGATACAATTTGTCCTATTTTTTCCGGTCACTTTAATAGTGTCTACATAAATAACTATAAACCGGTATAGATAATGAAGCAGAAGTATTGAACTTTGATGTGCTGATATCAACTATCTTTTTTGCGTCTACCAGGAAATCGATATACAATTATTAGTATTAGAATATAATGAAATATTCATTAAGTTCATGATATAATTGTTTAAGGAATTATCGGATGTTTGTTTTGAATATTATTGCTCACATTTATGTCCCCTTTTTTTTTGCAATTAAAGGTTCTTACTAGAGTTCTAGTACTCCTTTTTGAAGTCGGTGAAATATCAGTAATAATGCTACTTCATTTGTGATAAAATCAATGTCGTATAAAACCAACACGAAAGTAAACCCTATAGTTTTTTTTTTTCTAAATCGGCGAAGATGTGAATTGAGATACTTTTGAACTCACTTTACAGTTGCAAATTGAGAACCTCCTTTTTATAGGTCGGTTAAAGTCTGCTCAAAATTAACGGCGACACTGATCGATCAATGCCAAAGTTTGAACATGTTGCTGATAACATTTTATCATTTCGCTAGGTTAGTGGGTAAGACAACGTGGCTGTTATCACTTGGCTGTTACCGTGTTGATAGCTGCGAGATTACCAAATTGCTTGCAGAGCTTAGCGCCACGCTGTTTTTTATCTTGTATTATCTATACAGGGTTTGTGGTGTTTAATGAGTGATAATAGAATGGTAAACCCTTCTGTGCTATCGGTACACGCTGGCAGGGCACCAGTGAGAGGTGAAAGCAGACCAGTTAGCCCATCGTGATGAATACGACCGGAATCAACCACTATAATGTCTAGGGGGAACCGTGTAGATGTCGACCTGATAGGGTATATTGCTAGCAATGGAGCTGTTGTATCGCCATTACTAACAGCTGCCTGCTTTGTACACAAAGGCCTCTAACATTGTGAAGAGGGGTTGACGTGTCCTCGTCGATACTTGAAACAAGTGATATTCATTATTTTAAATATTCCAAACATGAATTTGGGTGTTTATAAGTTTAGCCTGGAATTCGATCTTAGGATTTTGCTCCATCAGGTATTATTAGACCAAGCTGTTACCATTTTCGAATAAATTAAGAATTAACTATGTTTAATTGATACATGTGGTCCTGGCATAGAATTGGCCACCCCTGCTTTTTCCGTGGGTGTCAAAAAAGACGATTAAGTTTACTTAATAGTCGAAGTATGGGCAGCAGCGTTTCTCTTAAACATCACCAAATCCTAACAGCAGCACAGCAAGTGTGGCAACTACTGGCAAAACCTCCCAATAGGGAGAGGCCTATGTTCAGCAGTGGATAGTTAAAGGCTGATATAATTGTTTAGATGTTTGGATGGAAAAATAGACGAGAACTTTTAATATTTCTTATATTTTATTCCAATACATATTTTAGACGTACAACGCAAGTGACAGAGGATATCAGAGAAATACAATATGGCGTGCGCCGAGTTATTCTCAAAGCGATAACAGATGGCCCTACATGTTCCCTTTACATAAATATGATTATTAAATTTAACCTAATTACAACAATAATAATATAATAAATGTATGTTATTTGATACTTTGCTATGTTATTTCGAAAAATTTTAGTTACTTTTAAAATTTCAATGTAAGCTGGAACTTTTTGAAAAAAAAAAATAAAATTTTTCAGTGATCGTGGACAGTGAAAAAATGTGTTTCACATGAAACGACCGAAACTATATGTTCACCATTGTACTCCTTCTTTTCTATATCCTATTATTTAAGACTTTACTGTACAATATAGTATTACAAACATACTATTTCTATACTATTCATAACATAACGACACCTCTAATTAAAAGGCTAACACGTACTTAAATTTGTACCCATTCAACTCTATATTTACTGGTTTGTTCCAGGGTGGCGTGCGGTGGCAACGCGGGCAACCTTCCCCCCGCCGAACACGACGATGACCTCACCAGTCTCAGTTGGTTGCAGGATAGAAATTTACTAAGAGGTACTTATTATCTAATCTTATAAACGTTGAATCGAAATTATTGCCACAGTTTTAAGGGATTTCTGTCAGTGAATCTAAACATTTTTTATAATCACAACATGGTATAAAACAAAATCGCTTCCCTCTGCCTGTCCCTATGTATGTTTAGATCTTTAAAACTACATAACGGATTTTAATGAAAGAAAGAGACTTTATTTTACAGAAATATACGACTACATCCACACAGGGGTAAAAAAATTATTAAGAATTATAATAACGAAACTACACACAGAATATTTATATATAAATAAAGAATATAAAATAAAAATAATGCGGATTTTCTTTAATAGATAGTGATTGAAGAGGAAGGTTTATATGTATAATACATGCATAATATAGTAAAAAACACTGATAATTTTAAAGGTTTCTAATGGTCCGGCAGCGCTATTTAATGTCAGCATTGCACGCGTGCGAAGTCGGGGCGGGTCGCTAGTAATAATAATAAATGTTTATTTACGTAAAACATTGGATACAATGATGTTTTAATTATGTTTGCACATGTCTTGCTAAAGTCATATAGCATACAAATTCAGTCTTACTATTAATTATGGTTACACATATAAGTTTTTATTTTATATACTAAATGTCAAAAATGTTTGGCAAGGAAACCTTTTATGTCATAAAAATTATGTTCTTTTACCCAGTTATATAATCTCTTTCCAAATATATTGATATTTAAATCTTTAAATTCATTTAGAATTTTATTATACAAAAAACATGGAAAGAAGGAAATTTAAAACCTCCTGTACATACTTGACAGCTGTATACGTCGTTATTATTGGCTGCTCTACAATTTTTGTTTTTTTTTTTATACAACTTAGAATGGCAAACAAGCTGACGGCCCACCTGATGGAATGTGGTAACCGTCGCCTATAGACACGAGCAGTACCATGGACATAACAGAGTGTACTGTTTCGCCCATAATACCTCCTATGCGTTGCCATTCCTGAGGACTCAGATGTTATTCCTCCGTACCCAGTAAATTCACGCCATATCCCACCCTTGAAACCGTAACTCAGCCATGCAAACACAACTGCTTCACGGTTTAAACACGAATGGGACAGAGGTACCCAAGCAATCGACTTTTGTACAAAGTCTCCCTCTGGTGACTTTCTTACTTTGACCTATGTTTGTTTGGTAAAAAAAATACTAGAATTTAATGAGTTCGGTATCACCCAGTATAATACGACAGAAACTAAAACTACCTAATAATACTAGTATATAAAACCATAATCCCCCTTATGGGAGATACCTATGTTCAGTAGTGGACACTTAATGAATGAATAAACCCATACGCATACAAATTCTTGCGCGTGTACAGACGTCATTCGTTTATAAAGTCACGCCGATTTTGTATGAAATGTTCGGCGTGCGTTATCATTTCAATATTGTATTCAAATTATATCGCGCTTAATTTATATAAAAACTTATCATCAATTTAGTTTTATTATAATTTTAATTATTGTTGAAATAATTACTAAAACGTCGAAACGTCTAATTCTTTTTTTTTTTATTAATTACTAGTCTTTTGTCTGTTCCTTTTTTAAATTTTAGTTTTTGTAAATAAGGCGGTAACATGGCGTATAAATAAAAATCCTTCAATAAATTCTTTCTCTTTTTAATAATTATATTTCTAATTAATTTATCCTGTTTTACTACCTGCCGCCTTTAAATATAAATTTGAGACCATTAATATGTACTAGTACAGCGAAACCGATCAATTCTTTAAATTTACGTCTATGAAAGAGTTGTTACTTCTAAAGATGATATCCAATTTTTAGAGTAATTGTATGTATGGATTGATCTGCTCTGGGCACTGCAATTAATTTCATTTACAAAGTTTGTTTTAATGCTATTTGTATGTTAATAACTTAATATTTTTGATCTAGTATTGCTTAGTAGTATGTATTCACAGAAATCTATAATTTGTAAAATTCAAGTTTTTTTTTAAAAGGAAAAGTTTAGACTCTTGCCCGTTCTTCTCAGCTAGATTACATTCCTAATGGGCGGCAGAATCATAAAAAGATAACTACACAAAAATTCTTAAATTTAAGTTTACTAGGATAAAAATTATTCATTTCTTTCTTCTTTCACCACGTTCTAAATCCAATAATCCATTCACAATCATCAAATAAAATTAATGTAATTCTTACAGGTATAAATCTTACAAAAGGTGACTTGGAAGATTCAAAAATGATTGGCCACCATATAGTGATAAAGGTATGTATAGACAAAGAAATTTTACGCATATAATTAAAACTACACCTTTGTATGATAATGATACACATCTTATAAAGAGAGATCCCTCAACTTTTCCTAATAGGTATATTCAGCCAGAAATCTGTCGGGACTTAAACCCGCATCTCCGCCATGTATAATTAATTTCCTGAATATTATCAGTTGATCAATCTTTCGACCTCTTAGACGCCTTTTGCCATATTATAATTTACTTGTTATATCTTTTTTTTTTATACAACTTAGAATGGCAAACAAGCTAATGGCCCACCTGATGGGAAGTGGTAACCGTCGCCTATAGACATGAGCAGTACCATAGACATAACATAGTATATTGTCTCGCCCATGATACTCCCCCATGCGTTGTCATTACTGAGGTGTTATTCCTCTGTAAAATTAAACTATATCTCTAAATATTATCCTGTAAATTATATCACTCTATATAATCAAAATAAATTTATATAAATTTATATAAATTATATTATTAAATATGTTAGTGATAGGCTAAAATGTTGATGATGAACTAAATGTATAGAATATAGTAAATATTAAATTAATATACGTCATATATAATATAATGTTGGATGTGTATATAGATTATATGTATATAAAATGACAACGTTGACACTCTGTTTATACAAGTGTTGACCGTATAACATTACCGTTATTTATTCAACGTATTATAATTTGTGAACGAAACTAAAAACTCACCTCGATTCGATAAATGCCTCGTAATTTTATTATAATACGTGTTCTTAGAAGTCTCTTAGATACAATAAATATCAAAGACAGTAACTTTATAAAAGACAGCGTGACGTATATTTTTATTGACCTTACACAACGCCATCTATTCACAAATTAAAAAACCTTGTACTGTTGTTACTAGACCATCGATAACAAATAACACACATTTAGACAGTTCACCTGAAAACAAATATTGCTATGTAAAAACAATTTTACTGCTTCAACCCATTATTAATAGGAAAGAAAAGTTCTCGAGTGATGATCTCGTTCAAGCAAGCGTAGTGTTGCATCACACTGCCCCTGCATCGTGGAGCGACAATAACGAGAATGTTATAGGAAGTCGCTGGATACAAGCGGTGCAGTTTCATACTTAGTAGCGTAATACGTATTGGCAGGGGGGAAAGGGATTGTTAGTAATGGAGACTGAGAATCCCATTGCTAGCAATATACCCAACCAGGTTGACCTCCTCACGGTTCCCCCTGGAAACTATCATGGTTAATTCCTGATGATTTCATCATGATGGGCTAACTGGCCTGTTTTCATTCTCATCTATCACCTTTCACTGGTGCTCCGCCAGCGTATCCCGTTAGCGCAGGCGGAGATACCATTCCATTTTCACCCATAAAAAAAACGTATCGGCAACACAAGCCAATAATTTTTTAAATGTTAAATTGGCAACACTGGTTACACGGGAGATAGTATTTCTCGTCCTTTTTTTTAGTATTGTATCGATTCTTTGTATGTATTACATATCGCATACATATTAAACCTCTTGATAAAATTAATAACCGCATTATCGAGAAGTTTGAGTCCCACTACCAAATCCACCTACCTACCTACTGTATCTAGCAATCATACAGTTCACTTTTGCAACAATACAAGAAGTACCAATAAAACAATACAAGAAGTACTATGGATACGTAATGTACTATGGATACGTTATAATGATGAGGAATTTTGTTGAGACTCATAACACTATAGCCAGTTATTAATCAAATTGTTTTTACCAACAGTCGGAGATGTCGAAGACCCCTCCCCCGGTGGCACGACTCCCCTCGCCTCCGCCGACGCCGTGCAAGGCGCCACCGTCTCCCCCCGCGGCCACCACGCACACCAAGCCGCCATATTCGTTCTCCTGTTTAATATTCATGGCAATAGAAGCCGCCCCGGCCCGAGCGCTGCCCGTCAAGGAAATATACGCGTGGATCATCCGCCATTTCCCATACTTCAAACACGCACCACAGGGCTGGAAAAATAGCGTTAGACATAATCTGTCGTTGAATAAGTGCTTCCACAAGGTAAGAACTCCTATACATATTTAAAATATAAATATTTGATATATAATTTTAGATTTGTACTACAAAAAAAAGTGAGCTCCACAAAAAAACTGATTTTAATATTTTTTTTATAGAACTTATCTGAAAATCCAATTCAGATAAAAAATAATTCTCCAAATTGGTTTATAAATGAAGAAGATAACAGACATAATAAACCAAATTAAAAACCTTCTTTATTAAGGTCGGTAGAAAATATTGGTTTATAAATTGAAGTCGGCAACCACACATAAAACTTAGAAGTTTCTTACTTTTATTCTTAATTTCTGTTATAATTATCTATTAGAACAGAAATTTCATCAATAAAAAAATTCGAAAACAACAAGATTTGAGAATCCCATACTAACTACTGTATAGACATCTAAATTCTGTTTACTGTAATAAAGTAAGATAAGGGGATTTTATAACTAATAAATGGAAGTATAATGTGAAATATATATGTACATTTTTTATATGGCTCTTTCATCTGAAAATTACCTATATTCTAGCAAAATAAATTCATTTCATTGACAGCTGCACGCGCTGTTTTAATGGAGACTCAAAATGTTATGTCGTTCATCGACCCATGTTTACTTAAAAAAAAATCAGTTTCACTAGTAAAACACATAAGTTATTTTGCATATCAATGTTTAAACTATTCACCAAACTATATTTCTTGTAAAATGTTAATCTAATAAGCATTATTAAAATATATAAATCAGTATACATTTTACAATTATCCATATATTATGGTAGCAAAATTAGTTTTTTTTTATACAACTTAGAATGGCAAACAAGCTGACGGTCCACCTGATGGAAAGTGGTAACCGTCGCCTATAGACATGAGCAGTACCATGGACATAACAGAGTATACAGTTTCACCCATGATATCCCCTATGCGTTGCCATTACTGAGGACTCAGGTGTTATTCCTCTGTACCCAGTAAATTCACGCCATATCCCACCTTTCAAAACGAAACACAGCTATGCAAACACAACTGCTTCACGGTAGAAACACGAATGGGACAGAGGTACCCTAGCAATCGACTTTTGTACAAGCTCTCCCTCTGGTAGTACTATATTATATACTACATTGTACCTTTAACGTAGTGTTTTGATATGCTCGACAGGTGGCAGCCGCGCCGGGCCTCGGCAAAGGCTCATTGTGGACCGTAGATCCGCAACATCGTTCATCATTACTGCAGGTAAGTTTTTTTTTTTTTTATGCAACTTAGAATGGCAAACAAGCTGACGGCCCACCTGATGGAAAGTGGTAACCGTCGCCTATAGACATGAGTAGTACCATGGACATAACAAAGTATACTGTTTCGCCCATGATACCGCCCATGCGTTGCCATTCCTGAGGATAATATACTTACATTCTTATTTGTCGATATTTACCAATTTCATCAGATGGACGGTCACCTTGTTTGCTATTCAGAGTTGTCAACATTTATGTAATTAATTCATAAAAATTATATAGTTTGTATATGTTTTGATAATTTAATTATATAAATTATATTATATATTTTTAATAGATAATAATAAAGTGGTAACACCGCCTGCGCTAGTGGTATACGCTGGCAGAGCATCAATGAGAGATGATAGATTAGGATGAAAAGGCATGTCAATTAGCCCATCGTGATGAATACATTTGGTATTCAACAATGATTTCTAGGGGCACCACATGGAGGTTGAATAAGGTATATTGCTAGCAATGGGTGTGATAGTGTTCGCATTATTAACAATTCCTTCCTTTTTCTACTATACGGAGTAGGAGGGAAGGGATTGTTAGTAATGAGAAGGTTAGTCCCCAATATGCAATCAATATACCCTATCAGATCCACCTCCACGCGGTTTCCTTTGAAAACTGTCGTGACTAATTTATCATTGAATTCATCACGATGGGCTGACTGACTTGCCTTTTCATCTTCACCTATCATCTCTGACTGGTTTTCCGCCAGTGTATATCGATAACGTAAGCGGGATTTTCATGTCATTTTTACCCAAAAAAAAAAATTATACAGAGTTTTTTTTGCTGATGGGTGAAAATGGAATGGTAACTCTGCTCGTGTTAACGGGCTGGCGGAGCACCAGTGAATGGTGATCGATGATAATGAAAACAGGCCAGTTAGCCCATCATGATGAATTCATCAGGAATTAACCATGATAGTTTCCAGGAGGAACCGCGAGGAGGTCGACCTGGTTAGGTATATTGCTAGCAATGGGATTTTCAGTCTCCATTACTGACAATCCCTTTCCCCTCAACTATGCGGAGTTAGATCTGGTAATTGGTATATAAAAATGAGCATGGCATTAAAAGTAATGGGGGTAATGGTTGTCAGGCGTTCGGGCGGCAGCCGATCCCGGCGCCGGCGGAGGGCCCGGCGGCGAGGTAAGCGAGGCGGCGGGCGGCGGTCGCGCGGCGGGCGCGGGCCCCGACCCGCAGCTGTTCCCGTTCCTGGCGCGGCGGCTGGCCGGCGAGGCGCGGCCCGAGCCCGGCGCCGACGAGTACCTGGCCGCCGCCACCGTGCTCGCCATGAAGTACGGGCCCGCCGTGCTCGACCAGGTCACCACACGTCCCGTCCAACTTATCTCCATCTCTCTTCTATTGCTCATACCTACTTAGAGTGTCTCCATACAAATGCTTCAAGGAAAACGGGTCAACTTTTTCATACAATTTTACGTGATAAATAGTTATGAGTGATTCCTTTATAACTTCTATATTTGTTTTGTTTTATATTTTTTGCAAGATACATTTTATGCTTAAGTGTATAGAGCACTGGTAAAAAAACGAGTCACCTAATTTGGCAATTAGCTGACAAAAAGTTGACCTGTTTTTGAGGCTCGATGCTCTATCTATATAATCGAAGTTCAGACAATATGAATGAATAAATTAAATACTAAATTTCATGACAATTGGTTGAGACTTTAAAACTCAAATAACCAAATAAAAAAAACATATTTATAACAATCACTGGCCAGTAAGAATTACATATTTTATAACAATGTATATTCAGTAAAAACAATTTAATGTGAAACTAAGATGTTTAGATATGTGTTACTCAATCATGATTAAGTATCTGAACAGATTTGAGTGGAATTCAGCCATGACCTATTTTAACATACAAAATATTTTTATCTCAATTCTTCGAGACATAGAATCCAGTGGAAGGCAATTCAAACAAACTACCGCGATGTATAAAGTAACAATACCATTATTTAAAAAATGTAAATAATCTGAATGTATAAACTCATTTGTTAATTTACGTGTGTCATAAATGGCTCAAATAAAGTGTTTATCTATCTATCTATCTATTGCACAAATTTTACAAAGTAAACGTAGTGTGTGAACGTTTGCGTGACCAACTACGAATTTCGTATATATATTCATTATTGCCCTTGTAAATTACATAAATAATACATTTATAAATATTGTGAGCAATGGTGGACTTATCTCTAAAAGAGATCTCTTCCGCTTAAACCAATATAGGGGGAAAGTATGCCCTTATATTGTAGTATTAAAGTATAGAATCGGTGCATATAATTTATTGTACTGTTCCACTATGCACATATAATGATAAACCAGGTAATAACGATACGATAAACCCCCGCCCCCTTAATCCGCGTATTTGTATTCATAGCATATGATAAATATTTCATTTTGTATGTGTAAACCTACTGGATACGTGTACGAACGCACTAATGGATGGTTTCGTTGTACAGCTGCCGCCCGCAGCGCACCTGGTGATCTCGCGGTGCGCGCGCGACGAGCACTCGTACAGCGGCGGCTGCGAGGAGCGGCGCACGGCCGAGGCGCTGCTGAACCTCGCCGGCGTCGCGCCCACGCCCACGCCCACGTCCACGCTCGCGCACGCGTCCGCGCCCGCGTCCACGCCCGCGCCCGCGCCCAGCTAGCGCGATCGCCGCTAGGCGCGGTGCCGTATGGTGCTCCCGGCCGCAGGTACTAGTGACGGGAGGGACGCGACCTAGCTGTTTACACCTCATCGAGTAGCAAGTACGAGGTGCAGGCGACGAGTGATGATTAAACCAGTGTAACGATCGCGTTGTTAAGAGATAAATGTGAGTGCGAATTGAAGTGTCGTCTATTTTTTACTATGAAGTCACCTCGCTCTCGCCTCATCCACGTGAGAACCCTAGTCACTTGACAGAGTAACGTAAAAATTACCTCGTACCTACTTGATAAAGTGTAAACGGTGCTTTTGTTAAACCAATAGTCTGAGTCATTATTTATGCATCACACTAAAAGTGCTGGCTTTGCGAAACTGTAATAATTGATTAGTTACCACAGGTCATAATAATAAAATATTTATTTATGTGATTAGAAGATATTTTAACATAAAAAGCGTTCCGCATTACACTGCACCAAACGCCACGCGTATAACGAGTCTTAGTATAAAAATCTGCCTACGATAAATCAGGTTTAGTTTGCGACAAAGACGTTGAACTATATTAGTAGTAGTTTAATTTTCATTTAATTTTTTTCAGTGTTTAAATATAATTGGCAGTGATGATATTTGAATTATAAATGTAGTCTAAGGGTGGGGTCTCGATACGAACTATAGGACTTAAGTAGCTCTTGGAAATGTGTGCTAGACGTTATAGTGACGATTCGTTACTAAGATCAATTAGTGTGTTCTGCTCAAACGGTTCTCTAAGAGTATAAAAATATATTGTTATCTTGTAAAGTATAATGACACCAACTATATTTGAAAGAAAAAAAAACCGTCACGCATCGAGGCATAGCCTCAGTAAACTCAGTGATTAAAAAATGTTGACACATACAAAAAGTTCATGGAACGAGAAATTGTTTTCAACTAAAATTTGTTGCTTTATAAATTTCTATATTATGTCTATTGTCGCAGCAGTGCAATGGACAAAAATGTTTACCCTTCTCTAGTCCAATGAAGACGGTGATTTAACAAAATCTGTGTAACAACAAAGTTTTATTACAATAAAAATAATAATTAACCGATTAAATAAAAATAACATTGTAAAATGATAGATCAAGATACACTACTTAGATAGACTTGTTTCCATTATTTTCCAAATGTAAAATACACGTTTTGACATCAATTCTTGTGATCCAAGTCGGTTAAAATAATAAGTAAATTTAATACAATAATAATATTTATTAGTAGAGACTTCATAGTGATAGTTGTGATACTAATATGAAATACTTTTTAATTAAAAATAATTTGAAACTAGTTAATTAGTACTCCCGACTTGCATTTAGGTCCTCCATTCATTTTAGTCACTCATATTATATTTTTAATGTTGCCACATTACTGAACATCCTAATCAATTTACGCCGAATGTTGCCACAATTAAATTGAAATTTGTACAACAAATTGAATGGAAATGAATTGGTTTACATTGTTAGATTTAAGTTTTAAATAAATTTTAATTATTTATTTCAATCAACTATTACAGTTGTAATTATATTTTCGAAATGGTTTTTATTTATTTATGTGTACTTTTATAAAAATCATAATACTTCTTAATATAAACTGAGCAATATATTATGTACTAAATCTATTGTAATATGTAATTATGTGATCTGATCGCTGAATATACAGATACTGTATACAGACGATCGCAATGTATTTTATCATCTTATTTATAAATCATACATGTGTATATAAAGCAAAATTTAAAAATGTCTACATTAGTGTTAAGTACACCATATTTTGTGTTCAGACCAAGTGATCTACTTCGTACAGTCGCCTACATTTAAACAAATTTTATTTATTATAACAATAGTAATTATAAGAATTATTAAAGCTGTGACATAATATCAAACTAACGTTCAAAGTTATATGCTATCTCCCCCACATGTAGGAGGAACGACTTAAGATTACCACAATATGTCTCTCATAAAATAGTGGTACGGTAATGGCGTTCGCCTAAATTAGTAAAATGTTCTTTATTATTAATAGTTGTAAAGTTTACTTTTCTATAAATGTACTGCATAACTCCTCTACGTAGTAAACCCGAATAGGTACCTATGTGTAAATATCTCTCAAAGTGCTATTAAAGCTCAACAGAACTCAATTTTGACGCTTTATGTGTAGTGACATTCAATTACATCTTGTCATCTAAAATTTCGACAAATTAATATTAAGTACATAATATATCATCTTAGGTAATACTAAAAATATTGTAGAAAAATGTTCTAATACGAATATTAGGCAAATGATATTTTTAAAACTGCCTTAAACGTTTTATGTCAAGACACAGCGCGGCCTACCAGCGTCAGAATATTGTTGACATTACTTGAAATGAAAAAAAAAACTTACTTCAAACGCAGCGAGGTAATTTTCTCTCAACTCTAAAGTGCCTACTTGTGCTTCTATTCTATTTCTATAAATGTAACAAATTTAAGATCGAACTCGGGTATCATCGGTCAATAACCAATCATCTGGTTTTAGTACCATATCGATTTTTTTTTCCCATATCAAAAAAGCATTGAAGGAGAACACCAAGTAGCAAGTATAAAATGACAAAGTTGAGTCTTAAGTGCACGATGTTTATTTATATTTCAGGTGTCCTAATTTAGTATAGGAAGTGTAACAAAAACAAATATTTCCAAATACTTTTTTCTTCACCTTTGTGTATTAAATTTGAAATCAATAATCTTAAAAGCGTTATGATATATACGTAATTGTTAGGCAAGTAATCATTGAATTTCCAGCCAGTCTTATGGTGCACTGCTTACATTACATGTGACTAATATAAATCATAACCGTGGCTAGTCCTTCGTGGTCAGTCGCCAGCACATATATTACTGCATAATGTATATAAAGCACTTAAAAATCATGAAATTATCGCGAATATATGAACGGCGGATAATGAGAGTTGCATGCATAGAAAAAACTAGACTGATATGTAATGACTGATTTGTGATGAAGCAATATTATTTATTAGAAAAAATTAGTATCTTTATTTAAAAATGCCCATGTTGTTTGCCGTTTGCAACATACATATTTATTGACGCTTTTGTGCAGTAATAATTGTATTGCCCCACATATAGGTCATTGATATAGAAAAAACCAAAGACGATTAAAAAAATAAGAACCGTATTGAATTAAGAACGTGTTTATAATAACATTTATTTCTAACTAGCCAGTGACATTTATTGTCAAATGTGTTTTATAAATTTCATAAAAAAAAATATTGTCTAGACACAGAGTTCTATATTTACAGTAAGTATTAAATTTCGGATAGACATTTCTTATCAAACGAAAAATTTTTTTTTAATTATTTTAAACACTTAAAAATAATTATTTAATATTTGAAATATATTTATATGGGAATCTGAAACTTGAGTTTTTTATATCTCAATGATACCTATAAAATCTGTTTTACATACGAATTGTAATAAAATATGAAGTGATACAACGATAAAAAATTATCTTTTACGGGTGTATATTATAATGTACGGTTATACAAATATGTTATCTATATTCTGCGGTATGTGACTGGAATAACGTCGCCGATCTTCCGTCGTGAACATTAAGTATGTCATCAAATCAACAGCACACATGGACAGTGGTGCAATTTGGCGCCAAATATTTATTATACATGAAGATTTTCCCGCTTAATTTGAAATTTAAAGCAATAAAAACTAGTTGATAAGATCGACGGCGATATTCCAGCTTTGTGTGACATTGGCCTGTAAATTATTCAATATAGTTGACCAGCCAAAGGATGGTAAAAAAATATTTAACGCCATGGGTTTATATTTATGTTTGTGGAAAACTCCAAGAGTATTTTTAACCTATTTGATATTTATTTCGATTTATATTTTGCTTTTCTAGTTAGATTGTAAAATTGTAACGGTTATATTAAGGCAAACAAAAGGTCGCTGTGTGCCAAATTAAAAAAAAAAAAAGAAAAGAAATAACAATATTTACAAAATAGGAAGCAAATACAAATAAATATCCGTATATGAGTGTATATGATGATTATTATCGATAGATTAGTTCGTAAGTGATATTACGATAAAAGATAGGTATTGTAATTACTAAATATGAATACATACATTTTTGCTGTATTTAGGAGCGTCTTCCATCTTACTAGTATTGTTTTCTCTTAGATATTCACCGTCGAGGAGAAAAGTGCATGTGTATTATTTATTCAGACACTTGCAACTTTTTTTAAAAAAAAATGTATCAATCGCTTAATACTCTAATCATGATAAGTATCGTTAATAAATTATTACAATAACATAATAAATCTCGAAAATGAAACATGTTACTTTATCTAAGCATAGTCTTTTTTCCTCGATTGTGTCGACTAGCCTTTCTTTTGGTGGTATAAGGAATCGTAGATAAAAATTTACAGCAATAATTAGTACCTAATCGTAGTACGTTGCTGGTAGATGCTATATATAATTATGTGTGATAACTTGCTATTTATTTATTAAGTGCTAAATAAAGTGTTTATTATATTCATAAACAACATCAAAAAGTAATCAATTTTAATGTTTTTTTTTTGTTTGGAAGGAAGGCAAACGAGTATGCGACTTACCTGATAGTAGGTCATTATCACACACTAGTAACACCAGAGGAGTCATATTTTAAATACACAATCGTGACTTAAAGCGATGTAATAACTTTTACAGGTAAATAGTACTTACATACATGCTTCTTTATTGCCAACCAAACGTGTCGACGATCAGTTGCCAGAATTTTAAAACTATGAGAGTTGTTTATGAATATAAAATTGCTTTTTAAAAAGTTATATCAACTATGATATTAAAATTGTTGCGGCTCACGATTGTCAAAATCCAACATATTTTGATTAATTTATTTTTTAGGTTTAATGAATTGTTATTTAATTTCGTGTTCTATTTGTTTATAAAACGACTAATTAATAGAATGTTTGTTTGGATTAATCGTTTTATAGACAATTTAGCGTTACCACTAAGATAATTATTAGTCATACTATATTTTCTTCTCGCTCACATGTAGTTCTTGTAAGCAGGACAGCAATAATTGTACGACAAATGTTTCTTGGGTGACGTGAGCACTAGGTAATTAGTTTCCGAACTAAGTATGTTTAAGTATGAAAATTATTGTTGTTGTTGATATTTTGCCGGCTTTTAAACGACACCACTCCTTATTAATATTGCTATTGTTGAGAGTTATTGCCAAATTTTTATTTGTTCTAAAATCTTTTGTCTTTGTACATATCCATTAAATAAATTATGTACCGAGGATCAGTCTGTGTTTATTTAAAATACCCAACCACAAATATTTTACTGAACTAGGGTGTTATTATGCGGAATTCTATATCACTGCAAATAAATTTTGTAGTTTGGATTCCGCACGATTAACACTCCTATTAAGGCTCCGAGCAGCGATCTATTTAATTTGCCTGAAAATTACTCGTTAAGAGGTGAAAGACGTGTCGCAAAACACGAGTGGACGAAATGGCAGTCGGAAATTGATGGCTAATAATGGAAAGATTTAGAATTTCTGGTAATAATAATATTAGTAGGCAATCTTCGAGTGTAGGCGGTCGCACATATATTAATGGTAGCGGCATTAAACAAAAATAATCAAATAACCAGTAATATAATTAATTGCAGAAAGATAATTTTTAATATGTGTCTATAGTATGATTATATTTGATTTGATATTATACTATTAGTGTTTGAACTTGACACAAGTTGTCGTAACACGACCACTATATAAATAGCGAGGCGTTTGACGCAAACTCCACAAATGCATCAACACGAGTCGAAAGCGTACAAGCGACTGATGTTACGACATATTGCCTAGAATTACATTAATGGTATTATTTAAATTTGATATCAATAAATCTAAGATTTTGCTACGAAAAATAGTATAAAACCACCTTATTCTTCTTGGAAATACTCTGAGAATAACCTTAAAAAGGATAAGTACATGTGGCCTAGATAAAATGTTGCGAAATAGGTTGCAACTAGAAAACGCATGAGTAAGTAATGTAACAATATTGAAATAATTACTAATATAAAAATTTTATTATTTTATTACAAAAAGAACATAAACTTTTTCTACAGTCCATAGTAAATATACAACGATAATATTTTTATCTTACAATTACAATAATGCTGTTTATCTATACGCACGTCAATATTATTTGATTGTCCATTCGTTTAAGTTTAATATTTATTACGGTACACTTTAAATTCATGTCGTATGTCCATTGACAGGGAGTCTTAAGAGAAGTATATCTGCCTGGCTTCTGAGGGCGCTTGCTCCATAGGACAGTATGGGCATTTCAATCTGAAATAAATAATATTACAAAAAATACTTATAAAAAAAATAAATTTATATCAATAGAACGTAGATTTTTTTTTTTTTTTTTTTTTTTTTTTATAAAACAATAAATTTATATCAATAGAACGTACCATGGATAATTAATGATCATGTCCTGAGGACTCAGGTGTTATTCCTCTGTACCCAGTAAAAAAACCCATTCCCGAAACACAGCCATGCAAACACAATTTCACGGTTGAAACACGTGGGACAGAAAAATGGTTATTTGTGACAAAAATGGTTATTTTGATCTAAAAATTAAACTCCTAAGCCAATTTTGATAATAATTCTATGTGATTAATCTGCAAGTATATTCTTTCAGATAAAAAAGAAATTGCCAAATCGGGTTAAAACTGACGAAGTTAAGAGAGATAACAAATAAAGAAATATAACCAAATTACGAGCCTTCTACTTTTTATGTCGGTTAAAAATAGGACTATTGTTACACAAATTACAGAATACTACTTTTTACCCGCGACTTGATCCGCGCTACCAGGATCTGTCCTCCATTCCAAATGTGGATTATAAACCAAATCCTATCCTATCTTTATCCTATTATTCATATACTATATAAAAGCAGTCTGCATGTGTATCTGTCGTGAAGCAGCTGCGCTCTTGTGACTGTGCTTCGGTTTAAAGGGCAGTGAAATTACAGGGTACAGAAATATAACACCATAGTTCTCAGGAATGGCAACACATGAGCAGTACCATTTGAATCATATTACTCTGTGATACCCACATTGCTCTCATATCTATAAGTGACAGACACTGCTCTGGACCAGATGAACTGTCAACCTGTTTGCCATTTTAAATATCATAAAAAAACTGCAGATAAAACCTACATTGGGATTGGCGATATATAGATAGCATATACGTTTAGTATCTGTGATAATATCTATATATTGGCTCAATAACGGATATATTATATATCGGTTATCCAATACTATAGTATAGAAATGAAAAACCCGATCAAAATATAGATATCCGACCAGTATGGGCGATATCGAAATGATATTTTTTAAAACGTCGTACGATACGTCTCAAAGAACCCAATTTATAGATATCGGAGCGATATTGATATTACCGATGCCTAGTACAATGGACGTACTTGGCCCCCATGGCGAGCTTGTTGAGCGCGTCCCGCGAGATGACGTGTCCGCACAGCAGCCGCATGGGCGGGTTCTGCTCGGAGGCCTGCTGTCGCAGGATGGGGCACGCGAACACTGAGTGGTAGCCGCCGCCGTCCTCGCCCAGGTCCACCTGTACACACGCATCCAACGGGTTACTACTAGCTAACGTGGCAAACATGGGGAGAAAAGGGGGAAAGGGCTTATCAGTGATGGGGTCTAATTGACAAATTGCTAGCAATACATCCTACTAGGTCGATATCCACGCGGTTCCCCCTGGAAACCATCGTGGTTAATTCTAGTGGTATTTGTCACGATGGGCTAACTGACCTGATTTCATCGACACCTATCATCCCTCACTGGTGTCCCATCAGCGTATATCCATAGCGCAGGCGGGATTAACATTCCATTATCACACATTAAAAAAATGGGGAGAAGGGATTGTTAATAATGGGGATTTAAAATTCCATTGCTAGCAATATACCTTATAAAATCGACCTTCGACCCTCGGTGCCCCCTGGGATCCATCGTGATTGATTTATTGTTTTTTTTAACCCCTCGTAAGAGTGCAGCTTGTTCCCGGATATTAATTTCCAGGTTTTTTAGCTAATTTAATTTCCTTCTAAGTTTTCCTTACTCTTTACTACCATGTTCTCTTCATTCCTCATTTTTCATTCCACTTTTTTTAATCGATTTATTGTTGAATTCATCACGATGAACCAACTGACCTCCTTCCTTATCATCTCTCTTTGGTGCCCCGCCAGTGTGTACCGATAGCGCAGGCGGGGTCATTATTCCATTATCATACATTAAAAACCATGTTAACAAACTAAAATACAGTGTTTATTGGTAGGTAATTACTATTATTAACTAGCTGAGAGAGGTGTGAATGCCCGCTTTATCGTTCTCTAAGAAATCTTATAAAGTCATTTTAGAAGAATAACACGCTGTATATAGGGAATTATTCAGCAGGATGTACATTCCTGAATGTCTGCAGAAAGAAACTACTCTGAAGCCGCATTGTGGTCCCGAAATGAACTACCCTTTCCTTTTTTGTGAGTGTAGTGAGAGGCGACTAAGGGAACTCATGAACAAACAATTGACAGTAGTTTCTCTTTCAAAATATCAATTAAATGTAACTGCGGTTGCCAACTCATTTGTCAAGCGTGGCAACTATTGACTAAACACTCACTTATAGGGGAGGTCTAAGTTTACCAATAGATAGTTGATGCATAACTAATATGATTAAAAATTAACTTAGGTTTTTGAGTGTAAGAATGTTTATTTTTATCGATTGCAAGTTTTTTTTTTTTTTTTTTTACTACGATGATAAAAGTGACACCTTGAAGGTTATGTTGGTATGGTCGGAAATACTGCTGGAAGTTGATTCCAAAGAATGGAAGAAAGTGCCTTGAAAAACGCACGGTGGAAGACCGCCACTCGTCAGATGATTGGGATGAAACTCAATGTCGCGTGGTGAAAATTTCCGTTCATGATAAACGGTAGAAGATGCACAGAGACGCAAATTGACGGACCTTTGAAGTCTAACGGAAAATGGAGAACAGTATTCCTTAACATTTCGTTCATCATAAATCTAACTAACCTCCAGACAAAACTGGACGTCGCAAGATATATCAACGCCCAGAATTCCTAGGACTTTTTATCAAGGGAAGTGCCCTGAAATGATACGACAAACTACGATGATAAAAGTGAACCTGGTGGTTTTTCCGAATAATGTCGCGTTTTTGTTTAAAAATTGATCCATTATGTAATATTTCGTTCATTTAACAGTCAACTTTAACATTTTTCGGTATGTATTATGTAATTTTGTTTCGTTCGGCCCCGAAATTTCGGAAAATATTTCATAGGTAGGTAGGCCCTCTGATATCGGTAATGTGTTGATGTGAATATGTGTGAGTGCGGCATCGCGTGCCCGTAGCGTACCTCGAGCGGCAGCTCGTCGTCGGACCAGGCGGCGATGACGTGCGGGTGCGTCATCTTGGCGCGGATGTCGTGCAGCGCGGGCAGCACGCGCGCGCCGGCCAGCACGGCGCCGGCCAGCGGCGACAGCGGCGCCAGGCGCAGCAGCGCGCACGCCTCGCGCACGAACAGCTCGGCGGCGGCGGCGCCCAGCGCGGCCGGCGCCAGCAGCGCGCGGTACGCGGCCGGCGGCGCGCCCGCGCCCGCGCCCCCGCGCACCCACGCCAGCGCGCACACGCACGCCGCCAGCTGCCGCTCGTGCCGCGCCGCGTGCCGCGGGAACTGCGCGCGCGCGTACGCGATCGCCGCGCCCACGCCCTCCGTCCGCGCCAGCTGACCACGGCCCATCCGCACACGTTATAATGTTACTAGCAGCCCACCTCCGCGCGGCTCCCCCGGGAAACCATCGTACGACAGTATGAGGTACAATGGGCTACCTGACCTGCTTCCATTCTCACCTGTCATCCCTCCCTGGTGCCTTGCCAGCGTATGCCGATAGCGCAGGCGAGGTTACCATTCCATTATCACCCATTAAAAAAAACCTACATTATACCACCCCTTTACATATTTTTTTCATACTATTCCTATCAAGACAATGAGCATCCAGCCCGTCTGCTGGTAAATTTTTACCATAACCTATGGACGCCTGTAACACTAAGGATATACCGCACACGTTGCCGGCCCTTATGAAACTATATTTACGCTCTTTTTGAAAAATCAATTATTAGTAACGTATAAAAGTAGAACATTTACAAAATCTTAACCAATTTCAGATTGATCTTGCTCTTTCTTCTTCAATCGTTCAGTTTAAACCACATCATCGTTTAAATTAGAATATTGTAAGTCCAGTATACTCAAATTTCATAATTGAAATAAAAATCTTTTCACGATCTATAGGGTTTGCTTCTATACTAATCAGTTCCATATTGATTTTATCACTATTAACACTATTTAAAACAAAAACAAAATTGTATATGTAGATGTTGTTAAAAAAAATTGTGAAACAAAATGTTTATTAACAAAATGCTAACAAATTTTGTTTCACAATTTTTTTAATAACACTGAACGTCGTGCTGGCTACTTAAAAATATTATTATATGTTAATGTAGACTACTTATAAGTCTAAAGCTACCTTAAGTGCCTGCATCCTGTGAAGAGTGAAGGGCAAAGGAGAGTGCTCCAATTCTTCCGCGTGTTGTTCAGCCCAGCGCAGCGCGGGCGCGGGGTCACCCTCGGCGAGCGCGGCGGCACAGCGCTGCAGCGCTGCAAACGCGCATGTTCGCTCCACCGGCGAGATTCCGCTCTCTGCCACAAACGCATCGCCTACTTCCTCCAAACCCTGAGTGTTAGGGGTGAAACGGATTGTTACTAATGAGGCCATTGTTACTAATATACCCTAACAGGTCGACCTCCACGCGGTTCCCCCTGGAAACCATCGTGGTTAATTTTTGATGAAATCATCACGATTGGCCAACTGATTTTTAATTCTCATCTATCGTTCTTGACTGGTACCCCGCCAGCGTATACCGATAGCGCAGGCGGCGTTACCATTCCATTTTTATCCACTAGAAAAACCCCTGAGTGTTTAACAGACATAAAATTTTGAGGGATATATAACATATTAGAAATATTATATTATTACTAGCTGCCGGTGTAGGTAGGAGTAAAACAATGTCTGTTGCACTTGAACGAAAAACAGGATAAAACTATATTACTCTTATCTCTTAAGTTAGAGCAAACAATACACATTTATTTATTTAAACTTTATTAACCAATAAAATGTGGTACAAAAGACGGACTTTATGCTATTGGCATCCTACTTATTTAGGAGCTGCAGAGAAGTATTGAGTACAATGGAGGTTTAAAGGGGGGAAAGGGATTGTTAGCAATGGAGTTTGATAGCTCCATTGCTAGAAATATGCTTTATTAGGTCGACCTCCATGTGGTTCCCCCTGGAAACTATCGTGAACAATTCTTGTTGAATTCATCACGATGGGCCAACTGACCTGCTTCATCCTCACCTATCTTTCTTCACTGGTGCCCCGCCAGCGTATCCCGTTAGCGCAGGCGGGGTTACCATTCCATTATCACCCATTAAAAAAAAAAGAACAGGTGGTCCGTCAGCTTGTTGTCATTCTAAGTTGTATAAAAAAAGTTAAAAGTTATAAGTTATAAGTTTTCACTTAAATTATGATTAGCAAACATCGCGACACGGAATTTTTATATATTAAAATTTAACTAGTCATACATACATATCTATTACACCTGTCTCCCATTAGAAACAATGGAATGCCAAATGCTTCCATTCAAACAAGCCTTTTTATTCTTGCTTTTGTTTGTACCTCAAGAAATTGTATGGAGACATAAAATTTCAATAAAATACATTACCGAACATGTACATGATACACCAGATTCTAAAGTATATATCAACCACTAGGTAAACAGCATTTTCTTTAAAGCTAGCCATAGTGTCATATATTAAAAAAAAAATCATATAATACAAAAATAATTACCTGTCTGAATATGTGTTGCGCAATGGCTTGTTCCATAATAGGTTTATTTGAGTCTGAGCAAAACAATTCCGCTTTCGGTGCAACTGATCCGTAGTCAGCTATGAAGTGCCTGTCGATTGACTTGCCCACACGGGACACTGTAGCATGCAATTCTCGATGTTCTGTAGATAAAAAATTTTCATAAAATATTTATAGATTTTTTAATAAATACTATAATTTTCTTACTGGTTATATTAAGACCTGTAATCTTATACCACTGTCTTCCTAACCTTAATATTAGCAATATCGCAACCCCAAATTTATAGTAAGTAATGCAACTATTCATACAAGATCATTCATAAGGTAGGCGGAGAAAAGGCCAACATTTTTAAAACTATTATGTAACCAATAATTTATAATCCATATTTAGCAATAATACTTGTAAAATTTTAACAGAGGGAGACTGTTCAAAAGTTAAAGCATGGGGGGTATCATGGGTGAAACAGTATACTCTGTTATGTACATAGTACTTCTCATGTCTATAGGCGATGGAAGGATTGTGAATATACAAAATACTCATACACCATAACATCTATAGTACCCACCACAATGCATGTGGCATTACCATTTCTGAGATCTAAAATCTTATACCTCTGTACACTGTAAATTCACTGCCATAAAAAAAAAAATTATAATGTTTTAGTTACCTGTGGACATCTGGAATACAGTTTGTTTAACCCGTGCGGCCAGATCGCTTACCACCATGGCTTGAGTCTGAGATAATGGGGTATCTGGAGGATCTATAAAACAAATAACCAATAATTATTTTGTTAATAGTATGATTATCATCACTTGGTGGCACTTTGAATAGATATTGATTAAACAGTGAAACTAGCAATCAGGTATTTGAAAGAGTGTTTTAATGAATTGAAAAGAGACACCTCTTTTTGCTGAAATCTATATGACTGGTCAATTAGAAATATTTTGTTTAATTGAAAATGTATTATTTAGAAGTGAAACACATGTCAACATGTGTAAGGACTAAATAACAGTCAAGAGATTGATGAAATTAGTCATATTAATGGAAGGTTATAAACTTTTACTAATTTTAATAGTAAATCCACAAATGCTGGCAGTCACACACATACTAATGTTAGTGGAATTAAACAAAATAATTCTAATAGAATAATCAAAGAGTACATTATGTTTTTGTAATAAGATCAGTAGTTATTAAACTTAGATACACAAAATTACCTTAGCAATTTTAAAGAAATATATTAATATTAATACACTAGTGTTATTGAAATTCAATGTGAAGTGATAGCTACAGATTGTATTTATATAATAAATGACTTATATATAATAAATGATTTATATAAGATTGTATTTATATGAATTAGGATATATTAAAGACTTTTTTTTTAAAGCGGATTATGATCAAGAATTTATCTATAATGTAAAAAAACCCATTTGCTGATCTAGAAAATTTCCCAAAATTATAAAGTCATTTTATATTTTTAAATTTTTTTTTTGTGGAATCTTTGCTATCAATAAGTAAAATATTATAAATTTCTATGATAACAGAAAATAATGATAACTATATTTTTTGTTTTTGTTACAGTATCTTTTTAAAAGTAAGCATAAACATTTATGTTCAATTAATGCTTTTGTTTTTATCTGACTCGTTTATAAAAATATTGGAACCTGTATTAGGAATAAATCTAAGAGAATAAAGAATTATCTGCTTTTTTATTTTCTTAGACAGAAGCATATACTTCTAAATATGATAATTTAGCTATATACAATTACAAAAACAGCACATAGTAGTTTAATGATTCAATATTAGAGATCGGCTAAAACAGGTAAATTAAGGAACCTGGTGCATACATGCAGTGCTGGTGCATGCAGGTGTATGTTCCTGTTCTAGTAAGTAAAACAGCTTCATAGACCTGTTCCAAAATAACACAATGTTATATTGAAACACTGTTTCAAGATAGAGTACTGTTTTAGAGCAGAGAATAGTTGATATCTGTTTTTATATCTGTATACATAAATAGACATAAGAAGCGCATGTATAATACAAATAATAAATAGTTGCTATCTCTTCCTAATACAGATTAATTCCATTAGCTAGATATGAGAAGGGCATGTATCCTGTTTAGTTAGGTCTATGTGGTCAGTTGTGGAACTGGAAGTTATTATGGTTTCAATAGAACTGTTCTGAATTGTTATTTATTTAAACCTGTCGTGTTTAACTGTTTTGATATACATACCTCCCTTCTACTTAATATACATGTTTTATATTTCAGAAGAAACAGATAATTTTCTATCAGTCTCTTTTTCTTAAACAAAATTTCTTAAATGTCTTGTTTTTATACTACAATCATAAAATAAATTATTAAGAGACATTAATTTTAAGCATCTCAAGAAAAGAAAATAAGAAACCTAAGGTTATGCACTGATCGAAAGACGCAATTCACCGTGTTTATAATCGAATTGACAATTTTCAACTTGCTACTTTCTCTTTGTTTCAAAGGGTACATTACTTTTAAATACAGAAAACAATGTAGAAATTATACTCACTTTGTGCAATTTCTTTCTTCAAATTCTGAACCTGTTCTATGATATCCTGTAGAACTACATCAGTATGATCATTTATAGCATTAAATTTTGAAATTGCTTTGTCCAAATCCTGTTCAACACCAACGCAGGACTCCATATTTGTATGGTAATTACAATCGTATAACTAAGTGATGGTGTTCTACTAGTACTAAATGATACGTAGTAATTATTGTTTGGTTTTTTAAATACAAAACATTTATACAAAAACAGACATTTTACTATTAAACGTATCATATAATTCCGAAGAAGACAGATAAAAAAGAAATTTAACAAAAATTGACACTGACATGCAAAAGTACAGAGTAATTTTTTTTAGAAAGTACAAAATGTGTGATATAAATTCAACAACCTCGCAATCATTATTCTTAACATATATATAGAAAGAATCCATTAGTGTGAAATCTACGATTAAAAATATAAGATCCGTAAATGATGATTTAACATAACTATTTAATTTATTTACACATTTTTCATCTTTAAAAGAAGCATGTATCTATTGCTGTTTATTAAATGAAGAAGTAGCATTTTATATTTATTGTATAATAAATAGGTAGCGTAATATATCTATCTATGCCAATGAATCTCTCAATCTATGCCAGGAATAAGTTTTTTTTAATCTGTGTTATCTACAATCTATACTCTCTCTTTATGGTTAACCGATTGCACAATTTATTTCATTGCCGATATAGTTAGGTTATAATTTAAGCGAGCAAACTTTCATTAAAATATTTTAAATACAGTGTCTAATTTCTGTCTCGATTATGGCGCAGAGCAAGTTGAATGATATGGCAGGGAAATTCGCAAAAGGTGGGCCACCAGGATTGAATATTGGTCTGAAAGTTGTAGCCGTGGTTGGAGCGGCAGCTTATGGATTCTCGCAATCATTATTTACCGTCGAGGGAGGTCATCGAGCCATCATGTTCAACAGGATAGGAGGTGTCCAACAACACGTCATGAGTGAGGGTCTGCACTTCCGTATACCGTGGTTTCAGTATCCCATTATTTACGACATCAGATCTCGACCTCGCAAAATTTCATCACCCACTGGCTCCAAAGACTTACAAATGGTGAATATTTCATTAAGAGTATTGTCGCGCCCGAATGCAAGTAATTTACCTGTTATGTACAGACAACTGGGAACGGACTATGACGAGAAAGTGCTACCATCTATTTGCAATGAAGTTTTAAAGTCAGTCGTGGCCAAGTTCAACGCATCACAACTTATTACACAACGTCAGCAAGTTTCGTTGCTCATTAGAAGAGAATTAGTGGAACGAGCTGCTGATTTTAACATAATTTTGGATGATGTATCTTTGACTGAATTGAGTTTTGGCAAAGAGTATACGGCAGCGGTAGAAGCGAAACAGGTAGCCCAACAAGAAGCTCAGCGCGCCGCTTTCGTAGTAGAAAGGGCGAAACAAGAGCGCCAACAAAAGATTGTTCAGGCTGAAGGTGAAGCTGAGGCTGCAGAGATGTTGGGTAAAGCCATGGGTATGAATCCTGGCTATTTAAAACTACGTAAAATTCGTGCAGCACAAAGCATTTCTAGAATGATTGCTCAATCACAAAATAGAGTCTTCCTTCCTGGCAATAGTTTGATGATCAATTTGCAAGATCCTGCCTTTGATGATCTATCAGAGAAACTAACTAAGAAGAAGTAACATATGGTCACGGTGGAGTGCGTTGAAGACTTGAAGCAAAAGACCACTACTACCGATGATGATACTGCCATTATAATTAGTGGTGCTGCTTCTATCTCTGTTTAGTGCATTTGTGTTAGTGATTCACAAAGAATAAATGTAACTGTTGTTTCTATTATGATGTGGCCTGTTTATTAGATGTAGATTTATAGTATATATGAAAATCACATTGGTTTTAATAAAATTGTTAAAAACTATGTGTCATTAACTTGTTAAATATAATAATGCTAACACTTCTAGCTTAATAAGCTGCTTTTACTAATCTCAATAATACAAATACTTGAGCAAAGGAAAAATACCATTTGGCATTGTTTTTCAAATTTTTGCAATATGTATTTTTTATTTTATATATATATATTGATTTACATAAATGTCAATTGTGGGTAGAAATAAATAATTAGATATTGATAGTTTGGTTTCATAATAAAGTATAAAAGTATCTAAGAAAATAATAAATATTGTTGAATTTATCAATCACAAAAAATAATATATTTATAATTTGCCAATAAAATAGGTATCTTTCCTCAACTTCTATATTGTCCCATGCTTTAATGCTTAGAAGTCATATATATATTTTTTCTGCAAATTGTGCTAATAATATACATGATGTCACCAGTTATTTAAAAGTAATAGTTCATTAAATTTCCATCACAAAATTATTGGCATAGCTAGACTTACAAATTGAGACAATGGCTTTTGGGGAGTGAATTACTTAGAATGGGCAGTACCATCCATGACTCATTTTACCAATGCTTATGTATGAAATGGGGTAAAAGAGAAGAATTAAATTTATTATTTGAAAAGTGCAAAGTTTTAAGATGGAAATATGAACTAGGTTGATATTATCGGAAAAATGTTTCTGTACCCTTCATCTTGCAACTTCAATTATCTGATCCCTGAACCTGAGCGTCTGGTTGGACTATCTGCTCAACTTCTATTGAAGTCATATATATGTTTGCCAAAAACAAGAAAAATATTTTATCTTACAGCCAAGTGTTTTAAAGAGAAAAATCTAAATATATTTATGTAGTAAAACTACTTCAGAATAGATTTAGCAATTTAATTTGCGTGCAAATAAAGCTTTGGAAATTTCGTTTTTTAATTTACAACATACACTGCTAACTGATAGATACCTCCTAGAATTTTAGAATAATAATTTTTATTTATTTACCATTTTACAAAAAAACTTAAATATTTTTTTATTCTAGTATAGGGTTGTTATATGCTCATATATTAAAGACAAGAAAGTATTAAAATTATTGAAGATTCCTTCTGCATATAAACCCAATATTAACTAGTGTTAGGCTTCATAAAGTATAGGCTTAGTATTATAAAAACCAGCAATTACAGTCATGACAAAATTAATAACACGAAACTAACACAGAATTATCAATTGCAAAGAAACTGAATTCCTTAAAATTACAAAATACCATCAAATTGTATACTTATATACTTCTTTGTTATAATGATTCCAGAAACCAATTTTAAGTGTGTCTGATTTTATTATATATTAATATAAACATATCAAAAATTGTTAATAACTAATGAAAATTAAAATAATGATGTATGAAGTGAGGAGAAATGCTTATTAAAGGATTAGGGATTTAGCTTTAAAGAAATAATGCGTTGCAATTATGCTATTTATTTTAAAACAACACTATTATAGACATAACTAGACGGTAGATATTTTTTATTCTACTTCAGAGCTGAGGGTTGTGGCAATCTATACTTTGCCATTTCGATTTCCGCTTCAAAAAAGCTTGTGTTGTCATAACAAAAATACTCAGGGACTTTGTAAGCTCCAGTTTTACTAGGATCAACACCAGGGCCCACGGGTTGTGTTGCAGGATGAACTACAGCGCTGCTCAAGCCTGGAACATTCGAATTTACTTGCGTAGTCGGTTTGGATACATTTGGTGTTTGATTTTGCGTTGCACCTTCGCTATAATATCTTCCCAATATTCTTATTAGATTATTTCTCAAAATTGGCCTGACCATTATTCTAATTTTATTTATTACACAACTTAATACAATAAATTAGAGAGAATGAATAGTGACAATTTGAAAAAAAATGACAAAAACAGAGTAAATAATATTGCAGAGTCAATTGTATATTAACCTGTAATTGTCAAATGAACGTATGGATTATTAAATTCCAGACAAATTATCATATTGAAGACTTGGCAGCATGGTCTCCCACACAACGGAATAAACGTACTAAAACAAAATCAAACATTTTGTATACTCTAACCTACTATGAATTGATTAACTGATTGCATATCTTTCGTCCTCTTTTTACTATTATATTTGCATAAGAAGAAAGAAGACAACCGTACGATTTACAGGTTTTATTTTATCAATCGTTCAATGTAATTCCTTGTCCTGAAACCAATTACCAAACCATTTACTAACTGCAACTATTAGCAACACTACATTGACAACCTATGTCCAACAGTGGACGGTTAACTGCGGTTATCATCAAAATTCATGTTTATCTAATATATATACTATATATATTATGTCTATAGATTTCGGATTTGAATATTCTTAGATTGTTTATATTAATTAAATTATCCCTTAATAGTGTTGCATTCTTATGACTTGTAGATTACCAATAATTTAATCAACATGCATTTTTTGTTGTCTGTAAAACACAGAGGATAAAATAATTTTATTTCCATACTACAAATAACAAATTGCTATTTATGATGATTTATATTGGCCATTAGATTTAAGATTACAGTTTATAAATAATTTTAAATTGTTCAATGACTACTTCAGATTATCATTTATGACAACTACTTATCTACCTACTAACTTGATTTGTGTGAATGAGGCTGGAGGTCTGTTTCTTTTTTAATCTTGAATTTTTAATGCTTTCCTGTTTCGCCCAGCAGTGGCAACATTGTCATTCTCTATAGTCTATGGTCCTTTTTCATGACTGTTTTGGATAGTTTACCTACCTTGCGTATTTCGCCGATTTTTCGGTCGCGAAGTGTAATATGTGTATGTTTTAACGTTTAATCAATTTTACAAAGTGAAATAATGTATTGCAACCATAGTTAACTCTGGTTGCTGTAAAGCTTTCCATAGAACGCTAGTTCAGCCATTTACATGAAAGGTGAGTATAAAAAATTGGTACCTCAATGTTTTTTTATTATTTCTAAAGACCAGTTTTCTTCGTCTTGATGATGATTTAATTTTTTATAATTAGAATAACTGTGGTTTATCCTTCTTAGTTCATGTTAATAGGTAATTTATACAATATGCATACATCGTCGTAACTATATTATAGTTCTCGATATATATGTACCTATTTGCCGCTACTCTGTACATAATTGAATGTAAGTACCTATAGAACTACGATATAACCCAAACAAGTAGAATAGGTCGTGCGTTGCACTACGTTCCGTTTCATATCTTCAAACTATTTCAATGTATAAACTATAATATTTACCACCTAGGAAGATATTTTTTAGAATTAAATTCTCCATTATTTATATCAAATGTATTTATTTCCATTATATACAGCACTATATTTTAAATCAGTATTGGACAATACTGATTATAATTTTTTTTCATTCGGATCTCCGAAAAAATGGTGATAGGAATGCAATATTTTTGTCTATGGATTTTTAATTTTTTTTTTTTACATTGTTGTTCGGCTTGTATATTTTTTATTTTACATACGTTTTGGTGCAAGTAAAATATAAGTTCTCATATATTTAGTGATATTAACTTCGGATTAATACCAATACGATAAATTGTATATATTTTGACCCTCCGTGTTTCTAAATAAATGAAATGGCGGACGATATACCTGTATTGGATGTGCTACGTGAAGCTACGGAATATCTGTCTAAATTAGGCTCAAATTTGCGAATTCGTTCAGAAAACCTCAAGCAAAAGAAAATACGCAGAAATAAGTTGAATAATTCACATGCAATAAAAAAAGCAGCCGACAAAGTGCTCTTGATTTGTGAACTGTCAAAAAAATCTCTTGAAAATGTTGAGAGTGGTGTGAAAAAAGTGTTATCAGCTTTACACTCTGTCCAAAATACACCGAGTGGCGGGAAATTATCTTCGTCGCCAAAAGCACCAGCTGAGAAAGTTAAATATCATTATTTTGAATATCAGTCTTATAAATTGAGAATATCTAAAAAAATTCCTATAAAACACTTCATGTCAGTGAACGTTTGGCTCGTTCCATGCCAATATCAATGCAAGAGAACTACCCAGTTTATCATGACTGCAAATTGTATCGATTGAGGAATAAAATACGAAGAAAAAGTTTAGAAAACAATAGCTCCATTTGTGAACCAAAAATAAGCAGTGACAATTTGTATGATGGAGAGAGTAAAAAAATAATTCATCAATTAGATAATGATAACCACACCACTGCTGAAAATATTTCGAATACAAACTCCAGTAAAGATAGCAATGATGAAAACAGTTCAGGTTATATTAAATGTACAAAGAATGATTTGGATTCAGATAATATCTTTGAAAAAAGTAAAATTAACAACATAGTAAATGATGATGAAGTATCTGATTTCAATGTTTCAGAAAGTAAGAAAAATAAAAGATTATCACATAATAATGATTCAAATGACTTAAACAATGATGATATTTATACAGCTCAAGTGACAACTTCTAGTAAAGATATGTCTGTAGTAAATAATTCTCAAAAATCTGAATCTGAAATGACTAATTTGTGTGAAAAAAGCACAAGAAATTCTAAAGATGATTCTGATAATAACTTATGCAGTACTGATATTCAAATAAGTAAAGATAATTTTCCTACAGAACAAAGTTCCATTACAAATGTTAGTCCAGGATTAAATTCTTCAAATAATGAAAAATGTGAAAAACAGAGTGTAAATGACAGTATAAATACTGATTTAGTTAATGATAATATTTCAGTAAGTCAGATTGAACAATGTAAAAAACATTTGATAAATGATAGTGATGATTCAGATATTGGTAGTATAAAGAAATCTAAAACAAGGAAAAGATTTTCTCTTGATGATGATTCTGGTGATGTCTCGATGAATGCTGAGACTCCTAAAAATGACACAAATTCAAACAGAAAACATGATTCAAAGAATGTCAAAGAGTCAAATAAAAGGAAAAGAATTTTATTTAGTGATGATTCTAATGATAGTTTAACTAATGATGATACCCCTGTAAGTCAAATAAATACATCTACTGAAAAAAAATTTAAATCAGAAAATGTGACAAGAAAGAGGTCTGTTAGTTGTGTAAGCATTAATTCTAATGGTAGTAATGAGGATATTCAGAAAACAAAGTCAAATAATGATGAGATCATTATATTGGATGACACTGTTATTACTTTAGATGATACTATTGTTAATCTTGAAAAAAATGATTCCTCTAGTAAACATAAATCTAAAAAAATAAAATTAATGGAATCTGATGTAGATAATAAAGAAAATGAAAAAAGCAATTATGAAGATAGTGAACATGAAGCAGAAAAAAATGAAACAAATACAAATAAGCCTATGATAAAATGTGTTAGTTTAAGTAAATTACTAAAACCGGATATATTAAACAAATTTGCAGATATATCATCACAAAAGATAGTTAATCAGACTCAAAAAATATCAAAAGTTAATAAAAAGAAAGATTTAGATGAGGAATGTGTAAAAAATAAAACAAAACTAAAATCAACCTCAGATAATAATCAACTAGAAGAGGAGTACTGGTCAGAGAAAAGAAAAGAAGTAAAAAACTTCAAACCCAAAAATTTTGTAATAAATGTAATTAGATTACCAAATTTATCTGTAGAGTTTTTGCTTGCGCATAACTTGAAGAGAATTATTAGAGATGAATTAGTTATTTGTGAAGTTATTGATGAATTACATAATTTAGGTAAGGAATTAACATCAATACCTGTAGAATCACATAAAGAGAGGTGCATAGAGAATTCTGGTGAAATAAATGAGATTAAAAATTCTTTGTTAAATGATTCTGACACAGAACAACCAGAATCAAGTAAGAGCCAAAATTATGAGAATACTGAAACAGATGAAACAGAAGTCGTAAAAAATGCATTGCTACATGAATCTGATTCTGATAATGGAAATAAAGGTTGTAGTGAAACTATGAATATTAAACAAGGTAAAGATGATGCAAAATCTTCAGATTGTAAGACAAAAAATTCTGATATTGAAAAAACTGTTGATGATGTTGTTGATAAATCAAAAAGCGCACTACTTTTTTCATCAGATTCAGAAAATAACTCTGAAGGTAATGACAAGCCAACAGATGATAAAAATTTACCAGAAAGTAATATATTGAATTCTTTCAATGGTAATAAAGAGCAAAATGAGAAATTGAAAGATGGCAGGTCGGAGGAGTCACTTCACTCTGAGAAAAATAATGAAACAGAAATTCAAAAACATCTATCATCACCAGAAAATACAGAGAATGTAAAGATCACATTAGAAGATTCTTTAGAATCTACACAGGCAAATTCTGAAAGAAAACAAAATGTAGACAGTGTGACACCACGTTCCAAAAGAAAACATATAATGGAAAGTATGCATGCAAAAAAAATGTTGCTCACATACTCTTCAAGTTCAGACACTGAAGATGAACAATTGAGGAGTGTTCTTAAAGAAATAAAAGATTCATTACTTACTGGTGTGAGTGGATCTGAAGATGAGAATGGTGACAAGAAAAATAAAGGAAAACAACATCAAAGAAAGCTTAACTTTAGTTCTGGTTCAGAAGATAACGAAAATCAAAAGGACACATCACCTGCAAGACCATCCACAAGTTCAAAAAATAATTCCAGCAATGAATCTGAGTCAAAATCTTCCCGAAAAAATGAAGATGTGCAGTCAAATTCCAGTAGTACCAAGGTTAGGTCCTAATACACTATAGTCATGCTTAAAATATAATTTAGTATATAGAATAGTAATAGATGCACTATGTGGTATTATCCATACAATACATATATTTACTCTGAGATAGTGTAGCATTCCTTTAATGAAATATTTTTAGAATTGGTTACAGAAATAAGCCTCTGCAAACAAATTATTGCACTATTATAATACTAATAATAATTAATAAAATTATAATTGATGGATTATAATTATTTAAATGTTTCAAAAAATTTATTGTCTACTGCATTTATAGAATTACTACTATTACAATATGTGTTACAATATGTAAAATATAAGAATTGTATTAAGTACACTCATAATTGTATTACAATTTAACTATTGTGTCTAATGTTATTAAAGACTCTAAAGTGTTTTTTGATGTTTTATTTAACAATAATATAAATAATAAAGTATTATTATAACTAAAAGATAGGCAGATCTTAGGTTAAGTTAATCGAAATATGAAGATAGTCTCATATTTATTGAAACTAATTACAGATGGGCCGTTCTATGACGAAAGCCGGTGGTAGCAGCCAAAATTCAGACACTCAAGATGATAAAGATGTAGATGGGTAATTATTGATTTGGTGTAGGTAGATTGGGCCCATCAGTTTTTGGTATTTACTCATTTATGGCCTTTTTTTTAAAGACTTCAACTACAACCGTAAATTTACTTTCGCATGCAAATTATAACGATTGACAGTCTCTATAGTTCAGGTTTGTGTAGGGTACACTAACCCCAAATCAAGTATTCAAGAATCTGAATTTATACTAATGTACTACCTGTTGTTTATATTAAATATTCATCTAAGCCTTAAGGCGTAAACATAAATATTAAAAAATATTTTTTGTATGAATTTTTTTAAAATTTAAAACCCTCATGTACAGTTGTTATGTTTTTTAGATTTATTTGTACATAAAAATATTTATTTATTAATAGAAACCATAAAAAATATTATTTATTAATATAAAGGAACAATAATTTCGTCATAGTCATAGAATACTGACGGATCTGACAAATATTACATATATATATTCGTCAGTATTCTATGACTATGACGATTTATTTGTACTTCATAACATACATATATGTCACATAAACTCTCATTGTAGCAGGCAGAAACAATTATATGCTGACAAATATATAGCTATTGGCATAAAAATACAAAAATTTACCCTTCCCGGTATATTTACCGGAAAGGGTTCAGTTTTTTGTATTTTAATTAACCCTGCCCCTCGTAAAACATCTCCAAAAGCCTAACTGTGATTGCTAACCTCCCTGCCACACGTGGTATGTGGCAAATCCCCCCTTATGGAGGAAGAAGGCTTATGTTCAGCAGTGGACAGTTAACGGCTGAAAATAATAATGTTATGACAGAATATATCTTCTAGCATTTATCACAGATCTAATATAGTGGAGGAAACTAGTCATTGCTTCTACAAACTTAAATAACTTTGTACTTGGTGATCAAGCATTTGTGTACATATCTACTAAGATAGTTTTCAATCTTAGAACCCAGGGCCCGTTGTAGGAGGCCGCCAACCGAGCTAATTTCTAGAGGCAAAATAATTTTTCATTCATTACATAGAATGGTAAACATTAATAATTGTCTCAAATGGTAAAATAGATGGCCAGTTCCACTTGTCCCTACCAACTTTCCCTTCAGGTGGTAAAAATGGATATTTTTTTCCATTGTCTCTACCATTGTGTGTCTAGTAGGGATAAATGTAATAAATATGCCACTTTTATTGGTCATTATATGACCAAAAAAGTACGAATTATGTAATTGTGTAAATGATAATTATGTGAGTCTTACTTAATATTTTCTAGTTTTTAAGACTTATAATAAGTTTTATAAATCAGCCACTAGAAGTCGACCTAAACTTTTATAAACCAGCCAGTAGAAGTCGACCTGAACTTTTATAAACCAGCCAGTAGAAGTCGACGTGAACTTTTATAAACCAGCCAGTAGAAGTCGACCTAACAGTACATTACTAGTAATGAGGACTAACCTTGACGCTTACAATCTATATTCTACTAAGCATGATGATATTTAGAATGATATAATGTTATGCATGCATAAAGTCGACAGGTAGAAGTGGTATATTTATAATTGCATAATCCAGTAAACTATACTTATGCATTCAATGAGTGTAGTTTATTACATTATACAACATGGGAAACAAAAGAATGTAGTATAGGTACAATAAATACACTAGCATAAGTACAATAAAGTGGTCTTATTGTTAATGGTAAACAATATTTTTCCTCTATGGTATAATGGTACGTGGATAAATATATCCTTTACTGAGAACAAACGAAACTGATCACATTTGCACGGGTACGTAACAAAATATGCAAAGGAGTAACATGAAGCGCACGAGTATATGCTAGTTTCCTTTAAAACAATATATTTTATTAATTCACGTATATTTTTTTTACTGAACAATAAAACTGTACAAGTGGCAAGCTTAATGCCGTATGATATTCTCTGTCAGCTAACCATCAGGTAAAAACAGAAAGCTTATGAAGGGCAGTGGTGGTGAAAAAATGGGGCATAATTATCGCAACATGTTAAAATAAATATACATTCACATAATATATAAGAAATACTAATATAATAGAAATTATAATGTATTGTATTAATTGTCTATAGCCTAAATTCGTAAATTATTAATTTCATCCGGTTTACATAATGAACTTGATACGTTAATTCATATGAAAACTATAAAATATGGAATGAAATGAATTTATTTTGCTAGAATGCAGGTAATTTTAGATGGTTTTTATTTCCATCATGGTTGAGGTTTATATTTCCCATGTACATTCTGCCTCTATGTCGGCGTGCAAATTTTTAACAATATAAGAAATATATATATATATATATATATATATATATATATATATATATATATATATATATATATATATATATATATATATATATATATATATATATATATTCTACATTATATTTCCTTTCCTTTGTCATACAATATATTATTATTATTTATTACAGTAAACGGCAAATAAAAGCCTGTACAATAGTTGTCCAAATTAATAATATTTTAACAAACTAAGTAATAACTAACTAACTAATAAAAAATTTAAAATTTTTTAATTAGTGTATAAGAACAGAAGCATTAATGGTATCTCTAGTGTAGGTTGTGAATTACATTTGTTTTTTAGCGAAATATTCATTAATGGTATAAAACCCATTATGTAACAGCCGATTTTTAAGTTTACGTTTAAACACAGTATGAGCTGTTACTTCTCTAATGTTATTTGGTAGATGGAATAAATACCAAATAGAATAAAACCATTTGTACAATGTAGGCATTGTTATATTGGTATGTATCGAAATACTAGAATAAATAAATACGACGATGTATGCATATACTTATTATTTTATACCACTGACGTGGCAAACAAGCATACGACCCACTTGATGGTATCCATAGACCAGTGATTCTCAACCTTTTTTTGTTGCGGCACATATTTAACGATTTCAAAATTTGGCGACACACAAAGAAAAAGATAAAAATTATTAACTTACTACAACACACTGCATAAATAGTTTATGACAAAAGTTTTAAATATTTGCAAAATTTGGCGGCACACTTTTAAAATTTGGCAGCACACAAAAGTGCCGCGGCACAGTGGTTGAGAATCACTGCCATAGACTATGAACATCTGCAATACCAGGACATCTGCAATACATCTGCAATGCAATGCATTACGAGCGCAATAATACAATTATTATTTCGTCATACTCGTAGAATACTGACGGATCTTTATATGTAATATTCGTCAGATCCGTCAGTATTCTACGACTATGACGATTTGTCGATTTGTATATTAGTGTTATTAATAACGTTAATGAACTAGATTTTAATTCACTTATGTTATTTATAAAGGTTCTATTTATCAGAACATTTATTGTTTCATAAAAATTCACTCGATTGTCTATAAACACCTGCAGGCTAACGAATCTTAGTACCCTGAACAAAATACGCCGAAGGCGAGCATCGGCGTCGGCTGAGTCTAAGACATCAAAATCCATCAGAAGACGCAGAAAGATGTCAAAGTCTCCACTTATAAATCCGGAGAATATTCTGCAGGCGGAGAGCAGCTCAGATGTTGGTTCCGGCGCCGAAAGCGAATGTGGAGAAGGTACTAGTTGTTTCAAACTCTGATTTTCAGAACGGTGGGAATGGGGGTGGTAATTGCACACTCCCTCTACTGACTTTCCACTGACAGCCCACCTGATGAAAAGTGGTAACCGTCGCCTATAGACATGAGCAGTACCATGGACATAACAGAGTATACTGTTTCGCCCATGATACCCCCCATGCGTTGCCATTCCTGAGGACTAAGATTAAGTTTGTTATCTTATAGCGCCTTAACTGCTTAACCGATCACCATGAGATTTGGTATACATATACCATTTGGGATGGAGTAGGATATGGGATACTTTTTTTTATCACGGTCGGTAAACATATTCCGGTTGTACGGACGAAATTGGGTGTAAAAGCTAGTCAAAAATAATTGAATGTTTTAATTTGTTACAAATTTCATCTAGAAGTGTTTTTTGTGATAATTACGTCAAAACTTGGTTTACATTAAACCTTTACATTAAATTTTATTGAATAGTACTATAAAATTTGAGTAATTTCAATATTTTAAAATGATCACAATAAATAGAGTTGGGTAATACATAATAATATCTGTATATTGTAGTTATAATATAATATATAATGTTGAAATGTAGTACCTGATGCAAATTAATATAAATAAGCCACGGGTGTGGGCGATATTGAAGTTGGGATACCAGAGGGAGACTTTGTACAAAAGTCGATTGCTTATATATTGCGGTATCTCTTTCCCATTCGTGTTTCTACCGTGAAGCAGTTGTGTTTGCATGGCTGTTTCGGTTTGAAAGGTGGGATATGGCGTGAATTCACTGGGTACGGAGGAATAACACATGAGTCCTCAGGAATGGTAACGCATAGGGGGTATCATGGGCGAAACAGTATACTCTGTTATGTCCATGTTACTGTTCATGTCTATAGGCGACGGTTACCACTTTCCGTCAGGTGGGCCGTCAGCTTGTTTGCCATTCAAAGTTGTATAAAAAAAAAAACCTTTTATTCGCTATTAATGTCTGGAGGAACCCAAAATATAGATATCAGGCCGGTACAGATGTTATACTCATCCTTAATAAATTAATATATCACAACAGAGCATAATTTAAATGCTAGTATTATATGCTCTCAATTATTCAATTTTTTCCCCAATTCTTTCCAGATTTGCCTTCAGTGGCGTTATCAGGACTAAATGGCGATAGCATCGGCCATATTGCTAAGAATGACTTACTTGGTGAAAGCGACTCGTCTAGTTCACACGTTGACAAAGAAAATGAACCAGAGGTAAGAAGTATGGGAAGAAATAACCATATGAATATATTGTTTCAAAGTGGTTATGGCTATTGGTTATAAAATTGTCAAAATGTATAGTCAGGATTACTCAGCTAGCTATGGTCGAGTCGAGTCAGCGAGGGCTGTGCTCGGAGTTTCTTTGCGTGACCGAATTCGAATTTCTTTGAGTGACTACCTTAAATGCATTGCAGATAGTTAGTGGATGCAGATGGCTCAAGACCGTTGTTTATGGCAGTCTATGAGGGAGGCTCAGGTCCAGCAGTGAACAGAAAAAGGCTGAGATGATGATAGTCACGATTATTGTTTCTCTTGATTGAACCCATAATTCACTCCTAAGGAATAAGGGATCCCTCGAATGTAGCCTAAAGGAACATTTTAAAAATATTACATATTTACTGATTCAAAAATGATTGTGAATGCAGTCAAGCAACGACAGAATGTATTCAAAATATTCTTAGAATGTTCTTAACATGTTTCCTTAAATAAACCCAAAGAATTATGATAAAATAATACTATCACTTCAACAACTCCTGCAAATGTCCAGAATGACAAAAATTAATGGCAGCTGACCGTTAAAAAGAGCGGCAATATTATTTTTACATAAGGCGGCAAAATTGCTACATCCAGCACTGATTATTAGGTATTCTAATTTCAAAGATTATAAATTGTAACTTATCTTCGAATTACGCAGTCTCACCATACAATATATATTTTTTTACAGGAAATAAAAAATGAAGAGTCAGAGGAAGAAGAGTGAGTATCTGTAAAGTTATACACATATATGCATTAAATTTATAATTAGAATGCTAAATTCTCAAATCAAATGGAAATCAATTTCATACTTATTGGTGTTTAGTGGCAGTGATTTTACACTGCTTTCTCTTCCAATGGATAAGCATGGCTGTTTGTTCATGATGTCGGGGTGTGTTGTTCCATATATGAATAATCAGTAACATTGTTTAGTAAAAAATGTTTAGCTTTTTTTTTGCCCGAACTTTATTTTGATTAAAACTTTCCAAGTTAAAACATTTATTTCTGCTGCGGGTTCAAACCGCACTCGCTTCTGTTTTTTTAATAACAATAATGATTGAAAATAATTTTGATATATTAATAATATATTATTGTATAAGTTTTTTTTTATATTGTTGTTTATTATTATTTTTAATTCCAGCGTAAAGCTAAAGCGTCGCAAAGCGAATGCTATATTGTCGGACTCGGAAACCGGTTCGTCGCGTAAAAAAGACAAAGAAGTAAAAATGAGCGACTTCGAGGATTCAGAGGAAGAGAGTTCAGAGCCGGCAAACAAAAGTAAGAGAAAGAAGAAAACCAACGACAGCGACGCCTCTGCGGGCAATTCGTCTGATGATGGCGTGTAAGCACAAGAAATCAATATTATCAACTCTATATATATATTTTTTATTTATATGTTTTTGCTAGATGGTCCAGCATAGAATGGGCCACCCCTTCCTTTACCATGGATGTCTTAATAGTCGACTAAGGGAACTTAATGGTCAGGGAATTAGCATCAGCATTTCTCTTAAAATGTCACCAAAGTTTTATTGAATTGCCAACCTGCCTGCTAAGGGTGGCGACTACTGGCAAAACCCCTGTTATGGAAGAGGCCTATGTTCAGCTGTGGACAGTTAACGGTTGTATAATATTGATATTTGTTTTTGGTTGTATTTAGACTACGTTTTATTTGCGACTTCGTACGCGTGATCGGTTTTTTTTTTTGATGGGTGAAAATGGTATAATAACCCCGCCTGCGCTAACGGGATACGTTGGCGGAGCACCAGTAAAGGGTGATAGATGAGAATTAAAACAGGCTAGTTAGCCATGTTAGTTAGTTAACCATGATAGTTTCCAGGGAGAACTGCGAGGAGGTCGACCTGGTTGGGTATATTGCTAGCAAGACCAGAGGGAGACTTAGCAAAAATCGGATTCTCAGTATGTGTGTGTACTGTTATGTCCATTACTAACAATCCACTTTCCATCAGGTGGGCCCCTTGTTTAACATTCGTGATCATTGAGCCGAGATAAAAATGTTCATTGGCCGAGATAAAAAGTAGTCTATGTTCTCCAACCCATATAGTACGTCTATACTAAATTTTATAGTGATAGGTCAAGACGTTAAGACGCTATGGGGTAATAAATAAATTTACATTCACATTTATAGTAAGTATTTTGTAATATTTTCGCAAATTAGCTAGTAGTGGCTAATTTTGTATTTTTTTCATCGAAAGAATTTAATTTTACTATTGTATCCTGTACTTTATTGTGCCAAGATTGAAATAAATTTATTTAAGAAAAAATCTTAACACTATTTGTAAAATTGAATCAAGTTATTAATTTTGATTTCAGTAAAAAGAAACGCCGTCGAATAAAACAGCTCGACAGCGACGAATCGGGATCAGACACAGAAAACGAAGGCCGGAATAAACATGGAAGAAAAAATATTAGAAAGGTATGTTATTTTAATTTTTTATTTTTATTTATTTTTTGTTTTATATATTCATAAACTATAATTTGTATTTGAATGTCATATTTTTTTTTAATGGATGATAATGGAATGGTAACCCCACCCGCGCTATCGGTATACACCGTCGGGGCACCAGTGAAGGATGATAGGTGAATAAGCAGATCAGTTAGATTTTGTGAAAGATATTTAACAAGAATTGTTCATGATTGTTTAGGGGAACCACGTGGAAGTCGTTTCGTGAATAATGTTAAATGTGTATAATAATCTTTTGTCAAATCCATTGTAATTAATCGTTGTTTCATACCCTCTGAATGTCATAGTAAATGTTTATTTAAAATTCATACAGTACATAAACATGAAAATATAAATTAAATTAAGCACAAAAACAAATATTACAATCATTTAGTCATCTCTTAACACAAACAACATATATATTTAAATTTGTAATAGTAAGATTTCATCAATTGAGTACAGACACCTTGCTAGCAATAATGACTTCGATTTTGTCCTAAAGATATTTAAATCATTCAGTGACTTTAATTCTTTAGGTAGCTTATTATACACCACCACTCGTTTCGTGGACAATGTTGTACTATGTTAAATGTGGGTATAATAATCTTTTGTAAATCCATCCTTGTAATTAATCGTTGTTTCATACTATCCTCTGATTCATATAAATGTTTATTTTTAATTAAATTTTAAATCAACATGAGAAGTGACCATACCATCCTGAGGAGACAATATGACAATATGGTCCAGAGTATGTTCAATCAAAAAGAGAATGATTTAGAATTTCCCAATGACCTCACTATGCTGGCTCACTAAGTTCTTTTTCATCCTATATTGAATATATGTAATTTTATTTATTCAGGTTATGGGAAAAAATCAATTGGAAGAGGCTACAAAGAAAGCTGCAAGAGAAGAGAAAGAAAGGATTGCGCGTATTGCTGAAAGACAAAAATTGGTAAATACATTTGTACTACAGTTCAACAATTGCAATCAGACAAAAAAAAAAAAACATATCAATGGGTAGATAGACACTATTGCTACCTCCAAAAGATTAATCAATAAAATTTTCTTCAACTCTGTTTAGCTATTCGAAAATAATGAAAGGGATAAACTATTTTTTACGAACTTTACAATTATAATATTATCGCGCCAAGTCCCTTGCGGGATAGGCAGAAGAAATCAAGTTTCAAATTGATAATTTTAGTAGTGGTCGGATATCTATTTTCGAATATATTTTTTTTTATACCACGAAGGTGGCAAACAAGCATTTAGCCCATCTGATGGTAAGCAGTCATTGAAACCTATGGGTGCCTGCAACATCAGGGTTGTCACGTGCGCAAATTTGAATTGAATTTGCATTTACAATTTTGAATAACCCCATACTGTAGTCTCCAGGGAAAACTTTGGCAAGGGGCACATAGCTTAAACGTTCGTGGGAGAAAATTTCTCTGAAACCGCCCTGAGGGCCTACGATGAAACGTTTTTCGAAATTTCGGACCCGAACGAAACACAAATTTGATGCTAAAATTGCATTATACATACCGTTTAAAAATATTAAAAAAGTTATAATATTCTTCCTTTGGTCTTTTATAGTAGGAATAATGACGAACGAAATGTTAAGTTCCATTTATTGGGTCGATTTGTGTATGAACAAAAACACGAAGTTGAGTCCGAAAATTCAGAATTTCATTTCATGGTAGACCCTCTGTATGTGACCATTTAGGCTCAAACGTGTGAGAATTAAATCCCTGTCGAATATGTTAATAGTCGGTTACCCAATCTTATTTTTTGCATAACAGACTTTTACTACTACTTGACATACTTTTAATATATTCATTAATGGACCAGTATATAAACATTCTGAGATATATTATCCACTCCTACAACCATGACTATACCTCACGCTTTATCTTTTTTTTTTATACGACTTAGAATACAAACAAGCTGACAGCCAACCTGATGGAAAGTGGTAACCGTCGCACATACTGTTTCGCCTATGATACCTCCCTTTATCCTTTATCTTTCCCAAGGTAATAGCGATTTGTTTTGTATTCGCCAGTATAACAATTTAGAGTTCGACGAATCCGGTAAACCAGATGAGGTGGTGCTAGAGAAGGTCGTGCTAGACTTCGATCCGGAAACCAAGGAGCCGCTGATCGAGGTTGACAGGGGGCTGGTGAAGAAATTGAAACCGCATCAGGTGAGCTTGTGAGCATACTCGCAGAAATAGGTTAGATTTATTATTTTATATCATACCTACAACACATTTCCCAGAGGGAGACTGTACAAAAGTCGATTACTTGGGTACCTTTGTCCCATTCGTGTTTCAACCGTAAAGCAGTTGTGTTTGCATGGCTGTGTTTCGGTTTGAAGGGTGGGATATGGCGTGAATTTACTGGGTACAGAGGAATAACACCTGAGTCCTCAGGAATGGCAATGCATGGAGGGTTTTACAATTTTACAGTAAAAAATTTTGCTACATTTTTTTATTTTGTTCCAGGCCAACGGTATTAAGTTCATGTGGGATGCATGTTTCGAGAGTGTGAAGCGTATTAAAAAGGACAGAGGTTCGGGATGCATTTTAGCCCATTGTATGGGTCTAGGAAAAACGTTACAGGTGAGTTGAATGCGTAAATATTGTTAGAATATACATAATATCTTTTCAACATCAATTTGTTTGTGACATTTTATTGTAAAGTCTTAAATTATAAATTACAAATCCTTGGAATTTCTTTCATTGGGGTTTTTTTTTTATAATATGTAAATGAAGACTGATAATTTAAGCTGTTTCTGAGAAAGGTAGTGAGAAAACATGTTTTATCTTAGGAAAGATATATATTCTAAAAATTTGAAATTTTGAAAAACTAAATTGGTTGTTGTAAAAAAATATACTTATTAGATTATCTGCACATAACAAACAGTAAAGGAAATATTATTTTTAGAAATAAAAAATAGTATAGTTTTTTTGAGACATTCAAAGATAACCTGAGCTAAAAATTGAACATACTAAAAATTAGTCTCAATCTTCTATATTATTAATCTGATGTTAAATTAATTCGTAATTCATTTGTAAAATGCCTTTTCTTTACAAATGTTAAAAAAAAAAACAAAACACATGTTGCTGGGTGTCAGCAAGAATTGTATCTTAAAACTAGCTTTTTGCTACTTTGATGCATTGATTTGTGAAGTTGGAAAACTAATGAAATTACTACATTTAGATCAAGATTAAATACCAGTTTTATAAGTTAGACCTTCAGGAATATAACTATGGAAGCCGTATGCGATTGGGTGCTTTTATTTTTGCATAATGCCGATACAAACAGATAGGCTGACGAAATTTGAAAAATTATTGTCTTGGCATTTATGTCTTATTAAGATCCCTCATATAATTTTTTTATTAAATATTTCCCATGTACAGACATTATCTAGTTGCCATTTTATTATATTAGTAAGATTATATATAAATGTATGTTGGTGTCTAGGTGGTATCACTGACGCATACGCTGCTAACATCTTCGGAGCTGACAGGCGTGAACCGCGTGCTGGTGGTGTGTCCGCTGTCCACAGTGCTCAATTGGGTCAACGAGTTTCGCATCTGGCTTAAGCACGCACAGGCAGCGCGCGACCTTGACGTCTATGAGCTCTCCAGGTACTCCTGCTAGTCATTTTACTGAATTTGCTGTTATTTTGGCATGATATAGCAGTGAATTTACAGGGTACAGTGGTAATAACACCTTGAGTCCTCAAGAATGGCATCGCATGGGGGGTATTATGGGCGAAACAGTATATTCTGTTATGTCCCGCTCATGTCTCGCTTCCCATCAGGTGGGCCGTCAGCTTGTTTGCCATTCTAAGTTAGATAAAAAAAAATGGATTGACTATATAGGAAAAGTTATTAAGGCTACTATTAGTAGTCAATTCTGTAATGTTGGTAGTTGCATGTATACAGATGTCAGTGGATTAAACAAAATCTAATCAAGTAACTTCGGACTATTCTTTTTGTATAACCATTGCAAGTGTCTGCTGTTTACCATTTTTAAGTTCAACATATTGATTATAGCATTATTGCAATTAGACAAATGCATAGAAGTTTATTATCACATTTCTTGTTTCTCAATTGAAAGTTAATTTATAAGAATTACTTAAACAGAGCTATAGATGAAGTGCGTCAAGTCAGGAACACCATCATTCTGGAATATATACAACTTGATGTTAACTTCATGCTCTTTGTCTGATATATAGTTAGATATTTGTTATTGTTTTCTCTAAAAGATTACAGTAGTTAACTTATTTGGATGTTTTACCAGTAGTTGCCTTGCTTTTTAGGCTTTTTTTTTTTGTGAAAATGTAATAGTGATTCCGCCAGCGCTATTAGTATACACTGGCGGGGCACCAATCATAGATGACAGGTGAGGATGAAAGCAGATCAGTTAGCTCACCGTGATTCGTCACGGTGGGCTAACTGATCTAAATTCATCCACAAGAATCAACCACGATGGTTTCCAAGGGGAACCGCGTGGAGGTCGACCTGATAGAGTATATTGCTAGCTATCGGGCTGTTAGACACCATTACTAACAATCTCTTCCCCCCGCTTTGGTGGTGTTTCAAGAGGAACACTTGTCCATCCCATCGATCGTTTAATTTCCTTTGTCGCTTCTAACGACGTCCACGGGCAACTTATTATAAAAACAATTACAAGAAATGATCAGACTAAGTAAACAATAAGCGGCTTTATCATTAAAAGCGATGTCTTCCAGGTAACTTTAACGTAGAGAAGAGTAATTATTATAAACAGTATTGTTAGTTAAGTAAAGTCTAATAAAGTATGAGCAGTATGCTGAAGTGTTTATTGCGTTTCAGGTACAAGCAGAACTCTGAACGCGCATACCAACTGCAGCAGTGGTACGAGTGCGGCGGCGTATGCGTTCTAGGATATGAGATGTTCCGCAACCTGTCTGCCGACAACGTAAAAAAGTTCAAGAAAAAGATGCTGCGGATCTTCCAGGAGAGCCTCGTTGATCCCGGTATGTTTACACTTGCCATTCGTAGTGTGTTGATTATTTTTCATATATATATGCATCATTAAATGATCTGAGTAAATCTGTGATTAGGTCTCGATTCTCTGAAAATCAAGTAAAGATTATATTATATATTAGATATATTGTTTAATGTTTTATAAGTATATCGTTATAATTAAAAATAATAATAAAAAAAAATAAGTTATCATATTTTTTTTTTTTACTAACATAGTTTGTAAGAAAATTGTTACTAACAAAACGGACCAAATTGTAGTCTGAATAATAAAGTATAATATATATATTCTTTATTGCACTTGTAAATTACAATGTTAATGCATTTATAAATATTGTGAGCAAGGGTGGACTTATCTCTGACAGAGATCTCTTCCAGTCAACCCAATGCAGTTAGAAAACATGTTGCTAGCGGGCAGCTGAAGTGCTACAACTATTAATATTTAGTATACATAAACAAATATACAGTTAAATAAAATATTAAGATACATAATAAAATATTACATAAATACATATACTATAAATAAATATAATATCTACTTACTTATACAGTGGATGTTAAAATAAATGAATATACTACCTAGAATAGAAATTTAGTTCAATGATTTCAAAGTTTGACAGTTCAATTATAAAAATAAATAAATTATGACTCAAAGGAAAGAAAATGTAACTTCAACCTTTTCTTGAAAGAGGTAATTGAGGGGCTCTCTTGTATGTGGGAAGGGAGTTTGTTCCATAATTGGGCAGCTCGATACGAGAAAGAGTTGCCCATAAAATGTGTTCTACACAAAGGTAGGTCGAGAATCCTGGACTGAACTTGACAGGAGCGTTTAGGACGGATTGGTGGTGGTAATAATTTAAATCGAGAGCGGAGGTACGAAGGAGAATTGGGGTTATTAAGTATGTTATAAAGGACAGAAAGGATGTGCATATCACGTCGAAGTCGGATAGGAAGCCACTTTAACTGGTTGCGAAAGGCAGAAACGTGATCATATTTACGAAGACCAAAGATGAACCTAATGGCCAGATTTTGTAATCGTTCCAGCTTGTTTAAAAGCTCCTCTGTCACATCCAAAAAACAGACGTCGGCATAGTCAAGTATTGGGAGTAGTAGAGATTGTGCGAGCATGATTTTAGTATTTACTGGGAGAAAGTATTGAAGTCGCTTGAGAGAGTGAAATGTAAAGTGCATGCGTCTACTGAGCTCATTTATATGACATGTCCAAGATAGAGTCCCGTCCATTATGAGACCAAGGTTCTTAACCTTCTCGCTATATGCCACTGGAACTCCATCGTAGTAAAGTGGCGGTATCCCGGTCCAATTCAATCTGCATCGCATCCTGCTGCTGCCAATAATGATAGCTTGTGATTTAGCAGGATTTACGAGAAGACCAAATGTGTTAGCCCACGATTGTATTGCAGATAAATCCTTATTTAAGACAGCAATGGCATCAGACACTTCGGACAGTGCAAAGTGTCTGTAAAGTTGTAGATCATCCGCATACAGATGGTAGGGAGAATTAATGATCCGAGAAATATTGTTTATAAAAATTGAAAAGAGTAAAGGAGACAGCACGCCACCTTGAGGTACACCGGCAGTGAGTGGAGACCAATCCGATGAAGCATCATTGGCTCTGACACACTGCTGACGACCGAAAAGATAGGAAGAAAACCATTCAATAGCAGGAGAGGATACGTTTACTACACGGAGCATGGCAAGCAAAATGTCAAAATCTACTGAGTTAAAAGCGTTAGTAAAGTCAAGAAGAACAATAGCTGTGAGATTAGTGTCATCCATGGCACGCCGAATGTCCTCAGTAATATTAAGTAGTGCTCCAGTAGTGCTATGGGATGGACGGAAACCTGATTGGAAAGGGCATAACAGGTGATTGGCAGTGAGATACTGATGTAATTGATGGTGAACTACTGATTCAAGGACCTTAGAGAGAATGGGGAGAATGGATATGGGACGGAATTGGGAGAAGCTGGTCGGATTCAGAGTTTTGGGAAGTGGAATAATAAAGGCCTTTTTCCACTGTGTCGGGAAAACATTGCATTTCAGTGAGTAGTTTATAATGTGTGTGATTACGGGCAATATCTCATCCAACACCGGCAGAATCATATCGAGGCTTAAGTTGTCACTGCCAATGGCTTTGGTAGATATGGAACAGATAATTTTTCTGACAGCATCTGTGGACACTATACGGAAAGTAAATGAAGGGCAATCAGGCACTTCGGCATCAGAAAGATATGAAAGAGAGTTGGCCCTAGCAGAGTTACTTAAAGAAGAGGGAGGAGTAGAAAAGTGAGTATTTAAACCATTAAGGTCCAAGTTATTATGAGATTGACTAGAGGATTTGCCTATGCCTAAAGATTGCAGAAATTTCCAAACTTGCGGTTGGGAGAGGTTTTGAATGGTAAAATGGATATAGTGGCGTTTGGCATCCCTACACATTCTGTTGCAGATGTTACGTAGTTTCTTATAAGCCTCAAAATTAACCTGAGACCTGTCGCGCTTATACCGGGCCTTTGCTCTATCACGCTTAGCCATAGCTCTTCTAATTACTGGGGATAACCAGGGAGCTGGTGGATGCCTAATACGAACAGGACGAATTGGAGCATGAGTATCGTACAGTTTTAGTAATTCCAGATTTAGGATATCCACCATTACGTCAACGCTATCAGCAGAGAGCAAACTCGACCAATCGATGCGCCCCACATCCTCTCTCAAACGACCCAGATCCATACGCCGAAAATCACGAAGCAGACGAACCTTGCTCTTAGTCTTAGGAGGGCGTACCCTATATGAAAGATATACTAGATCATGGTGAGAAAAAGGAGAACACATTTGCCCCTGAGAAATGGCCATATTAGGATGAGAAACAATTGTGAGATCAATAAGGGAAGGTTTACTATTAGGGAAATAATGTGTCGGATTTGGCAATGTGAGTATTTGAAGATTTAGCGCAGTAGTTAAAGTCTTAAGTTTACTAGCTCTGTTGTCATTCCTCAACATACAAGTATTTAAATCTCCCATAAGAACGACATGATCATACTGAGTCACTAAATTTTCCAGTATATGTTCTAAGGTGCCAAAGTAATCAGTTTTGTTGGAAGGACAATACAAAACACCAAGTAGAATCTTTTTATGGTGAATCTTCAAAGAAAGAAACAAGTATTCGAGAGAACCAATATATCCTGGCTGAGATGCACAAACCACATCCGCAGCAATGTGATCGCGAAGATAGATCCCCACTCCACCTCCGCCTGTAAGAATCCGATCGTTGCGAAAGAGTTTGTATCCCGGAATGGCACAACTGACAGATGGTAGAGAGGGCTTCAACCATGTTTCGGATACAAGTATACAATCAACTATGCCAGCGCTGAAGGATGTGAGAATATCAGGGTAATGAGCTATAATACTCTGAGCGTTAATATGCACTAGGGAAAGGAATTTGGAATGGTCAGTAAAAGCAATAAGCAATTTATTTTCAAGAGGGTCACCATCAGATAACGAAGAGTCATGACTAGAAGCAGTATTAAAATCATCAGAGGAAGAACAAGAAAAATAATCATCTTGTATATTCATAAATACTTGTTAAATGTATAAAAATAATAATATATTAATAAATAAATATTAGTAAATCTATATTATCGCACTAAATATATCCTATATAAAATATTAAAAAAAAAACAATAATAAAAAAATGCTTAATTTCTGCTTAGGTTGACGCAACGAGTTAAGTTCATACCTACTACAAAAATATCACACACAAAAAAAAATATATCAAAAAAAAAGAAACATAACAATCATCAAACATTTACAAAATTGAGAATAGTGGGTACGGAATCCAGAACTGCAATAACTAAACGCAACACTGTAATTGTATTTGTAACTGTCAATTGTCAGTGGCTACTGACAATTGACAGCTCACACAAGTAACATTTTAAACAAAAAGACGGTTTACAAAATTGGTATCTTAAAAAAAAATTTAAATTACCCTCAGTCCGATTATTTAAGTGAGAGAAAAACAAATTATGAATGTGATAAACAAATAACTTTGTATACAAAATCTGGATCGTAGAATATTTCAAACTAATATCAATCAAATTATTTAAGAGAGAAAAAACAAAATATGAATGTGATAAATACATAACATGTTCAGTGTTACTATGCTTAAGAGAATACAAACAAAAAAAAAAACAGTACCCACAGTTTTTAATTCCCCACACTCTAAAAAGTACCTCACACAGTGTATACAAAAAAAAAAAACAGTATTTTATATAAGGTAATGTTACTGTAAAAATTTAAGTTTGTGAAGCTAGACTGTACAAACATTTTGCCAACAGAGTTATACAGCATTAGTCGCGAGATTCTTGGGATATAAAGAGATCATATGCTGCAACTCAGACATTGAAGCAATTTTCTTACGATTTTTATTAGGAAGAAGGATTACTACAATACCATCGGAAGACCAGCACTTCTTCATCCCAAAGTGATTTCGAGCTGCAACGAAGACCTCTTGCCGTAGTTTAGTTAAAAATTCTGAAACGCTTACTTTGGAACCTTTTAATGTGGTTTTGGCCTTCCATACTGTAGATCGAAGATGCGTTGAAGAAAATCGGACGAGAATTGGTCGGGCTGTCTCCTTCTTGAGACCCAATCTGTGACAGGTTTCTATAGCTTCGGGACTCACACCACTCAATTTCATGCGATCAGATAGGAGTGCTAAAAGCTTACTACGAGTATTCTCATCATCTTCCTCCTTGATTCCGTGGAAGAGCAAGACTTTCCTACGTGAGTGAGTCTCTAATCGATCCAAACCCAGCAAAAGTAGCTCAACCTGCGACTTGATCATTCCCAATGACTTCCATATGAAGCTTTTAAATGATGCGTAATCTGCAGCCAAAGTTTTCACTGTGGTTCCCGAAGAAGCAGATCCATGCTGCTGGCACCCTTTCTCATACTCCTCCATCCTACCCTTGAACATAGAGGCTAGATCGTTAATGCTCTTCATAAGCTGCTCTGCTGTAGTATCCATGGTGACGTAAGTTTTGTGAAAGTTTGTGAAAAAGTGTGTTATGAGCCAACTAAGTGCAGATTAGTTTAATTTTAACACATGTATATTTTTTCTATTTTATTTTAACAAAATTTTGGGAGCACGTAAAATTTATAACCACTTCTTACTGCGCCTACCCGCATCCCGCAAGTATATTATTATTATAATTAGAGATTATAGTTCTCAACAAATACGTTCATAAGTATATATTTTTTTATACCACAAACAAGTATACAGCATGTCTGAGGGTAAACAATTACTGTTTATTATATCTGATTATTTTTGTAATTGAATTTTACTATTTACTGATTTTTGTACATGAATTAAAATAACATAATACATATAACATATGTCAATGCTATTTTTTATGATTATTTACATATAATATTGTTAAAAGATATTTAAGATAAAATATTATTTGTTAATATAGGATATGGTTCATCTATGCACCAAATTTCATTCAAACCTCTTTAACTGCGGTTGTTTGGAAAACATTAACACATTTTTACATCTATAATACATACATTTGCATATTATAAATGTATTAAAATGTTATTAAATATCTTTTTTTACAGTTGTATCTAAAAATTGTGAACTTATCCATCGATTTCTTGTTTAGGTCCTGACTTGGTAGTTTGCGACGAGGGTCACTTGTTAAAGAACGAGAAAACGAGCCTGTCGCAATCTATGAACAGAGTGAAGACGCGCCGTCGCATTGTCCTCACTGGAACGCCACTACAGAATAATCTCAAAGAGTGTAAGCTGCTGTTTTCTTTTTTACATTTTTTTTTATGCAAGTTAGAATGGCAAACAAGCTGACGGCCCACCTGATAGAAAGTGGTAACCATCGCCTATAGACATGACCAGTACCGTGGTCATAACAGAGTATACTGTTTCGCCAATGATACCTCCCATGCATTGCCATTCCTGAGGACTCAGGTGTTATTCCTCTGTACCCAGTAAATTCACGCCATATCCCACCCTTCAAACCGAAACACAGCCATGCAAACACAACTGCTTCACGGTTGAAACACGTTTGGGACAGAGGTACCCAAGCAATCGACTTTTGTACAAAGTCTCCCTCTGGTTGTATAATATTTTTATAATAATATTTAGTTGGATAATATTAACCCTCTGTTACCATCCTTCATATTAAAGACGTCAGACTAATCTATCTATCTATACTTACACTAAATCTGTGGAGAGGTCTATTCTGTACATGAGATATATTCCAAAATAACTATTTTGGAAATATATTTCATGGAGTTATCAGAGATGTTATCAGGGAGTGATTAGTGATCGATACTAATGCCAAAAATACAATCAGTAAAATTTTTGTCTGTCTGTCTGTATGTTCGTTATAGAAACAAAAACTTCTCGACGGATTTTAAAGAAACTTGGTACAATTATTCTTCATACTCCTGGGTAGGTTATAGTATACTTTTCATCACGCTACGATCAATAGGAGCAAAGCAGTGAAGGGAAATGTGTCTGTTACATCAAAACCACTGAACCGTGAGGTAGGACATCGGCTACTTATTTTACAAAAAGCGACGGAAACGCGGACGAAGTCGCGTGAAACAGCTAGTATAACATAGTATTCTTTGGAAATCTTTTGATGTACTGTGCTTTATACCCTTAGTCCCCTCTTATATAATTTTGGAAAGGTATTGTAATTTAATCCGTGCAATTAAGGAAACTATGTTTAGACTATCATTGGTGGTGATGTCATATTGACTACTTCATTTAGGTGGATTATAATGTTTTATATAATATGTTATATACTATTGTTTAATTTTACAGATTACTGCATGGTACAATTCGTGAAACCGAATCTATTGGGAAAGTACAACGAGTATCTGAATCGTTTTGTGAACCCCATTACCAACGGACAATACACTGATTCTACGGAACACGATATACGGGTGATGAAGCGACGTTCGCACGTATTACATAAAATGCTTGATGGTGCAGTGCAGGTAAGACCTTATTTTTTTTTTTTTATATGACTTAGAATGGCAAACAAACTGACGGCCCACCTGATGGAAAGTAACCGTCGCCTATAGACATGAGCAATACTATAACAGACATGGATACCATAATGGACGTAACAGAGTATACTGATTCGCCCATGATACCGCCCATGCGTTGCCATTCCTGAGGACTAAGGTGTTATTCCTCTGTACCCTGTAAATTCAGGCCATATCCCACCCTTCAAACCGAACCACAGCCATGCAAACACAACTGCTTCATAGTTGAAACACGAATGGGACAGAGGTACCCAAGCAAACGACTTTTGTAAACTTGTTATTGTATCTGACATAAGTATGCAAATTCTATACTTGGACCTCTAGACAAATGGCAAACGAATTCGCCGATGGAATCGACATCGCTAGCGAGTCCGTGAGATAGAATGAGATAGCAACGCCGGGTGACTCATTCCAACATACTTCGTTTGCCACTTGCCTAGAGGGCCTGGAGTTATTCTATGATTTCTTAAAAAAAAAATGTTATTCAGCCATTGTTTCAACTTATCATCTTAAAAATAGATTATTATTTCTTCACTATTAATTTTGTGATAATGTTTCAGAGGAGAGATTACGGGGTGCTAGCGCCTTTCCTACCTCCAAAGCACGAGTATGTACTGTTCATCACTCTAACAGAAGTACAGATAAAACTCTATCAGCATTACTTAGACAACTACTCTAGAAGGTATGTTTTATTAACTGGTTTTTATAATACTCTGATGGTAATACCATCATTATTTGAGTCATTGGGGTCGTTTCTGAAGCGTCATTTCTTTAAACATACGTACATACATACTCCCATTAGGGTAGGCAGAAACAATGGAACGCTACATGCTTCGATTCAAATAAACCTCTTTCGCTTCTTTTTTCGAAAGTAATCTCTTAATATAAAAATTTTAATTGTTAATTTCACGAAATAACTTTTTTATGGACCATCCTAAATTTATAGTTTTTTTTTTACTTCATTCTTTTAGAAATTTAGTTCATATTTTTTTTTAATGAATGATAATGGAATGGTAACCCCACCTGCGCTATCAGTATACACCGGTGGGGCACCAGTGAAGGATGATAGGTGAGGATGAAGCAGGTCAGTTAGCCCATCGTGATAAATTCACTAACGAATCAAACACGATGGTTTCCAGGGGGAACCGCGAGGAGGTCGACCTGTGAGGGTATATATTGCTAACAATAGGGTTGCTAATCTCTATTACTAACAATCTCTTTCCCCCCTTTAGTTCATGTTACTCTTTATACTTAAGATATTGCTGTGATATCAAGTTTAAATTTTAGAGATAAGTTTAAAAAAATGACGCCACGGAATCGGTTTCCTTATTAACTATATGTAAATCTCACTTATCATTACCATTATATCAGCCGTGAACTGTCCCTTGCTGATTATAGGCCTCCACCATAAAGGGGGGTTTGTTAGTAGTTGCCACACACCACCACCAACAAAGCCTAATTGCGGTTGCCAATCTGGCAAATGTGGCAACTACTGGCAAAGCCCTCTTTTTGAGAGAACCCTGAATTCAGCAGTGGAAAGTAGACAGCTAACATGATGATAATGATCTAGTATTTATAAATATTTATTTATTTTATTTCGAAATATTTATTTTATTTGTGCCTAACACACCAACAGTATACATATTATACATAAATTTTTTTTTTGTGTAGTATGCTGATATGCATACCTATAGCAGGCGTACACAACATTGACTACAGATTACATGCATATAAATGTCATAATATAATTAATATAATAAATTAAATTTACAATTACATATTCTTTATTACAAAATTCAATTAAATATAAAACAAGACTGGGCAATACCATCAAATCTACATGGTCTTCAGTATCTTACCGCGAAACACTGCCAACGAGTCATGGCTTACGTCTATATTCGGCTCGAAATCGCATATTTTGCAAGCGGAGCATTCAATCCTAAATTAGTTTAGCATAATGGCACATAAAATATCTTATTGATGGGATACTTAGGGATACTGTGAGAAACTACATATTTAATTTCACTCAAAAGCTCAGGATAGTCCATAGTTTATAAATATATGTATATATTTTATCTATTGTATATATAACTATAAATATATAATTTATCTATTGTGAATGGTTATTAAATAATATAATTCATCACCAGACCACTGCCGGGCAAGTCGTCGGGTTTCCTGTTCCCTGACTTCCAGTCGCTGCAAAGGATATGGACGCACCCGCTCGTCCTCAAATATAACTCGGAGCGGTACGAGATCATGCAGCAAAAGAAAGTAAGTCTCCAAGCAATGTTTTCAAAAACAAAATTCTAACATAAATATATTATATGTTTTGTTCTGACTAAATTTCATTATTTTGTTGTTGTGATATTTGAGTAATTATCGCTCAAAATACAACTCTCGTTTCTTTAAATAAAAATGCTTTCTTGTCACTTTCTTTCAAATTAAGATTTTCGTTGGGAAGATAGAGATGAAACACGTCGTTAGCTGCAGTAAGTGTATAGACCAACCCCCTTATCCATAAAAACTAAAACGTCCTACAAGCCTACTTTAGCTATTAAAGTATTTTGTCACATTCTTTCAAATTAAGAATTAAGCGCCAAAGAAAAAGAGAAAACACTTAAATAGCTAGAATGGATTTATAAGAGATTTAACGTTTTTATAAATCAGGACTAATTATTCATGTTGACTTTATTCACGTTTTAAATTCGGGGATACTCAACTAATTTCAAAAGCTCGAATTGTTGACGATTGGCGCCTTACTGTCCGGCTCGACTCACTGAAACTGCGTAGAGATGTTGCGTCTCTGTGCATCTTCTATCGAATTTATCATGGGGAGTGCTCTGAGGAATTGTTCGGATTGCTACCTGCTGCTGATTTTCACCATCGTACAACCCGCCATAAACTAAAATTTCATCCCTACCATCTGGACGAGTGGCGGTCCTCCATCGTGCGTTTATCAAGGCACTTTCTTCCACGCACAACCACTCCTTGGAATCAACTTCCAGCAGCAGTATTTCCGAACCGATATGATAATAGTTTTACTTTTAGTAATAATAGTCAATCAATTTATATATTTCATTTGTCAGAGGGAGAGAGAAGAAGAAGACTCGGAAGGATCATTGGCCGACTTCATCGATGACGGTTCAACATCTGAAGTAAGTATCTTAATTTCAATCCATCCATCATTTCTAGGAGTCAATTGGTTTTTTTTTTAACTTGGGTGGTAATCAAGTCGTGAATACTTGTAGCTGCAGAGGCCTTACTTGTAAAGTTGGAACAACTCTTGTGATACGAAGATCTTGTTATTGGAATAGCAAACAGTTACATATACAGATATTTTGGTATATAGTAATTAGGCGTGAATTTACTGGGTACAGAGGAATAACACCTGAGTCCTCAGGAATGCCAACGCATAGGGGGTATCATGGGCGAAACAGTATACTCTGTTATGTCCACGGTACTGCTCATGTCTATAGGCGACGGTTACCACTTTCCATCAGGTGGACCGTCAGCTTGTTTGCCATTCTAAGGTACATAAAAAAAGGCATAGGTAATATTTATACCGCTCCGATATCTATATTTTTTTAATGAGTGATAATGGAATGATAACCCGCGCTAACGGTATATACCGGCGGGGCACCTGTGAAGGATGATAGGTGAGGATGAAGCATGTCAATTAGTCCATAGCATCGTGACGAATTCAACAAGAATTGTTCACAATTGTTACCAGGGAAAACCACGTGGAGGTCGACCTGATAGGTATTGCTAGCAATGGGTTCATTAGACCCCCATTACTAACAATCCCTTTCCCCCCAGACACATGATATCTATATATTAGGTTTCTCTAGGCATTGATATGGCGGAAATTGACTCATATTTCGATATCGATCATACCGGTCGGATATTGATATTCATTTTGCTCAGAATCCTCATTTTGACATTAATATTGGATAATAAACATCCACATATGTACACATCCATTTTCAAATCATTTTTTAAATCATTTTCAAAAGAGGTGATATAGAAGAATTCATTGCTTGAATATTTCTGCTCTGTATTATCTGGTTGCATTGCGTGCTATATTCCGCTTTGAAGTGTGACAATTTTAATTTACTTGATACAGTGACTCAAGATTTTTCTTTACACGACATCTCCCTCGGGTAACTGTTTATAGACATTGTTTGATAAATAGGAGACAACGACAGAAGAATCAACAGATGAGTTATCGGATATGAGCGACGACAGTAACAAGAAAAGCAAGAAGAAAAAGTCGGGCAAGAAGAATAAGAAGGACAACAAGGGGGCTGCGCGGAGAGGGACGAGAGCGAACCCAGGTTTGTTGTTATTTGCTATCTATTTTTTTTTTAATAATTCCTTCGTTACTTTAATCGTAATGCTAGTATCGATATTTCTATAATTAAACTACAAGTCAATTACTAATTTAAGCATTGTTTCTAAACTATAGGGAGAAAATTATAGTGACTTCAGAAATACTTATATACATAACGTATTTTACTAATTCATACAAGACTGCGTATGTATATTTCGACTACTGCGCGTATTAGGATTTGGCGGGACTGTAACTCTAACATTTATAACATACCTTCTTTTAATTATTAGTGTTTTTCAAAAATTTTCTTTTTAGTTCTTAATTCGGTTGTATATTTTTTATGTTTATTACTTCATAACTCCGTTAGTTCTGAACCGATTTGGGAATTGTTTTTTTTTTTTTTTTTTTCTGAAAGCATATACTTACAGATTGGTCCCATTGAAACCTAACTGGTTTTTTCCACAACTGAATTCAGTTTTTTCTTTTTAGTCTTTTCTTTTTAGTTTTTTTTTAAATATTTAAAAACACATTTAAATTATTAAATTATTTAGTTTTTTTTTTCATATTGAAATTCTAGCGTAAACGATAAAAGTTTGAATACATGCACTTTGCGCTTGCCTAAAGTAGATATCTAAAGTAATTTTTTTTTTATACCACTGAGGTGGCAAGGGGTAAATGTTTAAATTCTATAATTCTAGAATTAACTTTGTCTATAGTGCTTAAACATTTGTATATCATAACGTAATATTTATAATACAGTGGAAATAGAAGATGATGACATACCAGAAGTGCTGGAAGTGAAGAATGAGAACCCGACCGAGTGGTGGATCAAGTTGGTCTCCGACGATGAAGTCGAAGACATGAGGAACTCGCACAAACTCGTTCTACTCTTTGACATTCTGCGGCAGTGTGAGACGATTGGTGATAAGTTGTGAGTAATTTATATCATCGTTGTTTTTTTTTTATACAGCTTAGAATGGCAAACAAGCTGAAGACCCACCTGATGGAAAGTGGTAACCGTCGCCTATAGACATGAGCAGTACCATGGACATAACAGAGTATACTGTTTCGCCCATGATACCCCCCATGCGTTGCCATTCCTGAGGACTCGGATGTTATTCCTCTATACCAAGTAAATTTACGCCATATCCCACCCTTGAAACCGTAACTCAGCCATGCAAACACAACTGCTTCACGGTTTAAACACGAATGGGACAGAGGTACCCAAGCAATCGACTTTTGTACAAAGTCTCCCTCTGGTAAAATAAGTTGTAATATTAATATGTGAAATAATTCGTTGTAATAAGTCTTTTTTTTTTAATGGAAAGAGAATGGTAACCCAGCCTATACTATTGGGTACCAATGAGGAATTATAGGTTCTGTTTTTTTAATGGGTGATAATGGAATGGTATCCCCACCCGCGCTATCGGTATACACCGGCAGGGCACCAGTGAAGAATGATAGATGAGGATGAAGCAGGTCAGTTAGCCCATCGTGACGAATTCAACAAGAATTGTTCACGATGGTTTCCAGAGGGATCCACGTGGAGGTCGACCTAATAAGGCATATTGCTAGCAATGAAGCTGTCAAACTCCATTGCTAACAATCCCTTTCCCCTCAGGAATTATAGGTTAGAATGAAGTCAAAGTTAGTTAATGTAACCACGATTCATATTCATAAGAAACTATGATCAGAGGGACCGCGTAGAGCTCGACCTGATGTAAAAATTCATAAAAATCCCACTAATGTGGTTGTATTCTTATAGAAAGGAAAATGGAATGATGACGATGATGATGATATCAGCCGTTACTGTCCACTGCTGAATATAAACCTCCTCCTGTTGCGAGGTTTTGCTAGTAGTTGCGACGCTTGGCAGGCGGGTTGGCAACTGTAGCTAGGCTTTGATAAGGTTTTAAAAGGGATGTTGCCGCCTATGCTTGACTCATTAATTTCCCTTAGTTGTCTCGTAAGACACCCACAGGAAAGGACAGGGTGGCCTATTCTATACCAGATCCACACGGTAAAATGGGATACCTAAATAAAACTAAATATTTACTAATACTAATATTTGACTGCCATATTGGATTCTAATATAATTTTTGTGTTTTAAATTGTTATAAATTGAATTGATTGCTTAGTGGATTGTTATCCATAATGTATATAGAGTAATAATAATATATTTATTCTTTCTTATTCCAGGCTTGTATTTTCACAATCATTATACTCATTGGATCTTATCGAACATTTCCTCGGGAAAGTAGATGAGGCTACACAAGAGGGGCGTATTGATGAAAAATTAGGAGGACATGTTGGTAAGTTATAATAACAAGTATATATATAAAAAATTCTAAACCAACTTTAGACTAAAATGTGAACAAACGAATAATTGACAAGACTATAGGACAGTCTGCTTATCAATAGTAGTATAAATAAAAAAAAAGTCTTTGGAGAGATTTTGCATCACTCTGCGTGTTCTACCGCCTGTACAATAGATTGTGCTCAGAGAAATTGTTCAATATGATGCCCACAGCCACTTTCTACCATCGTACGGCTCGCTATCGACAGGGAGTTCATCCTCATGTCCTACAGCCTCAATGGTCGCGTACTGCGCGGTTTTAGAGATGTTTCCTCCCACGAACAGGTTGTGGAATGAGCTCCCTACCGAGGTTTTCCCAAGAGACTACAGCATGGGGTTCTTCAGGGTCGGCAACGCACGCATCATACCTCTGGTATTGTAGGTGTTCACAGGCTACGGTAACCACTTACCATCAAGTGGGCCGTATGCTTGTTTGCCACCTTAGTGGTATAAAAAAAAATTAATTCATTGAGTGTTTCTTTAATAAATTCAACAAAATTTGGATCCCTTTTCGTGACGAATAGAAATTCGAATAAATTAGGAAATTTTATCTTTATCTGTACAGTTTTACCTTTGAACATTCTATAGTTTTCTTTCAGCTTCTCAAAGGTTGAATGTAAGAGTCATACAGTTATGTTTTTTTTTTTTATAGTGCAGAGAATGTCAATAAACGCTAATAGTTCATTAAATGAAATGTAATGACTGTCGCCTATAGATATAGACCCTGGAAATGTACAGATTTTTATACATATTTTTATATAAAAAAAATCAGACAGGGTTTAAATCTTGTTATTAGTTGAACTTCTGTTTCTTTAGACTTCTAATTAACAACCGTTACCCGCGGCATCGTCACCATATGGAGTTATATTTTCACTAGCTCAACTTGAAAACGTTGTTTTGTTTCTTTTTTTCTTATGAGGATTATAACTATACCAGAGGGAGACTTTGTACAAAAGTCGTTTGCTTGGGTACGTCTGTCCCATTCGTGTTTCAACCGTGAAACAGTTGTGTTTGCATGGCTGTATTTCGGTTTGAAGGGTGGGATGTGCGTGAATTTACTGGGTACAGAGGAATAACACCTGAGTCCTCAGGAATGGCAACGCATGGGGGGTATCATGGGCGAAACAGTATATTCTGTTATGTCCATGGTACTGCTCATGTCTATAGGCGACAGTTACCACTTTCCATCAAGTGGACCGTCAGCTTGTTTGCCATTCTAAGTTGTATAAAAAAAAAACTAACCTATTTTTACCAGAGGGTGACGTTATACAAAAGTCCTCTGTTTGAATACCTCTGTCCCATTCGTGTTTCTACCGTGAAGCAGTTGTGTTTGCAAGGCTGTGTTTTGTTTGAACGGTGGAATATGTCAGTGAATTTATAGAGTACAGAAGCATTACCTTAGTCTTCGGGAATGGAAATGCATGAACGATATCATGGGTGACATATTACATTCTGTTATGTACATGTCATAGGCTAAAATTACCACTTTCCATCAGGTGCGACGTTAGCTTTTTTGCCATTTTAATTTGCATAAAAAAAAACCAAATTGAAGTGAACAATGGAATTATAATCATCCGAACGTATGTCCCGGTTGCATCCTAATTGGAGCCCAGGGTACGTTTGCAAGCGACACCATATGTGACTTGACAAGATCAGATTTTTACAAGAGTGACTGCCGTCTGACCTCTTAACCTAAAGGAGAAAGTTTCCTTGTTATATGGGTGCTTGTAGGTACATACGCCTTTAAATTTCTTCTTTAGCGTATGCAGGATTTCCATTTCCTCACGATGTTTTCCTTCACCGTTTAAAGCGAGTGATAATTTAGAAAAATTGCTAAATCCGTACATAAGTTAGAAAATAACTCATTGGTACAGGCCCCAGCCGTGACTCGAACAAAGACCCTCAAGCACGAGAGTCCGGTACAAATACCGCTGGGCTATCACTACTTTTTGAAGTGAACAATGGAATGAAATGTACAAATTTACAACTTTTGATTAAAATCGATTTTGGAAATTAGCTTGATAAACATTGTCATACACATTTTTATATGTTTAGATTTATAATACCACTGCCTACTGTAAATTATTAATATTGTTTGCAGGCTCATGGTCACCGGGAATAGATTACTTCAGATTAGACGGTTCCACATCATGTGAAAATAGATCTATATGGTGCAAGAATTTCAACAGGGAAGATAATCCTAGAGCTAGGTATGTAATCTTACTTCATCATCATCATCGTCATATAAACTGTTACCTGTTCACCACTGAACATAGGCCTCCCCATAGAATGTTATAAGAGACGAGGCTGTTCGATTTTAGGGCGGAATTTCTCTAAATCTGTCTTGTAAATTACTATTTGAATATTTGATAATTTCGTGAAATAATTATTTCATTGATTATCATAAATTAAATGTATATTAATTTTGATTTAAATTTAGTATAAATTAGTTCATATTTGATAATGAAAATGGTATTGTAACCCCGCCTGCGCTAACGGGATACGCTGGCCGAGCACCAGTGAAGGGTGATAGATGCGAATGAAAACAGGCCAGTTAGCCCATCATGATGAATTCATCAGGAATTAACCATGATAGTTTCCAGGGAGAACCGCGTGGAGGTCGACCTAGTTGGGTATATTGCTAGCAATGGGATTCTCAGTCTCCATTACTAACAATATCTTTCTCCCCGATTAGTTCATATAGGTTCTTAAAGATTTCGTTGTAGATTTTTATTACGAAGCGAAATTCTGAACACAGACATATACAGAGGTATAACTAGGCAACTTGGATCTTCACACGTCTAACAGTGTTGGTACATTTTCGTAAAAGAAAGAATAAAGTTTTAAGAGTTTTGAATTATGTATAGTATCATGAGTGAAACGTTATACACTGCAGGTTGTTCTTAATATCGACGAGGGCGGGCGGGCTCGGCATCAACCTGGTGGCCGCCAACCGGGTCGTCATCTTTGACGTCTCGTGGAACCCCTCGCATGACGTGCAGAGCATATTCAGGGTGTACCGGTTCGGCCAGAAGAAGCCCTGCTACATCTACAGGTTTCTCGCTATGGTGAGTTCATTCAGTATTTAGTAGGTACCTTTTCCTGGAACTTTGTGCGCGACTCGCGTAATCATAATGGAATGGTAATCCCGCCTGCGCTATCGGTATACGCTGGCGGGGCACCAGTGAAGAATGATTAGGTGAGAATGAAAAGACAGGACAGTTAGCCCATTGTGATGAATACACCTGGAATTCAGCAGGATGGTTTTCAGAAGGAACCGTGTGGAGGTCGACCTAATATGGTGTATTGCTAGCAATGGGACTGGTAGTCTGCATTACTAACAATCCCTTCTCCCTTATATTCTCGGTTTTCATAATGCGGCGCATAGATGGAGTAACAATCGTTTTCTCTCACGATAGGGCACAATGGAGGAGAAGATCTACGAGCGGCAAGTAACGAAGCAGGCGATATCGAAGCGCGTGATCGACGAGCAGCAGATCGACCGGCACTACGCGGAGAACGACCTCGCCGAGCTGTACAAGTTCGAGCCGACGCCGCCCACGCCACGCCCCCTACCGCCGCTGCCCAAGGACCGGTTATTCGCTGAGATGCTCAGGGAACACGAGGCGCAGGTGTGTACGGCATAATGCTTTAATTCGTTGAGTTCAGTTTGTATATCTTCTCCATACTCATTTGTACTTTAATATGCACTGATTTAAAAAAAAAACTAGTGGTATTTCGGGAGTCCCGACAGAAGTTAAGAGGTGTCGATTACGGTAACAGTGTAGCGGGTTCAATGGTTTTTTTACCATCTCAATAAATGCCAACATGCATATGTATCTATGTACGTACATACACAATGTATGTAGATACTTATATACAGAGGTGTCGGGTACGGTAACGCTAAGTGTCGGAGAAGGTAACCAACCATTGAGGTTGATTACCTTCTCAAAAAATGCCCAACGCGCCTAAAGAAGTTTTCACTTAAAAAAAAAAAAAAAAACATTTTCATCGAACGGCTTTTAACTCATCTGTAGAATTTTATTTTTAGCACATTGTAACTTTCACAGTATAATAACAAGGAATATTTTTCAGTGTTCGTATCCATTTTTTAAAACTATAAAAATAAAACCATATTTAAAACTATGGAGAAAAATTCTAAAAAGAGTTTTTGGGAAAACAACCGTTTATGAATGTTACAGAATGATTGTAGTTTGTACAACAAGATATTTACGTTTCAGATCTACAAGTATCATGAGCACGACTCGCTGTTAGAAAACAAAGAAGAGGAGACTTTAAGTGAAGAGGAACGCAAGGCGGCTTGGGAGGACTTCGAGAATGAGAAGAACCGACCGCCGCCCGCGCCGTTCCCCTCTGCCTGGCCCATGCACAATGGAATGGGTTAGTTTTTTTTTTTTTATCTTACAGTGAATGAATTAAGAAAGAGATTTATGGAGCATGAATGAATGGAGGTGTCGTTAGGGGTCGCCCTAGACGGATGTATGTGGTCTAAATAAGTAGATGAATGGGAGGAAGCGAAAGAGGTCTGTTTTGAATCGGAGCATTTCGCATTTTATTGTTTCTGGCTGTCCCTGATTGATCTGATATGTATGTATAAATGGTTATGATTGCATGTATGCTCGAATTTTGGCAATGTGTTAGCTAATTTTGTTTGGTTGAATACATTTCAATACAGTTTTGTTAGATTTGACTACAAGGCGATCATATATTACAAATTTGACAGTAAACATATGCTGTCGAGTTTTTTTTTTCTTGTTTGGAATAGCCTCTTTTCGTAATAAGGAACATGTTACTTTTAATACAACTAGTTTTCAATGTGGAGATTATAATTCGAATTTCGAATTCGAGATTAAATTTAGAATTTTTGCACTAAACTACTTTTTTTTGTGTAAAAAAGTTGGAATAAAAAAAAAATGACAATGTAATATGTATATAGTTCCAGGGTTATTAGCGCAGCAGCAACAACAGTTAGCGTACGCGGCGCTGGCAGCCATGTTGAGAAAAGACATCCCCAACATCAACGACAACCAGATACGGGATATGCTACCGCTTATATACAACAGTAATCCACAGGTACGTACACCAATCCGCTAGTGAGCCGCCCCGGCGTCTCTCGGTAATATGCAAATGCCTGACAGTATTGCTTTTCGCAATACAATTAGGAAATTTTGGACATGACCTTCATAACACTGATCTAATTAATCATGTCGCACAAAAAAAATTCATTGTTTAGAGGAAACTATTGCGGCGATATTAGAAAAACATACGAGAGAAATGAAAAAATTCAGAAATTTTATTCATTTAAATAATAATTTTAAACATCCAAGTGAAACAAGAAACAATGTGGAAGTGGAAGGATGTGGCTACTTGGTGGATCTTGTAATTAATAAAAGAGGACAATCAATACTAGTTTTTTAATAACTCTATACATTATACTTTTTTACACCACAGATAAGACAACCACAGAGTAATTATAAATACATCACAGGCACTAGCAGAGTTCTAGCTAGACTAACCTATAATAAATGAAAATTGTACACTGAATGATGTTAGATGAAAAGATCTAGAATTTATGTAGCCGATGTCTTTTTTTTTTTATTTTCTTTTGGGCTCATATCACAGTCTGTTTCTCGTTGACCCATATCTTTTATGCTTTCACCTTGCCTTACTCTACCGCAACGATTCCTAAAGTGGGTGGGTGGGAATATAGGGTTTCTGTAAAAAAGCCACTGGAGTTCCGCAAAATTATTTATACGGTTAAATAATTTAATGCTTCATATTAAAAGTTAAAGAAAACTATAAATTTTTTTTTATATTTTTTAAGTATTTTTTTTAAACCCAATTGGTTAGATTTTTTTCCACAGTGATGTAATTTTTATGTATTTTATGTATGAACAATTTATGTGTTTTATTTTATGATCTGGCCCCTCTATATTAGTAATTATATATTAATATATAAGAATTATATAAAGTAAAAGGGGGTAAAGGTATATAATTTTAATCATTAACATTTATTTGTTCAGATGTTCGGTGGATATGACTATGGTGTAAGTTTCATGTCGATTTTTAGTCCACTATGGACACAAAACTCAGGGGGCTATAACAGCCACTGTGTCCGATTCATATAATAATTTGACAAATGAAACTGTATAGTATCCTATATATTAAAACTCGGCCGGTATTCTAAATGAATTCTAATATGACTCGCGTGAAGTGGCTATTTTAACCTCCAACTAAATGTCACCTAAATAGATAAACACTTCTCGAGACTTCGAATTATTTGTATAAAATATATTTATATCTTTTTATTTACATCAGATTTGCATTGAACATAAAGATAGGCATAACTTAACCTAAATACTAATTATCCACCCTTTATAGATATTTGGTTAAACACTATAACTTGTTAAATCTCCTTAAATTAAATCGTAAAATTTTTACTCACAATTATTTAAATTGTCCTTAAATCATGTAATATTGAGAATAATTATGTAGTCTACTCGTGATAATGATAATATAATTTATAATAAAATTGTTATTTAACAGTTGATGCAGAAAATGAGTGAAATATACAAATACGCGCAACCCGGCATGATGAATCCTGGAATGATGAACGCCGTTATGAATCCAGGTAAGTTAGATACATTTGTACAGAACAACGACTTTATTGGTAATGGGAAGCAGTCTTTCTTAGTTGGGGTACTTCTCGAGGTTCTGTAAGAAGTAAAAGTAATTTATTTCATTGTTAAGAAAGAAAACTTATTGACGATTTACCTGATAGAAAGTATCTAATGTCAACAATTAATACTTGAAATGCTACAGACATTATTGGCCTTTTAAAATTTTTCAAATATTTTTTGTCATTAGTCAATTTATCTTTTTTTTTTTATACAACTTAGAATGGCAAACAAGCTGACGGTCCACCTGATGGAAATGGTAACCGTCGCCTATAGACATGAGCAGTACCATGGACATAACAGAGTATACTGTTTCGCCCATAATACCCCCCATGCGTTGCCATTCCTGAGGACTTGGATGTTATTCCTCTGTACCCAGTAAATTCACGCCATATCCCACCCTTCAAACCGAAACACAGCCATGCAAACACAACTGCTTCACGGTAGAAACACGAATGGAACAGAGGTACCCAAGCAATCGACTTTTGTACAAAGTCTCCCTCTGGTGTGATCTGATACGGTAATCCGAATAAATCAAATAAACATATGTTCTCTCGTGATTAGAATCCATCTTACTTTTTGTTATAATCATAATTTCAACTGTTAACTGTTCACTGCTGGACATAAGCCTTCCCCATAAGGGGGGGAGCCTTGCCAGTAGTTGTCACGCTTGGCAGGCGGGTTGGCAGTTGCAGTTAAAGTTTTAGACATGTTTTAAAAGGGACATTGCTGCCTATCCTTCTATTATTAAGTTCTCTTAGTCGCCTCTTACGACACAGACGGGAAAGGAAAGGGTGACCTTTTCTAGACCGGGATCACATGGCTATTTGTTTTTGATGGGTGAAAATGGTATGGTATCCCCGCCTGCGCTAACGGGATACGCTGACGAAGCACCAGTGAAGGGTGATAGATGAGAATGAAAACAGGCCAGTTAGCCCATCATAATGAATTCATCAGGAATTAACCATGATTGTTTCCAGGGGGAACCGCGAGGAAGTCGACCTGGTTGGGTATATTGCTAGCAATAGGATTCTCAGTCTCCACTAACAATCCCTTTCCCCCCTCACATGGCTATTAGATGAATTCACTATTATCCTACTGCCCCAACATTTGGCAGAAATTGCTTTTTTTTTTCAAGAAGAAAACCTTATTCTTACGACATAATGGGGATGAAAAAGAGTCGTTGTATTATAAACTTACTTCATTATAAATATAATTTTTTTTAATACTACAAAGTTGTCAAACAAGCATACTACCCATTAAAGGTCACTGTACCCTATAGACGCATTCATGTCTATAGCCAACAGTTACCTCTTTCCATCAGTTCGTCTGTTACCTTGTTTGCTATTCTAAAACGCATAAAAAACATGTATCAATCATCGTCAAACATTTTTGTTGATGGGCCCCTTTCGAAATATGAAAAATTTTATAATGTCTTAAAATGCGTCATCTGAGTCCTCAGAAATGGCAACGCATGGGAGGTATCATGGGCGAAACAGTATGTCCATAACTCTGTTATGTCCATGATACTGCTCATGTCTATAGGCGACGGTTACCATATTCCATCACGTCGGCCGTTAGCTTGTTTGACATTCTAAGTTGTATAAAAAAAAAATTGCTCGTCGCTGCAGCCGGTGGTGGCGGTATGGGCGGCACTAGCGGGCTGCAGTACGAGCCGCCGTGGCAGCGTCAGCAGCAGCAGCAGCACCAGATGCGCCTGCAGCAGTTGTTACAACAGCAACAGCAGAATGTACGTGTACTAATATAAGTTGTTGATATTTCATTTCATTTGTACTTTAATTTTTATGTTTTCATTGATACTTTCATTTCATTTCATTTTAATATTAACTATTGTGAGTCTGTATTGTAATTGTATAGTTCAAAACTAGTCTGATATTCTTTAATATAAAAGTGGCATAGATAGGTGAAAAGCATAAATTTATTTTGTAAGGCACTTAAAATTGCCACTGTCCTTGGAAGAACATTTTGCACGCTAATGTTAGTAAAACATGTTAGATCTATACAAATTATTAGAATGCTATTATTAAAGACACAGTCGTGGCTACGGTGATACGATTGTTTTACTGACTCAGCACTTAACGCTTAGGTAAGCGAAATCGTGTGTTTATCTTATAGTGTTTATGATATGTTTATTATGATATTGTTGGTATCCTCAATGAGTTACTAGGCTGGAGTGCAAAGGGTTTTACTAGTTTATTACCCGTTACTTCGTATGCATGGATTTTAGAAGTAGAAAAATAATACCATATCTAGATGGCGTATCGAGACAAAACATGTACCAGAGGGCCTACAATGAAATGTTTTCCGAAATTTCGGAGCCAAACGAAACATAAATTTGATGTTAAAATTACATAATACATGCCGTTTAGAAATATTAAAAATGTTAAAATATGGTTCCTTTGGACTTTTATGACAGGATGTATGACGAACGAAATGTTAAATTTATTGGTTCGATTTTGGTATAAACATAAACACGAAATTGAGTCTGAAATTTCGGAATTTCATTTCATGGTAGACCCGCAGTTTTTAAGTTAGACTTTCAGGAATACTGCTAGGAAAATCGACTACAATTAGGTGTAGTAGTTTTTGCTTTATACCGAAACAAATATACACACAGAGAGACACTCAATTTTTTTTAATGTAATTTTTAGCATCTTATCAAGATGCCTAGTGTTATTATTATTATTTAAATAAACTCGCATGTACAGACGTCGTCTAGTTAGTTGCGATTTTATTATATAAGTAAGATGAACCATTGGCACGATAACCAGATGGGCGCGAAGTACTACGCGGGCGGTTTAGGAAGCCGCGACCCGGTGGCGATGGCCTTACAGCAGCAGCGGGCGCGCGAGATCATGGTCGGCGAGCGGGGAGCCACGGGCGCGGCCGCCACCGGGGCGGGCAGACCGCGCGGCCGCCCGCCGCTGCAGCCGCGGGCCCCGGCCGCAGCACCCGCGGGGGCGGCCGCCGCGCCCGCCGCGCCCGCCGCGCCCGCCGCGCCCGCTGATGTCGTCAACCTCGACTCCGACTAGACGTGAGTGCTGCACATAACTCTTCTCCTTAAATCCTCCTCTACATTCTAAAGTACTCGTCATCATCTTCCTACCCTTATCCCAATTATTATTTGGGGTCGGCGCAATGTTTTCCTCTTCTATTCTTTTCTATTCCCAGTCATTTCCGCATTCACTCCCATTCTGGCCATATCGTCCCTCACACAATCTATCCATGTCTTTTTAGGTCTTCCTCTTCTCTTTTAGCCATCTACATTCATTCTTAATACTTTTTTTTTTAAATATGCTCCTCATTCCTGTGCCTCACATGCCCTGTAGGGACACCGTTAAGCGGTGGAAATACGTTTGTCCTTACTTCTGATAATGAGGATGAAGCGATTACAATATTTAAGAAGGTACGTGCACTTACTTGAAGGAATCTCATGCGCCGCACTGCTTTCCACCTTTGACTGGATGCTGTTATAAATTCTTGATTGGTAGGCCTACACAAATCTTTAAATACACAATATTTTATCTGTAATTTGATGATCTCCTAGATCACTGTTCGGTTATGCTCTTGATTCGCGACGGTACGTGATCTCAAGCCGAGTGCAAGGACAAGTTCACTAACTGCCCTCCAACTTAATAATAATGTAATCGCTTCATATCCGCGAGGTGTGGACATTCGATTATGAATCGAATAATCGATCGATTGAAGCGCCGTTTGGGACGATACATAATTCCGCCCACCAAAATTCGATAGTAATTTTCTTAACAAAGACAAAAACGATACTATAACTTAAGATAAGATTGAATACAACGATATGATACATACACTACTTGTTAATGACAATATATAATTAAATAAATAAATATATGATAAATGAGAATAATTTACTAGAATGGTTCATTTGGTAAAGGACATAGCTTTACCAGAGGTCGCGGTTTTACTTGATTTACGCGATCTTTAGGATGGTCACTCATGAAATATTGTAACGGTTTAGGTTGAATTTGAAAACAATTAATGCATTGCGATAAATAGCGTCGAATGACGCGTTTAGCCGATATTATCCAAAATTGTTGTAATATTAAGTATTGTGTAGTATTTATACCACAATGACAATTGTTCAAATGAACCAATTGAATTAATTTCGATGTAAACGAATTATTAGATGGTAATAATGCTGGATGTACCTGATCATATGCGAGTTCAGAGCGAGAAATTCTACCGCCCACCCTGAGCACCTCCTGGTTATCAATGAATAGACTGAGCTTACGATATGATTTAGGCAACGATTGTTTAGAACGAATTTTCTCAATTTCGATAGAAAGCGACAAGGAGTGAACATATTTTACGAGGATAAGAAGTGATTGGTGTCGCTCATCGCTTGATAACACTGAATCTGTAGTATCAGATTTTCGAATGACGGCGTAGGCAATTTTATCAATAATAGCATCTAATGATAGATCGCTATTGAGTAACTCCTCTAAAAAAGGATCAAGATTTGGATTAATCGGTGCGGTTTGTTGATCTAATAACGTGATGTTTCGTCTTATAGATATTATTTTATCATAAATTTTAGTGATAGATGCAGAAGATGATAGCCACTCGATGTGTGGTTTACGTAACCATGTGGGGCCCGCCCACCATAAAGAATTGTCAACAAGTTGTTGAGGAAACTGGCCTCGAGAGCAAATGTCTGCGGGGTTGTCATGTGTGGGAACATGTCGCCACTGATCAATAGGTGCTATACTTTGTATGTGGCTGACTCTGTTGGCAACAAATGTAGTCCACTTTAATGAAAGTGCTCGGAGGATACGTGGTATGTTTAGTTTTTTCAAAGGAGCGACGTGAGCTTTGGAACACACAAAACGGGTATGTATACGATCACTATTGTCTGTAACACGTAAATTAAAGACAAAGCCATAGGCCTTCTTCGAGCTATCACAAAACCCGTGAAGCTCATACGATACTGCGTGAACAACAGTACAACGACGGGATACGATTAAATTTTGAATGGATGGTAATTGTTGTACATAATTTGTCCACATACGAACAATATTGTCGGGTGGTGTTTCGTCCCATGCTACGCCAGCTATCCAAAGTTGTTGGATTAAGAGTTTGATATGAATAGTCACTGGAGAAAGAAATCCCAACGGGTCGAAGATGCGACTAACCTCACTCAATATGGATCGCTTTTTACAAGCTTTGTTAAGAGGTTGCACGTGAAAGACAAACAATTCACGCAGTGGATTCCATTTAAGACCAAGAACCGTGAGTGTACAAAATTGTGCATCGATAAACGATTTAGCTTCCACAAGACAATGCTCTGGTGGAATTTCTTCCAGCAACTCTGGTTTGTTACTAGCCCATTTTCTTAATTCGAAATTACCAGATTCGAGCAAAGTAATAACCTGCGACTTCAACTCGCGAGCTTGGAACATAGTATCGGTACCAGTGACAATATCATCAACATAAATATCGCATGTGATGGTTTCTTTTGCTAGATAGAACGAATCCTCTCCATCTCTCGCGACCTGCTGAATAGTACGACAAGCGAGATAGGGAGTCGAAGAAACACTATAAGTTGTGGTTGCGATATCTTCTTTCTCACAAAGAATATTTTCAGGAGTATACGACCTAGCTTGTAGTACACTATCGAGTTCCCAAAATTGTTCAACCAATTTCACATGATGTTCTGACTCAACATTCGATTGCAACGCGGTCAATGATGAACATGATAACAAAGTTTTGCCTAATAATAACCAACCAAACACTGAATTAAATGCTTGTGGCTGCGATGGACCGCCCTTAATGCGTTCGGTAAGGAGCGAATCCGCGAAGACGTCTGCACCAAGTAACAAATCCACAGGGCCGGGTATATCAAACCCAGGATCAGCTAGATTTAATGATTCGATGTGTGACCACCCACAAGTGTTTAGTTTTGCAATAGGTTGATCACAACAGATCTTGGGAATGACGTGCATGTCATGTTCAAATGACACTTCAGTGTTATTTGCCGATAAGCTTCCAATTACACAGCGTACTATACCGCTAGTTGCAGCTGACACGTCACCCAAGCCTTTAATTGAATAAGAAGAAGAAACTAAATTAAGATTCAAACGATTTACTGCTTCTTCAGTAATAAAATTATTCTGACTGCCAGTGTCAAACAATGCACGAAAAGTTTGATTGTTACCGAGACGGTCCTTTACCGTAACAATCGCTGTTGCTAGCAGCACAGTTGTATTGACACTCGAGTTATGTGTCAATAATGATGCAGTATTGACCGATTTTATTGTGTCTTTATGTAACAGAGTATGATGTTTACGCTTACATTTCTGACATGTAAATACAGAGGCACAAGTTTTTAACTGATGCGAAGATTTCAAACAATTGTAACACCATCTTTTGTCATTGACTATTGCCATGCGTTCGTCAATAGATTTATCGATAAATGATTTGCATGAAGCAATCGAATGAGCCTGGCCACAATATGGACAACCTTTTATTGAGCTGGCAACACTAGATGATGCACTAGTACCTTTGGATTCATTAGTTGCAACGAGTGTGTGAGAAACATTTACACGCCTTGCATGCATCCCGACATGAGTATTCGACGATTCATGATGATTGTAATGCGGTTTATTTGAGTCGGTAAAGTGTGTATCACGACTGTGTGCTTCGCATTTCGAGTGTAAGAAATCTCTAACTATTTTATAAGAAGGTATTTGGATATGTGAATACTTTTCCTCAAACTCACGACGTGTCTTAGTATCAAGTTTCGATAATAGATGATAAATAAGAACAAAATCCCACTCTTGAACGGGTAACTTTACCTGTCGTAGTATATTTAAGTTCTCATCGATCATGTCTAGTGAGCGACGAAACTCCTTTACGTTATTAATTTTAAATTCCACATTTAAAATTTCACGCCAACAGGTAAACGCTAAATCACGCTTGTCCCTATAACGATTAACTAGTGCGTTATATGCGTCGATATAATATTCACCGGCTACAGGGTAGGCTCGTATCAACGCTAAAGCATCGCCTGAGAGTGACGATCTCAAATAATGAAATTTTTCCAAATTACTTAATGAGGTATTCTCGTTTATTAAAGAATTGAATGTATTTATGTATTCTGTCCAGCATTTAATATTGCCTGAGTACGTGGGAAGAGTGACCTTGGGTAATTTTATATGTGAAGAACTGTTCTGTTCCGGTTCATTCCGTACCTTAGGTTTAGTATATGTACGTTGCAAGGCTAGAACATTAAAATACATATCATCAAAACTCTCACGAACACCCTCATCATCGGACTCTGAATCATCATGTAAATCCAGAATGAGGAGATGTGCATTCTCGAAATCGGTAGAAATTTTCTGTAATTCATTACAGTACGATAAAAATAAATCCAATTTAGTTGCATCTAACTTCGCGTCATTGCCTATTTGCAATGCCTTAGATAAACGATTAAACGCGATAGTACGTTTTCTTCTTAATGATGGCAAATCACGAGTTGTGTATTCTTCATACTTCGATTTACTGCGCTTTGACAGACTAAGTTTACGTTTATTTGTATTAACAGACATCGTGCAAAAACGATCAATTTATAAGTTGTTTACAAATTTAAACAATGAAGAACAAGTCTATAAATAGATTCGAGATTGTTCGAGAATGAAACAAAAAATAAAAAAAAATATTAATAATTTGAGGGTAAATGTTAATTTCTATAGTCAACGGAACTTTATGTAGACAGAATTTATTACGAGAATATTTTAACAATAGAATATTTATAATTTATTCCACAACAGATATTAAGTTTATTTATATATATCTATAAGATTTCAATATTAAATTCACTATAAATATTACTAAAATATGCACTAGTTACGAACGAAATTCCTTTTGATAATAATATTTTACAATAATATAACTTGTAAACGAATAAATTTACAGAGTCGATGAAAATATTAATATTAAGTCACCATTAATTTAATATGAAATTTGTCTGTTTGTTTTGTTCACTAAAAACTTAGAATATTACAATACTTTTCCTATAGTAATGTGTATTCAATAACTATGTGAACCGATAAGTAGTTATATAAGCACGAATTAAATGAGATTGCTTATATGATTTCAAAATTAGTAAATACCTATACAATAGATGGATGATCAATTTACGATTTACGTTTAATGTTCGTGTAAGCCGATAAATTATAAAAACACCGATATAAATAAGATTGTTTTTATGATCCTACATAAACATTAAACATCGATACAATGAAAACTAGGAGGAACGAATAAATCACTATAAAATAGTAAAAATAAGCCTACTCAATGCACTGGCAATGGCAAAGTTACAATTCCGCGCGGACTACCCACTTGTTTTAGGAATGTGAATTCCGATTTCTGATTAATGTTTTAATGATAAAATATGATTTAAAATATAACGAAATTAATAAATATGAGTATTAATTTATATGTAATCGGAATATGTAAAGTCCCAATGCAACGATAATGATCTATACAGCCGATATTTAGATATTACGAGATTTATATCCCGGGTTTCGGCACCAAAAAGAATGTAGGGACACCGTTAAGCGGTGGAAATACGTTTGTCCTTACTTCTGATAATGAGGATGAAGCGATTACAATATTTAAGAAGGTACGTGCACTTACTTGAAGGAATCTCATGCGCCGCACTGCTTTCCACCTTTGACTGGATGCTGTTATAAATTCTTGATTGGTAGGCCTACACAAATCTTTAAATACACAATATTTTATCTGTAATTTGATGATCTCCTAGATCACTGTTCGGTTATGCTCTTGATTCGCGACGGTACGTGATCTCAAGCCGAGTGCAAGGACAAGTTCACTAACTGCCCTCCAACTTAATAATAATGTAATCGCTTCATATCCGCGAGGTGTGGACATTCGATTATGAATCGAATAATCGATCGATTGAAGCGCCGTTTGGGACGATACATGCCCATACCAGGATAAACGGTTACCTCTTAACTTTTCTATTTTTTCTATTTTCTAAAGTACTTGTATATAACCATAATTGTATAGATTAAATATAGATAAGACCAATAGAGTTATACTGGATATATTTACAAAAATATATTAAACCAGGGGTGGCCGACTTGACTAGACCCAAGATCTACTTTTTACTGACGATACCCTGTACGATCTACCAATTATATACTTCTTGAAATCTCAAATGAAGCAACACAGTTTAGTACACAATTACGTAGTATTATAGTATTTATTCTTTTATTAAGAGGGATAACATACAACTGGAAATTATTCTTAGTAACAACTTATTATTATTATATTAGTGTGAGCATTGTGTCTGCTGAGCATCTTCCGCTAGATTAACAAAATATTATCTTTTTTTTGCCTTGCCACGATCGAATAGTCGCCATCGACCGGTTAGCCACTCCTGGTATATACATTAATACCACTTTTCTTCTCACTTCAAATATACACACATTCACACTATTCACCTTCTCTCGCACCACACACTGAACGTAACAGATTTGAAAATTTTATTAACTGTAATTTCCTAATTAAACTTTAATTTTTTTCACCCTGTTTTATTATATTTATATTTTAACTTAATACTGTTAATTCTGCATTTACAAATACATAGTAATAGTTCTTATATAATATGTAGTAAGGAACTAGCTTACAAGACACAGGTTACCCTAATTCGTAATCCAGGGCAAAGGGAATGTATTTGTAAATAAAGCTAGTGTACGTGTACTGCAGTATATTGCACTAGCGACCGAGCTTGCCAAAGAGATTGTTTATGAATGGAATTAATTAAAAATAACAGTGGTCAAGAATTATCCATATTTATTTTCAACAGAAATTTTGTTAAAATCGGTTTTGTAGTTTACTTTTTAAATAATCATTGCAAAAGTCACAGTAGCATGTTTTGTTTGCAGGTTCAACAGTGTATAGTGAACAGATGTGTATAGTAAACGATATATAGGTGCTACGTGCCGTCTGAAACGATGCGAAGTCGTAACTAGGTGTTGGATCGGCGGCAGCCTACTCGGGTGTCCGGTTAGTATGAGCACGGAGCCTGCGCTGCGACGACGCCCGGCCAAACTGAGCAGTGATATATGGAAACGGTAGATGTAGCTTTCGCCTTGAGGCTTGCGTTACACCACATATCATGAATCTCAATTTTATTTCCCTTCCTCACTACGGAGCTTAGCGGACGCGGTGCTTTTAGAATTTGCGACCAGTGATTCCATGGACGTGGATAAGACCCAGTTCGAACCCAGTTTATTCCCTATCAAAAGTCAGTGGCGGTGATCGAGTCACTTTTTAAATATTCAATGCATCTAGAATCTCTAAACAATAGTATCAAAACAATTGCTAAATTAACTATTTTGATATAGCAACTGTACCACTAGGATGCGATGCAAAATGTAGTCGCAAAATCGTCTACATTTGACTTCTAAAAACATCGTGTCTACTTAGAACTCACATTGATTATTATTTTTAATAATCTATCCACATCATATGTAAAAGATGTATGTAACATCAAATAAATCTATTTTAACTATTAATTAATGTGTTTTGTTACTTTGAAATTTTAGGTTTGAATAATAATAAAACAAAAATACTTAATAGATAAAGTAGGTTTATTAGATGTTTATCAATTTTATAAAGGGGTATATTTATAAAGAAAAATCGAGAATTGCAGCCGTTAGTTGACATATCAAAGAATCTCGTGTTTGTGTTAATGCTTTCATATATTTTTGTCTTAAAATTACAAATAACGGAAGCCTAAGGCGTAGACTTAACTATAAGGCGCGCGAACTGTCATATTTTAAGACTATACAGGATCAAATATATTATGCTCAAACTTAATATGTGACACTTGCGCATGCGGTATAAACATTCTGTGATCTGACACTCGAAATTAGCGCCGCTCCTAATTGTTCGCATAATGTGAACCATTAAAATCGGCTTAGAAATTTAATAACATAGCACACCATGGCTTATAGTCATTATTTTTTCAATTACATGTATAATGTTGTCATATTTGATACAAGCTGTCATTCCATTAGATCACTTCATCGTAGAAACCACTGTATGAATTATACATTGAAATTCATAAATTTTTAATCATTCTCTTTGAGTGTCAGATTAGTAACTTTAAATATCTCTCAGTACAGGAACTTAGTTGTTAAGGTACCTATGATATATGTGAGTAGCTAGATAACTTGTGTGTCAACATCGTGCTAATACGAGTGTGTCGAGTTACGCCTACCTGCACCACTGTTCGCACTCGCGGGTAAGTACAGTGTAGTGTACATTATTATGCTATTATTGTAATTGGAACACCAATCTAAATTAAAAGTAACGTTATCTATTATTTTTTTTATATCCTTCAGTTTGTGATTCGAGTGAATTTGAAATTGCTTGAGTATATACGAAATTATTAAATGATTTGTGAAATAATAGTTATAAATACTCAAAAATTATGCCAACATTATATTACATATGACAATGCAATGTGAAGTGTATCACGGATAAATTTCTCCTTTTATTTTAATACAAGTTGTAGAGAACAAAAAATATATTGGCTACGTAGCAAAATATGTGACTTTAAAAGTTATTTATATTATTTTTGACCTGTTTTACCAGTTTTAGAAATATATAAAATTTTAGTTACAGGTGGAGAGATACATGTATATTCATAATTATTATTGCAATATTGTTTGATAAATAAATTTTACTACTTAAATTCATTATGTTAATTTATTGTATAAAAGCAAAAGTACATTTTAAATTACAAATTTAAACAGTCATTGGGGTTGATCCTAAGATTTTGTAAACCTATCTCTAATTTTAAAATTATTGTAGTATGGACCATTAATAACTATATTTAACATAATTCTAATTTAAATATATTATAAATTTAGTTTGTACAAGGCCTTGGAATAAAAAAATCTGTAATATTAAATTGAAATTTTAATTTTAGATATAGAGAATGACAGTTCGGAATCAATCCCATGTAGCCAAATTACAAATTTAATTTTTTTTCCCTCGAAAACCTTACTGGAGTATCATGACAAAGAATATTTACCCAAAAATTGATTGAGCATTTGTCAAGTGATTTGCTTTCTATAGACAGCATTTAATTTTTATTTATATAGATAACATCCAGTACAATATTGACTCTGAGGGAAATGTTTTATTTCATCCTTTTTCATAGATCATTCTTTGCTATGAATTCCACCTGTAATATCATTGTTTAAATAAAAAAGAATAAACCAAACATATTTTGGTTAATTTTCTAATAATTACATACAATAGAATAAAGTAACGATTTCTACTTATTCACATAAATGGTTACTCCATCAATATAATGGCGCTCTATAAATTGTTTTGCAAGGCAAACAAAGTTATGTCATTATGTTGGAATTAACCATTTTCACATAATGCACTTATTCACTTACAATTAATAATAAGTAATTATTATTTAAGGCAAAACTATTTTATTATTTATTTGGCCTGATTATTGCAGGTGATTTAGTTGTGATATTGCCTAATCTTAAATTTTTGTATACGTTTACTTTTATCGAGTCACCAGTGTGACTTTAATTTTAGATGCAGCAATTGTAGTATTTAATATTATAGATTATGACACTTATTATCAATTCGATAAAAACAGCATTTTCTGGGTGGTAATTTTACAGATTACATAGAATTTATTTATAATAATTATTCATATTATGTTAAAAACAAACAGTATTTCAGTTAGTGTTTTAAGTTTGTTTTTTTATAAGATATTGATTCTAACTTTTTTTATTATAACGATAGTATTGCTATGTGGTTACTGTGAAGATGCTGCATATGAACGAGGACTGCTGTAATTGTTTCATTATTTATGTAATATATAACTGTAGAAAACTTCCTATTATTTTGTAGTACAATTAAAGTGTAATAAATGATTTTGAAATGTGTTTATAGTTTATGATTTACATAATATTTACATACATACACAAGTAAACTGCAAAGTGAAATTTTAAAACATTGGCATCCTTTCAAACCCAAAGAAATGTTTAAAAAAAAAGTAAAGCCTCCCATTATTGGTGTATTTATAATTGTTTACCTAGGTGGCTTGATCCTTTTAAAAATGCACATATGTTTGAAAGTACATATGTACTTTCAAACATATCTTTGTTTAAGCTGAAACTTCTGTTCACATCCTGCGATGGCCATTAGACATTCTAGTGTGGACATGGCCTAACCAGCTCTCCGTTTTCATATATATCCAGTTCATTGTCAAATAATCCACATAATAGTGTCTATGCACCTTCTGTTTTGTTTATAATAAAAGTAGTTGTTTCACACATTTAAATTCGGAATTCCAGTTTTGATACCTAATGATACTTCCATATATTTTAGTAATCTTCGCGCTAAAAACAAAGCCTCTTCAGATTTGTAAACATTTGAAGTCAACATGTCCAACTTTGATTCCGTTTGAAAAGTTAACAAATCTTCAGTACTTATAGCCATTCCATTCACAGGTAATCCACTGGCATTCACGAGTATTGATCGCCGACTACGAAGATCAGGGTGAATTTGATTTAAAGCCTTTTTTGTCCATTCTAAGCAAAAAATTCTTGTATCCATGCCTAAAACTATGAAATCAATAGATATTTTACCCGTCAGATCAGACTGCCTGACAATTTCTTCCAAATAGAATGATTGTAATATTATCAATTTCCATCGAAAATTTCCTTTGGCGTGAATTTCTTCAAGGGCTTGTGAGATCTTTTCAATAATTTTTACGTTTGTTGAGAGTATAAGGACCGTTAATCTGTTTCTGCAGGACGTAGGTCCAACCCAAGGAGCTATTACAGTATCTTCTTCAACTGTAGACATTTTTATTTAATTCAAGTAGAAGTAAGCAATATGGAAATATTTAAAGGAACTACTAGTTTCTTCAATTCCTTATTGAAGTTCAAAATAAATTCTCAAAATTCAATTCAACCGTTTTTTGTTATTTTTATTACCGGACTGATTTATGTCAATTTTCTGTCAGTCAGTCATTGTTAGATTGATTTTTTTTTTAAGATTTATATGTTAAACGAATTTACGTTAATACAGTCATTATATAAGAAGATGATCAAATTACGGGTGGGCAATATTTTTATAATCAATGCAGAGGTTCATATTTCATGACTTTATATTATTTTATTTTATTTAAATCAATCCTTACAGATTGCAACTACTGTCCTCAATCTATGGTGTTAGTCCCATTAGTCGTAAAATGTCAATACCACTTTTGTCACTGTCAATATTTTTCTAATTTGTAATGGAGGGAAAATTGAGGGAATAATTCCATTTATATAATTAATTTTTCTTGGTTGTACATTCTTCGTTTCTAACGGACTATTTTTTTTATTAATTGATATAACTATAATCTCTTTGTATTTGAAAATACCGATGTGGCGAAGAGATAATAAATTTCCTGACAATGGCTTTGAGCAATGGGGTGGATACATGCAAGCTAAAATTAATAAGCTTGAAGAACAGTTTTCTTCCAGAGCTGGAAATGAAGCGAAAGAGAGTAATATCTTTAACGGTGTAAGTATTTATGTCAATGGTTTTACAGTACCATCTGCTGATGAATTAAAAGTTCTTATGGTTAGACATGGTGGAGTTTATCATACTTATCAAAAAAATAATGATTATATTATTGCTTCTAATTTACCTGACACGAAGGTTAAGAATATGTCTTTAGCCAGGGTAGTAAAGCCTGAATGGATTACAGATAGTATAAAATCCAATCATTTATTGGATTATAGAGAATATTTATTATATCGAAATTCCATCACACAGCCGCAATTAAATTTTGCAAAAGTTAGTAAAACTTTAAATTCCTTAGTTGAAAATGCACCACAATTAAAACAGACTGTTAGTGGGAAAGAGAATGATATTTCAAATTTTATGAAAAAAGAAGAAAAAGAAATAGACCAATTTATGGTTTCAGAAGTGAAAATGTCTAATGATATTAAACAGCCAGATAAAAGTTTTAGTAATTCAAAGGTAAATAATCAATCAAAAGTAGATGATATTGATTCAGCAAAGTTCAAAAACATAAATGACATTAATAAGATTATTCAAACAACAAAGACAGCGGCTGATCCAAACTTCATTTCTGAATTTTATAACAATTCAAGATTGCATCACATATCACAACTTGGTGCATGTTTCAAACAGTATGTGAATGATCTCAGAGAGAAAACTGATTTTTTGTTTCCCTCACGTGCTTGGTTGAAGGAAGAGATTTTTAAATCAAGAAAGCAAGCCAATTTATCACAATTAAATTTTGAAAACGGAAAAGTGATTATGCACATTGACATGGATTGTTTTTTTGTTTCTGTTGGGTTACGAAATAGACCAGAGCTTCGTGGTAAACCTGTTGCAGTTACTCATTCCAAAGGTGGACAGTTTAGAACGAAGAGATCTGGTGTTGATCGAAATACAGAGTTTCAGCTCTATAGACAAAGGCAAGCCAAACAAATAGGGAAAGCAGCTGGTATACCTGAAGAAGAAGTTGAATTTGAAAGTAGAGTGGATAACATTGCTGATGAGGATGATAAATATGGTTGCATGAGTGAAATAGCTTCATGTTCATATGAAGCTCGGGCTAAAGGCATTAGTAATGGCATGTTTATGGGTGCTGCTTTAAAATTATGTCCTGATTTACAAACAATATCATATGATTTTGAAGGATATAAGGAAGTAGCATTTACTTTATATAACACAATAGCACAATATACATTGGATATAGAAGCTGTGTCTTGTGATGAAATGTATGTAGATTGTACGGAACTTTTAAAAGATACAGGAATAGGTGTTCAAGAATTTGCAACATTTCTACGAACAGAAATAAAAAGTAAGACTGGTTGTCCATGTTCCACAGGGTTTGGGGGGAATCGTTTACAAGCTAGGTTGGCAACAAAGCATGCTAAACCTGATGGGCAATTTTTTTTAATAGTGGAATTGGTTGAAGATTTCATGTTTAATATCAAACTTAAAGATTTGCCAGGTGTAGGAAGGCAAACAGCCCAAAAATTAGAGTCTATAGGACACCAAACTTGTGGGTCTTTGCAAAGTTTATCTTTGGCTATTTTGCAAAATCACTTTGGTAATAAAACTGGAGCATTATTATTTGATCAGTGTCGAGGTCGGGATACCACTCCACTGACATTTTTTACTGTAAGAAAATCTGTATCGGCAGAGGTTAATTATGGAATAAGATTTGAAAATAACAATCAATGTATAGAATTTCTTAAGCAACTGTCTGTTGAAGTTCAAACAAGAATGCAGCAATACAAAGTTTTAGGAAAGTGTATAACTTTAAAACTCATGGTGAGAGCTGAAGAAGCTCCAGTAGAAACTGCCAAATTTATGGGTCATGGATTTTGCAATGTTATAAATAAGTCTACTTCATTAAATAATGCTACAAATGATGTGGAAGTTATAACCAAAGAAGTTATTTCACTATGGAAAAAACAAAACATAGATCCTAAAGAAATGAGAGGTGTGGGTATTCAGATTACAAAGTTAGATACTGTTAATAATAAGCCAATAAAAGGAACTTTAAGCAAATTCTTAGTAAATGTTAAAACTAAAACAGAAGAAAAATGCAACTCTTTAAATATACCTGAATCAGTAGACTTTAAATCTAAACCAGAATGTAAACCGGATTTTAGCACAAAAAACAGTTCCAAAACTACTCCAAAGAAAACCAAATCTATTGCTATAGCTAAACAGAAATCACCAGTAACTGTATTTCCAAAATCTCCATCAGGTAAACGTGGTAGACCACCAAAAGTTGCCAAAATTCAAGTTCCTTCAAGAAATCTCTTAAAAACCTTCATAAAAGGTTCAAATATAAAAGATACCCCTTACAAGAATCCAATGGTTAATACAGTGATGCCTGAGATAGAAATAGTTAAAAAAGAAGAGAAGCCCCAAGGATTGCTTAGTCTGCCATGGGAAAAGATTCGTGAATTACTAAGAGCTTGGTTAGATAGTGGTCAAACACCTTTACCTTGTGATGTGGGGATGGTCACAGAGTATATGTGTGAAATGGTTGTAAATAAAAATATTGATAAATTATATATTTTGATTAAGTTTCTAAGAAGAAGAACAAGTGAAATTGGCAGTGATGACTGGAAGGAAGTTTACAAAATTATTATTGAAAATGTACAAAATGCAATGATAGCTGTCTATGGAAAGCCTTTGTTTTTAGGAGACTGATAATATTAAATAAAACAAATTACGTAATTAATTCATATATTTATTTTATTATTTTGATATTTTTTCTAGGACTACAGAGAAAAACAAATTATATCATAGATTTCAAAGTTTGTTAAACAAAAGTTACTGCATTAATTGCATTTACACACTGCCACTGAAAGCAATTTTAGTTTTAAAAAATTTGGCAGATTTATGGATCACAGTAAAAAAGTATTCATATATATATTATATATATCATGGCAAATATATGATAATTTAACTTTAGGCAATTGTCATATATATTTAAAAGATGCCTATCTAATATCATATTTTGAATATTTATTAAAAATTGAAGACACATGGTATACTTTAATTCGCAAAATGGCAGTTAGTTATCACTAGATATCGATAAGCACTTTTACATATGGAAAGTAGGTATCCAATATTTTAAATACATGTTGCATGTATGTTGCAATGATCTGACATTTCATGTAAAAATATACATTACATGTTAAGTAGTACAATATTGAATTCAGTAATAATTTAGATACTATCACAGATGCTTATTGCGAATAAAGCAAGAGTTAAACCCACACAGATAACGACTTTTACAACGCCAGTTGTCAAATTTATTAATAGAATTAAAATCAATATATTGATATTGATTTGTCATAAAATATAGTAATATCTGTAATACACTTTGCCTATCTGAAGCCAATTTGCATTATTCCTTCAATTTTATTATATCATTAGGTTATATAAATTTCTTGAAAATGGTTTCACATTTTTCAACATAAAATATTGAACTAATTGAATTCTGTAAGTAAATAAAATTATGCTCATCAAGCTTTCAGCTTTGCACCAAACTTAAAAACTAAATGCTTTATGGACAACCATGGCTAATCACATTATGGTATAATATACCTATAAATAGGTAATAATTTGTGACTTAAGGCAGAAGAATCAATGAGGTAAACATAGGACATAATTTCTAATAAATTAAACTCATCCCGAGAAATTTGTTAGTATACAAACATGTAAATGTTACCTAAACTTAATGTGTCTGTAGCGTCGAAATGTAACAGTAAAAACCAAAACAGATTTTTAACACAGGATTGTCATATTCTTTGATCTAGAATGGCAAAAAAACAGGTTTGGTCATGTTTTGTTAAAATTCGACGCAACTTATTACACTTTGGACAAAATATTTTGATTTTTTAAAGTCTTCGTTTTTCTACAAGATAGCTGCATTTCATACTTTTCGAATTTATTTTTAAATAATTTATAATTGTATTTGCCTATTTAGATATGACTAGGTACAGCCATAAATTTTTAGTACACCCAAAACAAAATCAGCCCAATGAATTGCGTTTGGCATACACATACCAACATAGTGCCATCTACAATGCATACTATTACTTGCATGCTTCTACTGATACTACTGAAGGTGGTTTTTATCTAGTTTTCTAGATACACCTAGCTAGTAATAAGTAGTTATTGTAGATTATGAATAATAAAAAATAATCTGTCATTAATATTTCAAGTTTTATTATAGTATTTCATTCAAACAATCTACAATACATTGTAGGCCATGTTATTTTTTACCTGCCATTTGCAAAGCAAACAGCGTAGTCCAATTAGGCTACGTTCACACACCGACTATTCGTTATTTACGAATCGTAATTTATAACGAATTATAATTTTTATATTGGTCCATAAATTTGCATGACTATATATGGAAACAAATTCATACTATTACAAGTCGTAAAGTGCGTTGATAAAATACTAATCCGTCAGTTTCATAAGTATTGTGTAACGAGTATAAAAATCTTATCTACTGTTTGTGAAACAACAATTTTTCTTAAGGAGCGCAGGCGTTATATATTTTTTACTTAACAATTGCATATTTTTTTATTGCACACTCAACTCAAATTACAAAAGGCTTATTATAAATTATTAATTTGTAAATATTGTAAAATAATTATCACTATGGTGATCTCTTCAGCCAAATCAAACAAAGGATGGTTCCGTTCCGTTATACGCTTACACAATCAAGGTCAGTGTTATATAATTGACCTAAGGTTAATATTTCATTATCAATAGGTAGGTCAATCATTGGCCTAGTTTACCTTCTAAATACGTAACATGATACATTAACGACCTCAGTAGCGTATGCGTAAGCGTAGCGTCAATTTATGAGACTAAATTTCTTAACTTGCTCAGGTCAGATGTGTGATATCTGGTTTCTCAAAACACAGTATGGTTTAGCTCGAACCAGGTGATTAATGTGATCGTATGACATTTATTATGTAGATATATAAAAGATATACTGAGTAACTGTCTGACTGGCCCATATATCAATGCACAACTGAAACAGCTGAATCTAGAATCTTTAAAATTTTTAAATAGACATTCAATGTTTTTTGGTAAATCACAATACGGTTTTTATACGAACATCGTTTGACGTTCCATTATTATCATTATAAAGCTATGAAAAATATCGTTATTAAGAACGACGCGTTGCGAATGTGTGTGAACGTGCCTTTAGTTATGAGACAGCCTTGTTTTATTCCCCTATAGAAATGCATCTAACTCTATCGTGTCAATGGTTTCACGCAGTCGAATTGGCCGAGATAGAGTGTTTCAGTTTTGAATCGATGATGATTTCATCACCGGACCTTATATTGTAGGAGTACAGCTGCTTCGTTGGGTACTTCATTTCTTCGGGTCCCTGAAAATACTCCAGAAATAAAATATATGGTTAATTTGTGATGAATGATGTGGTACAGTTTAAATGAAATGAACAATGATGCGTTTTGTTTTAAACAGAAATGCGAATTACGTAATATGCGCAATTATTTTACGCCTTAAAAAATATCACTGAAAAATTTCTAACCTACTGTTACTACTACATTTATGACTGTGGCGATTTTCTATATCGCTTTTGATAAAGATTGACATAAAATATTAAAATTTGTTGTTTTTTTTTTTTTTAAAGAAAGAAAAACACGAGCATAATTATTACCTCAATTACTAGATTGACTTAACCTTTTAAAAAGAGCTGACAACCGATATGCAACTTTGTCTCAATACGTCTATGGCACACTGAAAGGAAGTTCGACTCGTGTTTGACTTTTGATTGTAGTAGGTAAATATATTCACCTGCGTATCTCTCAGTTCCTGGTCAACATAGAAGAGCCTCATCTTCGAAGCAGGGAAGCCGGCTAGCCGTTCCAATCGCGTCTTTAGGTCGGAGACAGTTCTGAAAATAATTATTCATGTTGATATTTTAAAGCGATAAAATTATACATAAAATATTCTATATTTTTTTTTGTTATACTTGGTAACCTTAGTAATCATATAGCAGTTTCCCGCGGTTTTGCTCACGTGAATAAAGTATACTATGTGTTAAAGTTAAGCTACAGTAGACTACACGCATACTAATATTCAGTCAAATCTTTTCAACCATTTAAGCGTAATGAGTAACAAATATAACTTTCACATTTATAATAGGAATCATCTCATGTATTTTTTTTTAGGATTTTAAAAATAAGTACTTAAACATAAAGTATATTATGGGTACTTGTCTACTAAGATTATATGACTTTGTGTATGTTACATTATTTACGATATAAAATCCACATTACGTCTTAACGAATAATTTGTATAATGCAGTTTATACACGCTCCGATAAATCATGAAGATTTATTTGAAATCGTAATATACAAATCGTAATGTGTGAAACGTAACGTTACACACATTACGATTTGTATAACGTTACGTTAACGTCATAACGTTTTTTAGGACTACATGCTCCCAATTAATAACAATCCCTACACCCATATTTACGGAATTTAATGGGAATGGCGAGAAAGTAATCGTAAAACTTTCCGTAGAATATTAATAATAGAATTTCGTAGAATTAATCATAATAAACTAACTAATCTGATTTCCCGTTGATAGCTTACCAGCGTATACCAATAGCACAGGGTTACACAAGGTTACCATTTTATTGTCATTAAATAAATCTGGTTTAAAACCATCATATTGATGGAACCGTGAGTAGATCATCCATGATATGCCATGACTGCTGCTTTTTGATCTACTAATTTGGTTAATTTCCAGAGAGACAAAGCAAAAGAAGTTGTAGATAAGCACCTGTAAACGTCGATGGTCCTGACTTCACTGTTGTCACCGCAAGTGAATGTGATTTGGACGCGCTTCTCCGGTCGCAGGTCTACCGACACCAGCGGGTCGAGTTTGCCGTGGATTCCTACTAACTCCCAATATCTGAAACATTCATTTTAATCTTAGAAGCATATTTCCGCTTAGTCTATAGAAAAAAAAAAAAAAAAAAAATATATATATATATATATATATATATATATATATATATATATATATATATATATATATATATATATATATATATATATATATATATATATAACTAAAGATTGTAGCCCATAAAAAAAAGGACATCAAATGTGACAAAATAGAAAAAAAAAAAAAAAAAAAAATATATATATATATATATATATATATATATATATATATATATATATATATATATATATATATATTACTTTGATGTAAAAACTAAACTATTAAATTGGTTTTGATAAAATTTTAATAGAACCAATCTATAAGTAAATACTTTCAGACAAAAAAAAAGAATTTTTCGAATCGATTTACAAATAACGGAGTTATGAGACAATAAAACAAAAAAATGCAACCGAATTAAGAACCTCCTGCTTTTGAAGTCGGTTGAAAAACCGACATCAATGAAAGCCATTCAAAAATCTTAAGACTAATAAAAATCTGTTTACATTAGCAATGGTCACAATATTCAAACATATTCGTAACTTTAAAAAGGTTTCATAAAGTTCGGCAAGGCGTATGTTGCATCCTCGGTGATATAAAAGCAACATAGGCTATGGTAACCGTTTACCATAAGACGAATCTTATGCTTGTTTATAGGTAATATGTTTATATATATATAATATACCATTGTGGTATAAAAAAATTGAATCTGTTAAAAACAGGTAATTCATGATTTAAAAAAACGTAGGTGTCAAATACTACAGTTTTAACTTGTAACAAATGTCGATCTTTATATTTAGATGTCAATAGGTATGTTTTACATTTTTGTAAACTTGTTAAGTCAGAAATTTCCTATTTCACTGAGCCACAACAATGCTAGGTATTATGAGAATGTTTTCATTGGTAAACTTGTGTAGTAATTTAGGTCATGTCGCCCACGCCGCTCCTTACCAAGAGGACCTTCGATTCTACGCACATAATTGAGCTCAATCCATTCGAGATCGGCCTATATTTAAATTTTATTGAGAAAACTATATTTATTAAAAGAAATGTCGTATGAAATATGAAATGTATCGATATAATAATGCAACGTCTTACTGTGATGTATATTTATAAAATACACTCTTAACTGTAATCTTAACCAGAGGACGACTTTGTACAAAATGCGTTTGCTTGGACACCTCTGTCCCATTCGTGTTTCTACCGTGAAGGAGTTGTGTTTGCAAGGCTGTGTTACGGTTTGAAGGGTGTGGAATTTACAGGGTACAGAGAAATAACACCAGAGTTCTCAGGAATGAAAACGCATAGGGGTATCATGTGCGAAACAGTATACTCTGTTATGTCCATGGTACTGCTCATGTCAACAGGCGACGGTTACCACTTTCCATCATCATCATCATCTGCATTGTTTACTTTATGATCACAGATTCTCTTACAACGTTTCTTTTACATCTTAGTGCTCCTTTTGGATTTCGGAGTTCCCTTATATATATTTTCATCCAATAAAAACACTCACCGATCCGGCCGGTCGGACTCCGGCTTCTCCATGTAGTATCTGATGAAGGCACGCTCGGCCGCGTCTCTCTCCTCGACTGGCACGGCGCCTCCACCGTTCAAGGTCCTCACGTGCGGCAGCCGCGCCACCAGCAGCAACCGTCGCTCGTGCTCCGTTGACTCGAACCGCTCCCATAATGGCCAACCCTGGAAGGAACGAATTAAATTAAATTCGTAACAAATATAAAAAAATGTACCTGTAAGTGAAATTGTACTAATATAACAAACTAGTTGAACCCTGCAGTTTCACTTGTGTGAATAATATATAAAGTACCTTTTGTGCTAAGGAAGGATATAATCTATCCATGTACCATGTTTCATTCATATCCGTTTAGTAGTATTTGCATGAAAAAACATCTATCCAGACAAACTAACATTTATACCGCCACGAGAAAGGAAGCAGTGGTTCATTCTATGCTAGAACAACAAGGGGAATATAAATAAGTAAAATTGAAGGGAATCTTTTATTTATTTATACAATTACGGTGGCAGTCAAACATTCGCCCGTATGACGATAAAAGGTAACGATGGTACACAAATTTTTACTCTCACATTAACTTCTTTTGATGAGTGATAAACTCTTTTTACATGAATATCTTGACTTCCGTTACGATATTATGGCGTTTTGTCAATGATGTAAGGGGAAAGGGATTGTTAATTATGGGATAGAAAACTCCCATTGCTAGCCATACACCCTATCAGGTCGACCTCAACGCGGTTCCCCCTGAAAATCATTGTGGTGAATTCCTGACGAATTCATCACAAGGCGTCAAATCGCCTGCTTTCATACTCATCTGTCAACTGTCACTGCAGTCCTGTCATTGTATGCCGATAGCGTAGACGGGGTTACCATTCCATTATTATCCATTAAAACTGAATGATATTAAGTAACAGTGAGATAAACAAAATATGGGTAACTGTGACGCAAATAGGTCACTTTGTACTCACATATAAAATACCACATGTGCACATATGAATATAGGTGGAATAAGTAGGTAGCAAACCAATGTGGTTATAACGAGTCTCGTGAAAATAAATTCAAACGGTTGTGAAATATACCCACTTCCAGCGTCTGATATTTCTAAACCATAGAAATGTAAACATATTTTGTTATTTAGTGTGTTAACGCCATTATATTGCTTAAAGTATCCATTCTAAGAGCTTGGATGCAGCCGTATCCGTAGAAAATTTATATTGGATTACCTAGATACATAAATTTTTATATAACATGGAATGGCAATGTTATCTGGTAGACTGATCTGATGGCTGACTGTCTATCTTATAGACAATAACTTGAAATCAAAATTAATAACATACTATTAATATTGTATCTATAAAATTGAACATTTTTTCGAAAGAAATATGTGTCAAAACGTGATAAAAAATGTCTCATACTATCTTGATAGCTGGAACTACAACAAAGACAAACAAACAATAGAATTAGGTTTTTAAAATAATAGCATAAATTAATGTAATGAAGTTCTAGAAGACACAATTATGATACAAATACACAAAGAATAGTAATTTGCAATTTATAATACACAAATAACTTTTTCCTACCGCTTCTTATGTGCTGAAGTTACTTAGAGACCCCCAATAAGAATAGGAATACGGAAAACAAGCCATGAAATGAAAAATATCAGGGTCCAAAAAGCGGCAGATGCCAAATTCTTTGTTTTTATTCCTCTAAAGACCACAAGGTACAAGTTTCCATATAAGGTATCACAGAGCGGATTCGCAGCGATAAGTATCTCCTAGTCGTGTTGATTTATTTGTGAAACATCGTAGCTAGGAAGTTCTCTGGTCGATTTATTCCAAGAACTGACAAAGGAACTTCAATCCTATGCAATGAATTTAAAGCACAAAACGTAATGTAGCTAGTACTTAATGAGATTTCTTTGTTCAAGCCATGAAGGATCACTTCGCGTGTGCTCCAGCAAGTATCGCCGGTTTTGCCTAAAAACGGAAGGCGGAATACTTTAATGCAAATTAATATAAAGAATTTGCATTACAGTTTATCTATACCTACTTAATTAATAAAAAAATAAATAAAAGTCCCGATTGACTCATCATCGCTGAGCTAAAAATACTGATATGTGGGTCCTGCAGATTCTTTTCCATTTTTTTTTCCACTTTCCATTAGGTGGGTCGTCAGCTTGTTTGCCATTCTAAGTTGCATAAAAAAAAAAATTATTTAATGGTTTTTGTGAGGGGTTTTTTAATATTGGCGGAACCTAGTGATCTTAATTTTGTATATAATATCATGTAATGTATATAATCTATGTTTGTGCAATATAAATAATTGACTTTAATTCACTCAAGGAACTGTACAAAGATGGATAAAAGATATGTATATATCAAGAATAACAAGTCGTTTATTTTAACTAAATAAACGTATTCTAATTTCCAATAGTTTTTTAAATCCTCTTCTGTTATTATATCTAATAGATTTTTTCCTATACAAAAATTCTCAAGGACAACAATATAAAATAATTGTTGTTAATGCATGTGTTATATTAAATGCAGGTGTCAAATTTCGGCTCCGTCCCACGCAGTAACGGCTCCGTTCTGAATCATTAGGTCCTATCGATTGCACCGTTTATATGCATTGATGACGGTACACGACTGAGCAGGGTACCCTATGCTAATGTTGGCATTATATGCATACATGTAATGTTCGCATATGTTGTCGTTGGCGAGTTTATTTGATTTTCGAATCGAATATAACGGACTGTTTTGAAGTATTGTTTAAAATGATGCCCACGGCCACTTTTTATCATCGCACCGCTTACCATCAACAGGTTTACCAGAGGGAGACTTTGTACAAAAGTCGATTGCTTGGGTACCTCTGTTCCATTCGTGTTTCTACCGTGAAGCATATAGATATATGCAATTTCAGATGAGTATTTCAAGAATATTAATATTTTTTATAGCAAGTACTTGTTTGCCATTCTAAGTTGTATAAAAAAAAGGTTGCATACAGTGCGGTTTCGGACGAATTTTAAGAATAAGAATATTCCTTATTCAAGTAAACTTAATTACAACCATTTTTGAATGGTCATTATGATTCTACTGCCTATTCGGTGATTGCAATTTCCTCTCTCGAATACTCAGGCTGTGAAATGATCTCCCTTCCGAGGCCTTTTCCAGGGGTTACAATATGTGATTCTTTAAAAAAAGTGCATTATAAAATACCTTAAGAGACGGTTACGTGCACGTGATCCTAGTGTTACAAGCGTCCATAGGCTACAGTAATTGTTTACCATTAGATAGGCTGTTTTCTTGTTTGTGGCATAAAGAAAATTATAGGTATTTACTAATAGCAGAGTTTTTTTACCACTCAGGCAAATAAAATATTAGTATAAGTTTGTTTGCGATGTAGATATGTGGGTGGAGGTACATCAGTCAAAAACATTGTCCGTTCAACGTCATGTGAATCATGATGTGAGTAAACTGGTTGGTCGTTTGTTAACCCACGCAGGTCATATTTCATTTTGAGAGTCTATATTAATTCTGACTGGTGTTTGATTTAAGAAAACTTAATGAAAATGTAAACCAACGAATGATCGACTCGATCATAAAAAAGTCTGCTGAAGTTATTTAGTACTTAGTACAAAGTTAAACAAATAAGTTTACTATTGTAATCTTTTGGAGGAAACAATAAAGAGTATCTATCTATCTATCTATCTATATTGAATGGTTAAATGTTTTCATTTGTTACTAATTATATTTAGAGGATATTTCTGTTATAATTTATATAGAATTTGTTATCTTTTCATTAAGTTTTATTTATTCAAACATACTATAATTAATTATTTTAACTAAAAATTTGAGGACAAAGTACCAAAGTAGACAAAATAAGAAATACAAAATGTTAAAATTTGAATAAACCTTCGACTATGATAATCTGCTTTTCATCTGACTCTAGATACTTATGACGAATATGGAATACCGATAAATTATTTTTGAAATAATAGCTTTTTATTTCCATAAACCACTTAAGGTAGCTGCCATTACAGTGTCTTGTTGCTGTTACATTTAAATTAATTTAGAAAACCAACATTAAAAATCACTGTAGTAGCATTAGTTAACGTATACTTTTTGGTGTAAGATTCCCGATAGATCCGCTATAAGGTTATGTAGCTAGTTTTAAAATCCTCAACAGTAATTGGTTTTGTTATGAGTTTGACATTAAGATATGACGTATAAAGTCAAATGCAACAGCGCGTTCCCTTCACTTTAATGCCTTGCACAACTGCACCAAGCAATATGCTTTCAAACTAGGATTGTATAGTAAAAATTTATTTTTAATAATCTTACACATCAGATCGCTTTGGAAGGAACAAATATGAAGCTTTAGACGTAAGGTCAGAAAATAGTTTCATGCAATTACTATTATGAAATTAGATCAAAGCACATTCTAAATTCTAATGTTGAGCAATATGAATCCTTGTATTAAAATTATAAAGAATTTATTGCAGAACAATCAACTTAATATCGTTGTTTTATATCCAACTTTGAAATATTAAATAGGTACGTAGCACTTCTAAAAGTTTTCTGTTAGAACAAAATGTTTATACAAGTATTTTTGAATAGACATAATTTTATGATTCTAATGTCCATTTGAAATGTAATTATAGCTGAGAAAATCGAATAAGAATCTCGACTGTAGCTTTTTTCAACAAAAATTGATTTTATAATTCTCAATTTGTGTCACATACTAGCAAGAAGAGACTAACAAACAGCAAGTTTGATAGAACAGAAGAGATGTCGGACAAAAGAATTCTAGGAAGAATTAATTATTATTAGGAATATAATTAGTTGAATGAAGAAAAAAAAAGACAAAACATCTACGTAATAAAACTTTCAACAATGGCAGACAGAGAGAGCATAAACTGATACAGAAGTTAAAATCCACTATATATATTAACATATTAAGTGACCAATAAGTTAAAAAATTGTCCCTTGAAAGGGACTCTAATCTTTATGGGGAGAGATATGCACCTGACTAGAGAAGCGATGATAATTAATTATGATGAACGTTAATTAGGGACAAAAGTTTGCATGGACGTCGCAGTTGAGAAACTTCATAATGGTTACAGTCATAATCGTAATAATACGTATAGCGTAAATAATTTCACAATTTGTAGAAAAGCACAAAATTGGTCAACACGGAAGTAAATATTTGATGGAAAAATTGAGAGTTAATTTTATATCTGGTAATATACAAAACAGTAAAGTTAAATTGAGAACTTATTTTTTTAAAGCTCAGTGGGCTATAATTTAAAACTTAAGACGTAGGGTAGAGAGTAGGAAATAAATAAGGCCGTTCTGGTAACCGAGATATTGACAATGTTTGTACAATATCCTCCTCCATTGAGCAAGGTCGAGTAAATCAACTGTGAATGTGAACGACCGACGACGCATGTAATTTATGTTCTGGCCTGCCCTGCATCGTTTCATTTATTGCAATTTCGATGAGTCAGTATCGGTCTTTCCGTTCATTTCAGTTGTTATTTCGTGCAATATAAACTTTAATGCTACCTTGAATCTATCAAGCTTGAAGGTTTTGCTGTCATAATTCTGAAATTGGGTCAATGAACAATTTCTTTCTTTCCATTATTATTTCGCAACTAGTGCAGAAAGATTCCAGATTTCGATACTTTATAATAATTTCCTGTGTAGATATATTGCTATCTTAAACAAAGTACCAATATTAGCCAGAATTGTTACTCATAATCTTTGGGAGTCTATGGACCATGGCAATATTTTTGGTTACCACAATACTCGTTTTGTTTACTGCTAATTACTCATATGAAAGTCCAAATTTAAAAAAAGTATTGATACAAGCTAGATGTGACTATTTCATACATTTCACATTTCGATTTACGTGACAATATGGATTTGCCATTATCATTTCAGCCATTATCCGTCCACTGTAGTACATAAGCCTCTCCCATAGACTGCCATAAAGAACGGTCCTGCGCCACCTGCATCCACTGACTCCCTGCAATGCATTTCAGGTCGTCACTCAATCTAGTGGGGGATCGTCCTACACTGCGTTTGGCCATTATAATAAATAATAAATTTGTATCATTAGTGTTATCAGTTATATATAATAATAAATTAAATTTGTTATAAGTAATACGTTATAGTCGTAACTTCAATGTTATGGAAAGTTAACTTGGACTCAACACTAATGTATCTAACGTAAGTAATGTTTAAGCTTACTCAATCGTAAATTTTCCATTATGTACGTCTAATAAATAAATATGGAACTTAGTATCTATTATTTTAGGTTGCTTTTTGGCATTTTACGACCATTGAATAGTAAAAATGGGTAAAAATGCAAGTTATTTCAGAACATTACATCAGCAAAATAATGACATGCAAGTAGATAAAACACAGATAATAAAAATAACAGTAGAGAGTATCTATTCTCATTTTATGCTGTAACACATTTTTTTATTACCTTCATAACGCGTAATTATAGGACAAAACTTTCTATATTACATTTTTTTGTACGATACTTTACATGAAGTTAAAATTAATTATTAAAAAAAGTTACTATTATAATAAAATTTACAGCACGCTAAACATCAAACTTCATTTCGTTTGAACATACATTACGATATATAAAAAGACACGACAATTTTCCATTACGCGCATTTAAAATCTATGCACTGACATGCACGCACGTGCGTTAAAAAGGAAATGATTGAATTACAATGTTTGTAACGCTTTGATAAACATGCAGTTGCGAGACGGCGGTACCAACCAACGCAGTACTATCATTACTGATAAAGATTCCTTGGTTTGATACGATATTTATTATATACGTGCTCTATTTTAAGAACAAATCGCTAGCATTAGAAAATAAAATTAGTTGATAAAACTGTCAGAAGTACCTAATCTTTTTCACTGATCAAACTAAAATGATTGGAACTTGATTAGTCTAAGAAAATATAACAAGTATGAACTATAATAGCCATATTTATTTCTGCCGACTTTTTTTCTAACAATGTAATCGACGAATAATCTTTCAAACATTACTAACTATGCTTAGCTAGCTTCAAACGTCAGTTAGTCCATCTTTCCAATTACAAATCTATCCTTGCACTTTCTTGCAAAATTAACGTCGTGAATAAAGATAGTTAATTAACTTTGATTGCAGTTTTCTAATACCAGATTGGTTATAACTCAATCTGGTATAAACTTAAGTTCAAATGTAAAGGTAGCAGGACCTAATTGACGTTTAATAGTATCCAGCATTGAAAGTAATGCCTTAATGGACGGTGTCTGTAAATGTAGGCCAACAAATTACGCTTGCAATTCGTAAAGCGCTTGCAATAATAAACCTAACTGCATAACGTAATCAGCTACAAGGTCTTAACTAAGAATGTGTGTCATCAACATCATCTTAAGTCTACTTCTATCAATTTTATGGTTAAAGAAGCAGAGTAGGTATATTTTCTATAGGTTACTGGGAAATATCCGGCACAAAGGACCAATTTGGAAGTGTAATAGCTGTTGTTTCCTACAGAAAAATGGGTAAAGTGGACAATACAAACAGCGGTATTAATGAGGGCGGCTAACGATTAAAAAGAGTGTCAAATATTATGGGCAAAATTGCTAAATTCTTGGAGGATACTGATTTAATCGACCTTAAAAAGGGGATTCTAATCATGATTATATTATTTGAGCATTTTTTGACGACATTAGTCGTTAAGCTTTTGAAGTGACAAGACTAATAATTTGCCAAACTGAATGTTCATGATATTTTGTTAAAACTGAACCGTCCTCTTTTTTATCAATGTTAGGACCCTTTTATATTGTCATGTTGTTTATTTATTACGCCATTTTTAGTAGTCATAGTGATCGAGAGTCCTCAGTCTACGCACTTTCACATTCCACGTTGCGTGACGGTCACATAGCGAATGTAAGATCCAGAAAGGAAAAGTGACTTTATGTTTTTATGTGCATGAACTATATTCGTTCACATTTGCGTCAGTACGTTTTATATAGTGTAGAGTTAAAAAACCGTTTTGTTTGGGGAAATGTCATAGGGTCGCCCCTGAACTTCTACTTTTTATGACCACACGTGCAAAGTGCATGCATTATGTACTTTGTAGGTCGTTGCTATTTGTGCATAACAAAACTTTCTGCCACAGACGTGATATTATGTAGGTACTAACTTACTTAGATTTATGCTTTCTATGCCAGCGACAGGGTTACTTAATCGTCGTTTTATTCTCGACATTCTCCGTGGCTTAATTTGAATTTTTTTTCAAATGCTAATCCTATATCACGTGAAGAGGTTGATTGAATAAATTACAATGAACTCATTGTCTAGATTCCTTTAATATAGGCATCTTAGCTTTGAGACACAGCAATTAGTGTGATTATAAGGTAGTTACTGTAATAATCTATACGACGAATTGATTATGAGACAGGCAGATAGAAACGAGCAGCGGTCTTCATCCTTACATAACTCTCTTGCTCTATCCAATTTTATAACTGGTCTCGTGTACATTTGCCAGTTCTGGAGAGATTCGCCTTCTTAGTCATCAAAATGCTTTTCTTTTATTACAATCAGTTCATTTACCTTCTATTTCACCTCTCATATTTCACGTGCCATCATTGCACACCAGGAAGAACCACAACGAAGTATAAAATGTCAGTAAATTTTTTATATTGTTTATAGTGTTTATTTTACTGCAAATTTATTGATAATATCTACATACATACATCTATTTATAGTCTGTTGTATCATATAAATTGATTCTCAAGGTTGCCAATATGATAAAAGTCCCAAATCTTCCTGGTACGTAAGCGCGTACGTTGTGCGAACGTGACGCAATTACGCGTGCCCGGAGTGTTAGGTATTCGTTGTGTAATCAGTACGAGTCAAGTAGGCCGCCACTATATCGGGAAGACCTTAACCCGCATTGTGGAGCTCCCGAGGGATACAACCCGGATAAATCAAGACGCCGCAGCGTCGAAATAGCGCGCCCGTTATCTGGACATCTTTAAATCGGAAGCGTTTCAATGCTACTGTCATCGGGGTTTGGAACGAGCGATACTTGGCAGGTGTTATACAGTTCAGTTGTTCGACAATTAGGCACATTCATTATAATAATATTATATAAGTAGGCAATGAGATGTTTTATAATTGACTGGATTAAACTATGATCATATAAAAAGAAAAAGGAATTTTATCAAATATAGTAAATAAATATATTATTTACGATATCTGATGTATTTTATAATGAATATTTATAATCTATAGTTTTATTGACTAGTAGAGAATGCTACTAGCAATAAGTCCGCCTGGTGTATCATATTTCCTTTTGATCAATAAAGTTATTTAAATAAATAAAAAAATAATAGATGTACAATAAAAAAAGCAAACATGATTAATTTCATACTTTTTTTGAATTGTTGATTTTATCAATTAACATGTATAATGTTTTGTAACGTATTTATTCTTGGTTATTTTTCTTGCCTTTTTACATGTTTTTTATTTAACTTCACTTATTAGTATGTAATGTATGTTTAAAAGTTATGATAATTTTTTAAGCCAACTTACCTGTACCCGTAAACTTTTCAAGGCGGGGAACCGGGCAAGTCGATCCACTTCATCCCACGTGGCCAGCCCGGTGTTGTTCAGGTTAAGGAACCTGAGGTGACTGGAATGTCAAATGCAAAATATTATTACGAGCCCTCTGGTGATATTTATACATTGTAAGAGGCATATTACACTACCAAAATTGGGTACAGAGTTATGCTAAATTCACAGATCCTAATATAAATAGATGCCGCATCTACACGTTATTTATGTAGCAGCGTTTGACCCTAAATTATGTGCAATAGAGCCTAATTACCTCCGGCTATATTTCGATTCAGACAGTTGGTATTTTCGGAGAGGCTTAGTAAAAAATTAGTGTTTATTAATAAACTATCGAACCGGCCCAGCTTTTGGGCAAAAGAAATATGAATTAGTTTTAATAAGTTAATTTTTGATATTTTGGGTTACATTATTGTAATTTTCGCAGAGATCTAAATTTTTTTAAATAATATATATATTTTACAAAAAAAAAAATCTTTTTTTATAACAATATTACAGATAACATTACTTCATTAGTGGCATCATAAAGTTTATTAGTGACAAGGTTAATTTTCAAGTAAGTTGACGGGTATTTGTGGCGTTTATCAATTTGTGAAGCTGTAAATGGATTTAAAAATCAATAAAACCTTTATACATTTATAAAATCTTACAGCATAAGAGTAATCGAGTGTGTATGTTACACCCTGTGTTTATGACAGTAAGGTACACATTACATAAAATAATAATCGTCTAACGGCGCATTACAATGGGTCACGTCTATTCAGTCAGTAGGTCAATGGCAATGACTACAGATAATGTCAGTTTGAGATAATGAATTCGAATTTTGCAATACAGATATACATATACTTTATTATTATAGATATGATCAACAAAGCATAATTCATGTGGCTACTTACATTTTCTTACTATTTTTTTTCACAGTCATATAAATATATACTCGTATCTTTAAGTCCAGTAGGTAGTAGTAAGTAGAGATAAAACTATACACTTGTATTTTTTCAACTCTTCCCTTGTGTTACAAGACGCATTATTAATATTATACATGCGGGGGGAAAGGGATTGTTAGCAATGGAGTTTGACAGCCCCATTGCTAGCAATATGCCTTATTAGGTCGACCTCCACGTGGTTCCCTCTGGAAACCATCGTGAACAATTCTTGTTGAATTCGTCACGATGGGCTAACTGACCTACTTCATTCTCATATATCATCCTTCACTGGTACCCTGCCGGTGTATACCGATAGCGCAGGTGGGGTTACCATTCTATTATCATCCATTAAAAAAAAATTATACATGCGATATTTTGTAACGATAGATGGATAGGTGAAAGGATGGTTGGATGTTTGTTACTCTATCACGCAAAAACTAGTGAACTGATTTGGATAAAATTTGGTACATGGGTAGGTTATATCATAACTTAGCAGATAAGATACCTTACATACTGATTCATGTGGGCGAAGTCGCGAAATATGACTACAAAGGAAATATATAAGAAAATTTTGTATTACATTCCAAAATAGGTATTCGAATGAAATGGAGGCTTCCATACTATTATATATTCCCAGGCGTCGTTATCTGATAGTTGAAATTAAAATAATACTCAATTGACCATATGTCGTGGGTACAGGGTCGCATGAATAATAAGACAATAAACTATTAATACAAAAATACAATCAACAAACATAGTTTCTTACACACAAATAACAGTTAAATTAAGAACCACCTACGTTTTCTTGTAAATACAAATACGTTATAAAATCCGAAAACTACACGAGAAACAACACTAGTTTTACTCATAATATAAATATGAAATTTAATTTACTACTCAATCACGTTCCAACGGCTAAACAGATTTGATTGAAATTTAGCAGACAAATGGACTACCTGTATTATCCTGGATCTAATCTTTGTTTAATCCACGAAGCTGTGAGTTACAGTTAATAAACAATAAATTACCAAAAGTGAATACTTAAATCATCATCATCATATCAGCCTTTAACTGTCCACTGTTGAACATAAGCCTCTCCCTTGAGGAGATTTGCCAATAGTTACCACTCTTGGCAGGCGGATTAGCAACCGCAGTCTGGGCTTTAGAGATGTTTTAAGAGGGACGCTGCTGCCCATTCCTCGCCTTGTCTTAGTTGGCTCTAACGACATTCACGGGAAAGGAAGGGGTGGCCTATTCTATGCCGGGACCACACGAGCATAGTTAAATATGCCTAGTAGAAGAATAGAGTAGAATAGTTTATAATACTTACGGAAATGCATCGTGACTCTTCTTATTCCCATTATCATCCTGACATTTCTCACACGGGTCCGGTTCTAACGTGGTTATGGGACAGTCGTTTAACAGTAACGTTTCTAAATTTGGGAAGGCGTAACCCAGTTTTGATATTTCCCTCCAGCTGCTAACAGGGTTTCCGGAGAAGTGGAGCTTCTTCAGTTGCTCATGAACAGTATCTGTGGTCTCGATGTTGAGACGGGAGCACTCCTCGCACCGATCCTTCTCATTCACCTCGTTCCCACTCAAGTCCACGTATGAATACTCATTAAGGCTCAAGTGCAACTCTTCGAGAGCTGGCAGAGCTTTGAGCAAGGCGTGGACACTGGGCCAGCCAACGTACGTGGAGTTCAGCACGAGGTGGCTCAGACTATCCCATCGCGGTCGGAGAGCTTGGGCCGCCTGGATTTGCGCTGAGAGGCGGTTGAAACTTAGATTCAGGAAGCGTACCCGCGGCGTTTGCTCCAAAACAGCGAAGACCTAAAAGATTTCATATATAAATAAACAAAATTCTCTTGTGATTAAAAAAAAAACTCCAAATGATATAGCGTTTGAAACTATGAACCCGGTCTCTAGAGCCAATTGACTAAGGAGTTATTGTCTCTCAAAATACTCACTTTGAATTCCTCTATCATTAACTTGACGTTACTTCGGGTATATATTACATTACGCGCCAGGGATAGTAGATAAACAGGACACGTATCTATATTATCGCAATGAGCAGAATACTTAAATAGACAATGCATTCTTAGAGTGGCATCAAGATGTTCGAGTATTAGAAAAATTCGAAGTCAGTTTGTTAATCGATTTACTGGTATAATTTTACTCAATTCACCAGAGGGAGACTTTGTTCAAAAGTTGTTTGCTTGGGCATGTTTGCATGGCTGTGTTTCGGTTTGAAGGGTAGGATATGGCAGTGAATTAATAGGGTACAGAGGAATAACACTTGAGGCCTCAGGATTGGCAACGCATGGGGAGTATCATGGGCGAAACTATATACTCTGTTATGCCCATGTACTATGTACTGCTCATGTCTATAGGCGACGCTTATCACTTTCCATCAGGTAAGTTGTCAGTTTATTTGTTATTCTATGTTCTATAAAAAAAGTATAGTGTGCGCGAGTTTTAATAATAAGAAATATACTCACCTCTTGCCATTCAGTGAGTTTGTTATTAGCAATATCTAGTTCGACGACGTCAGCACATTTGTCGGCGAGGGCGCACGGGTCCCCAGCGCAATCTATGTCGCAGTCATTCAGCACCAATAGCGTGGGCACACTCAGACGGGGCGAACGCTTTGGCACGAATATGGCAACCGGCATATCGTCGATGGGAGGGTTTACTTCGCCCTTGGCGCCATATTTGCGCTCTAAGGCTTCTAACAGTGACGGCATTGTACCTGAATGAATAAGAAAAGATTTTTGGTTAGAAACTACAAAGCATATAAAATTTAGGTATACTTATACATACTTAGTTTAGGGGAAAGCTTAAATTGGGCAGTAATATGTTAATTGACGTATTATAGAAAGGATAGCATATATCGTCCTTATTGTCCTAGTTGCACTTAAATACCTATAACAGTGATAGTATTGTACCTGAATGTACGAGAACTGTTTTCTCGTCAAAAAATATACTGGTTATGATTATGATAAAAAATTGTCATGTTTAATTTTGGCGAACGTTTGGATTGGGTACACATATTGCAAGTATATCATATATGGGAAGGTTCATGTCAAATTACCTTAAAGATTTTAAAATAAGAGCATTTTACTGAATTAGAGAAATATTCTTTGTTGAAAACTATTGTCTTGCTCGCAAACCAAAATACTTTGTGTATGAGAAATAATCCAGATAATAAATACTTCGAACATTCAGCACGATGTCAAATAAAAGTTCGTATCCGAAAATAAGCCGATCGAGAATCAAACCTGGGGCATCGTAAAGAACCGTGCAAAAGCCTATTGTGCTCCAAGGTTGGCAAAACTACTAGAGACTAGATTAGATAAAGGCATGTTGTTTTACACAATGATAAAACAAAGACGTGCATCACAACAGGAAGTAAATATATGAAACATACGCATTGTGTAGGATCTGATTAGATTATAACTACAAAAACGTTTCTAACAGTGCATATTTATGTTTATTGAATGCCCATATGGAGGCAAAGAGGAAGTTAGGTTAGGGTTCGACGATTCTTACACAGAAAAAATCTATATAGCTTTAAAGGATATAACAATTAAAGATTTTTTTTTAATGAAAGCGACTCCTTCACAAAATTTGTATGACACTAACATGAAACCCTTTTGATTAACAAAATAATCATTAGAAAGTTAGTTAAAATTTGGTTTACAATACTAGTGTATTTTTTTCCAATTTATTTTAAAAAGACACCAAAAGGTGTTTGAGTATTTTTAAGAGACTTCAAGAAGGACGGCGTTTTATTCGATTAATTTTGATAATTTATGATTCGGTAATTAGTTTGATTTTTTATTTGTACTCGTATGTTTACTTGACCAAATCAAACCTAAGTTTGACAAATATTTTTGCAATCAATACGGTTTGTTTTGGTGCCATACTAATCCTGTCACGACTATTTTTTGCGAATTACAATCTACTCGTTGTGGCACACAATCTCAAATTATGAGAACATTCTGTCATGAATTTAATACTAAGTTCGTATTTCCATCGAGTTCCTACCTTTATAGGTACAGCTAATTTTAGAAATTAAAGTTTTAAAAGTGAAAATCCAAGTATAAGAAATTTGCCTTTACATATTGCAATAGTGTCATAGCGAACAATAATTATATTGCAGACTGAAGGTTGTAATTAATGAGCCAATTAAGGTGTTTCCTGAATCAATTGCAGCAAACGTTAGCCTAGTAGTGACTAGTACTCTCTATAAGTATTTTTAACTTATAAAGTACTGATTGTTTTACAAGAGCACTTATATAAAAATTGCTTACAAAATATTTTATTAAAATTTTTACTGATCACTTATTTGACTTACTAATACATCAATGAGTAATGATATATAATTATATATATAATTTCATCGATACAGGTATAGATTTTAAAATTGCTGTCAAAGAATGAAAGAAAAATGCTGTCATAATGATAAAATTTTTGGTCCTTTGAACGTTTTATAGTGGTGCGTTTATGACGAACGAAACGTCTCTTTCTTATTTGAATTTAGGACCAAAATTATTATTATTAAATGATTAGATTCTCTGACTCTTATTGATAAACGAAGCAAACGATATTTACTACTTATATATATTTATACTCTTTAATATTAATAAACTTTTTTTTCTCTTCTTTTTTGCTTTATTTTTATTTTTATGTAACTATTGAACATTTATTGAATGTCTGCATTTGTTTGATTATTATTAGTAGTTAAAGTACGCCAGTTAAATTATGAATGTTGTGCTCGCCTTTTGTAGGTACTTGTGACAGATCTTTTATACAGTTTATATTAAATGTATTGCTGTGGTATGGTTTAATAAACAAATAAAATCAATTTGAGAAAAACAATTAGGTTTAGCACACTGCGAAATTACCCGTATGTGCTCAATCTATCGTGTCTTTATTGGCGTTGGCTTTAAAACGGTTCAGGCATAAGCAAATTAAGACGACCTTCTTCAATCATTCTCAAAGTATGTATTAGTCATGTTTTAAAACTGTAATTAGCACAACACTTTTGTAAGATATTTTATCTTAAATTTGCGTAGACAACATTCAAGAATGTTTATTGTTTTGTGGTACTTATTAAAAGTAACAAGAATCTACAGAAAAATCAATCAAGTAATTTTATGGTTTTGGTTGTGTCGTAATAAAATTATACCTTAATTTTAAACAAATACCTCCGTTTAAACCTACTGTAAAAAGAGGATTGATTTTAAAACCATGTACCTTTTATCCACTTAATTTATTTCATACGACTATATATTACACTTTATATATCCGGCCTAGTTTCTGGGTGTCTGGGTAGATAGAATTTCCGTGAATAACATATATCCTATGTTACTCTCTAATACTGTAGACTTCTATAGGTGAAAGAATTTTTAAAATCAATTGAGTATTTTTCAGTTTATCCATTACAAACAAAATACTTGTCTTCTTATAGCTAGATTGTGGTTAGATTAAATAGATCAGACTGGCAGATTATTATAGAGATTAGAGAGACTAGCAGTTAGTTTATATCTAGTTAATCACTACCAGAGCTAGTCTATAGCTAGCTAATCACTAGTTGTTATACGTTTATTCAAAGCCAAATATTTTTTCAAACTTTCACATTTATAATATTAGTAGGATGTTACGGCATATGAACAAAAATTTGCCCTTATTCTTATGGTTACGGTCACATCACAGATTATATAATCGTTACTGCATTGTGGTTACCGCTTTCCAGAAGGGCCGATTGTCAATGGAATTAAAAAAATACCAAAACGGTTAATTATTTTCAGACCTAATTTCCTTTAATTTAATAGTTACAAGGTTGGCTGGGAGACTTTTTATAATGGAACAAGGTCTGCTGTTTACTGACTGTGTGTTTATGATTTACATTTTAAGATTACAATAATATTTTTTAAATAAATATATAAAAATATTTTTTTATTCAAATAAACTTAATTATAATTATTTTTTTAAAAACTATTGCCCAGTTCAGAACGCGATTTCAGCCGAGAAGACGGGCAAGAAACTTAGCTGTTGTTTTTTTCATATAAAATCAATACATTGAAAACTTCAAAGAGATTGTTTCGCTATTTGAAGATATACAAAACATACTTTTTAAATTTACATTTAACCTCTTGAAACTAATACTCCATACGTCTTTATGCATTAGGGTTAAAGATTACCAAATCTACATTATGCTTCAAAAATTTGTGTAAAACAGCGTCTGAGAAAAACGCCGATGATTAATGAAAATCGTTAATCTATAGAAATATTAACGGTTACCAAACAGATTTCACGACAAAAGACATTAAGTCATTTTAGTTTCAACAATCAGCCGAACGCCAGGAACAATATTTAGAAGGGGCATTGCAAAACGGCTGGATTGCAGAGGCCGTATCGTGACTGCACCCAAGGTCGCATCATGCACTTAATGAATATAATTAGAAATATCATGTTATGTGTCCAGACAAATGGAAGTAGAATTAAAAGTATTAGAGGCTGACACAGCTACTACACTCTTGGTTTACCTTCCAGTCCATAACAAATTCTGCGGCTTTGTTTCAATGCTATTAGGAATGGTAAATGTAGTGTATGCATAATGACAGTCTTTTCTTTATTATGTTTGTATCGATATTTTTACATCTCTTCATTCATTATTATAACCTGTACAAAAACTATGTTGTCTCATTCATACATAATCCCAGATATTAAGTATATAGTAAATACGTTTACGATTCATGTCAAGTTGTTTTTCATTCAGAAATGAATAAAATATATCATGTGGGACAACGATATAGATAAATTTGATTATTTTAAAGTACCTTGTATCATTCATATACTGTTATTCCTAAAGATTAACTCTTTATCATAAAAACTAAAACCAATTTTAACTATGTGTTTTGTCATCTTCTTTCAAATTGGAAATTTAGCGCAAAAGAAAGAGATAAAACAAGTCAATAGCTAAAATAGGTTTTAAAGACGTTAGACGTTTTTATGATAGGTTTTTAAGCGCGGAGAGTGAGAGCTTGTATTCATGTTAAATTTCATCACCGGCGATAGATGTACCAAACTGAATTATTCTTCGGAAACACACAGTTCCGTGTTCTAAAAAAAGGTCAAATTTAACAAAGAATAACTCATGATTACACAATGAGTATAAATACTCAAAGCCGCTGACGATTTCATTACTCAATATTCTTCTGATAATATTTTACATCTTCATATACTTTCACATACTTTAATATTAATAGAATCAGAGTTTACATTTAAGTCATAGTATAATTTACTCGTATATCGTGTTGCCGTGTAGTTCCGGCATAGTAGTAGTCCTTCCTTTCCCGTGGGTGTCGTAAAAGGCGACTAAAGAGGACGAGGTATGGGCAGCAGTGTCTCTTTCAAAACGTCTCCAAAACCTAACTGCTGTTGCCAATTCACCTGCCAAGCGTGGCAACTACTGGCAAAAACTCCCAAGGAGTAAGCTTATGTTCAGCAGTGGTAGTTAAAGGCTGATATGATGATGAAAATGACAATGTATGGATGAGCGATCAAATAATTTACGTTGAGTTACGCGCAATGAATATTTTTTCAATTATTAATTCAATTATTACAAAAAGTAATCATTATATTGATTAACTTTATTGCGGAACAAACTTGTAATAATATACATGTGTCTGAAGACACGTTATGAGATCATTAGCTGGCGATATTACAAAGACCTTTATATTA